TCCTGAGACAGGGTTTCCAAACACGAGGTCCATGCATGGACTTTCAGGGGAGCCTCTGTAACAGTGTGTAAGCGTGTGTGTCGTGTACGCGTGCACTCTTCTGGGGAAGAGGGTCTGTGAAAGAGAAGAGTAGCCCATGACAGTTGAAGCTAAGCCTTCACATCCCTAGGAGCTGGCCTGGGACTCAGAGCCAGGCTGTGGTGTTCTCTGTGTCTGAACGTCACAGAAGACCAACATCAGGCAAAATGGGTCAAGACAAAAAACAAAACAAAACATAAAAACTACTCCAAATCATGTTTGAGCAGAGAATAAAAACAAGAACATTGTCCAAACCACAAAAATGATCACATCTCCCCCTTTCTAAGCTAACGTGAGTGAGTGCTGCTCTTTTTCCTCCCTGCTAGAGAATTAAGACACTGGACCATAGGGTTGCCCCTGCTTCCGGACAGCATCCAATCCAGAGCAAAGCTCCACTGCTCTGAACCAAATAATCTCTCACAGGTACAAATCTTAATAATAAGTCATTTCTACCACCCTCTCACTGAGCAGCCTGATTGTTCCATGGTGTGTGCTCTCCTTGTTGCAAAGAGACAATAAACTCAACTTTGCTCAGTTACAGGTTTTCCTGGTTGTCCTGACTGCAGGGAATTGACAAGTCTATAGCTTATATTAGGCTCTCAGAAGTATCTGAGTGTGGCTGGAGAAAAACCCACAAACCATGCTGACCAGTCCCACTTTACATTCATATGTAGAAACCTCAACTGGACCCGTAATACTGAGAGGTAAACATATCCTAAGTCCTTAGTCTGTTCAGACTCCATCTCTTCTAGATAACTCTTACCCCTCTTCCCTCCCCGCAAACCTCCAATGGCTCCTCCTAGTCGCCATCTGAGGTGATGATCTTCCTATTTCTCTGAGAAAGCAACTTCCACAGACTCTCACCACCACATCTACCCTCCTCAACGTCTGCTCCTCGTACTTGGCCTTTCTGGCTATCACCATGGACCAGGGATCAATATGTTGCTGCATGAGGGCTAACCCAGCCCGCCCCCATCCACACCAATTCCTTTGTGCATTATCTGTGGCCGCATTTGTGCTACAACGAGAGAGTTGAGCAGTTGCAACAGAGACTGTATAGCCCACAACCCTGAAAATATTTATAGATATTTTAATTCATGGCCCTTCACAGAAGAAGTTTGCCAACCCCTGGCATAGATGAGCTAGCAGTGAGTGTTCTTATTTAAAGCCAAGTCCTCCACTTGTGCTCCACTTTTCTTCTTCAGGGACATTATCCTAGCAATTCTACTTTCTCTCTCCTGCATCATCAATTATTTACTCTCTACTGGATCATTCCCTTTAGTACACAAATGTGTTATTTCTTCCATATTAACCTTCTCTTCACTCAAGTTCCCCCAACCTATTTCTTTGCTCCCCTTTGTGGCAAAATTTCTTGAAAGAATTGTCCATCTTCTCTTCCCATTCACTCTTAAATTCACTCCACTCAGGCCATCATTCCCACTACTCCACCTAACATGCTCTGTCAAAGTCACCAAAGCTAAACCCTATGGCCAAGTCTTCATCTTCTCCTTTCAGTAGCACTCATGACAGTTCAACACTCTTCCTCCTAGAAACTCTGTTCTTTCACTTGGCTTGCAGGACACCAAGTCTCTTGTTTTTCTCTCCTAACCCAAATCTTTCATCTCTTTTCTCTAACAAATTGACATTGGAATGCTTCAAAGGTCTGTCCTTGATCCTATTTTTTCCCTTCCTCTATATTCCCATCATTCATTCATTGGTTAGTGACCTTAACCAGTGCAATGGCTTCAATATGCTGATGACCCTTAGATTTTTATTTTTCAGTCAGACCTCTCTCCTGAACTCCATAACTGTATCACCAATTGCCTTCTTGATTCCTTCACTTGGATGTGTAATAGATTTCTTCTACTACTCAACATATCCAAAACTGAACTTCTGATTCCTAACTCCCCCGAGCCTGCTCCATATGCAGCCTTCCCAATCTCAGTGAACTGCAACTCCATCTTTCCTGTGGCTCAAGCCAAAATCTTGGCATTGTCCTTTTTCTCTCACACTTATTTCTAATCTATCAGGGAATCCAATTGAATCTACTTTTAAAATATATCCAGAATTTAACCACTTTCAACACTTCCATGGCTACCACTCTGGTCTGAGGCACCATCATCCATCACCTGGTTTATTACAGTTGGTTCCTAACTGGTCTCTTTACTTGTATCGTTGCCTTATTTTTGACACAGCAAATTAGAGTAGTCCCTTCAAAAGGTAAGAAAGACCATGTCGCTCCTCTGTTAAAAGCCTTGCAGTGGCTCCTGTTTCCTTCCCAGTAGAGCCAAAGCCCCTTCTGTTGACCTGCACAACCTGCACCTATGACCCCAGCCTCTTGCTTCTCCTGTAACACACCAGCATGCTCCTGCTCCAGGCTTGGGCATTACATTCCTAGAGTGCCTGGAACACTCTTAGCCTGGATGGACACTTGGCTTTCACATCCTCTAAGTCTTTGCTCACATCTCACCTTCTCATTGAAGCCCACCCTGACTGAACACCCTACTTAAAACTGCAACCCTCCCCTGTCCATTACCAGTCTCCCTTAATCTGCTCTACTTTGTCTCTTCCCCATAGTTTCTTATCACCCTTTGTCATCCAAGACCAATTCCCTAGTTATTGTCTTCATTGTTTATTGCATGTCTCCCCCAGTTGGAATTAAGTTCCATAGGTGAGCAATCTTGGTACCAAGTATCCAGAATTGGGCCCACCCCACAGTTACCAATAAATACATATTTGTTGGATGTTCCTGAATAAATTAATATCACGGGGGCTGAAAAGAGAAACTGAACATGACTTTGCTCCAGAGTCCCTTGCTGAGAAATACAGAGAGAGGCTGCCTGCCTCAGGCTTGGCTCACAGTCATCAACTCCATGTATTTTCTTAAGATCGGTTTTTTAAATTTCAATCATTTGCATGCCAACCACATGATTTTTGCCCTAAGAACAATCTTAATATTATTTTACCTTAAATAGAGTTACTTCTTGACAAATTTATTTTATTTTATTTTATTTTATTTTATTTTATTTTTTTTGAGACAGAGTCTCACTTTGTTGCCCAGGCTAGAGTGAGTGCCATGGCGTCAGCCTAGCTCATAGCAACCTCAAACTCCTGGGCTCAGGCGGTCCTCCTGTCTCAGCCTCCCAAGTAGCTGGGACTACAGGCATGCGCCACCATGCCCAGCTAATTTTTTGTATATATATTTTTAGTTGTCCAATTAATTTCTTTCTATTTTTAGTAGAGATGGGGTCTTGCTCAGGCTGGTTTTGAACTCCTGACCTCGAGCAATCCGCCCACCTTGGCCTCCCAGAGTGCTAGGGTTACAGGCGTGAGCCACCGCGCCCGGCCTGACAAATTTATTTTAAAAGAACATTTTATATCATGGCTTTGATGTGCTAGCTATAGTTTTTCTCATACATGTTAAACATGTAGCTATTAAAATGAGCAATGTATATTTGTATCACCTAAGATCACCTGGCTTGCCCCCTGTGGGAACCTGCCTTAAGGCCCACACAGAAAGGCCTCCTGCACCCCGCTCTCTACCCAAATGCCATCGTCCTTCAGGAAGCCTTGGCTGCTCTTCCAGTCAGCTTCTCCGAGCTCCCTTCACACTTACAGACAGAAATACATAGCCCAATATTTGGATGCTTACATGCCATTTGGTTTTGTTTTCCATTTCACATCATAAGATTATAAAATATCTCCTTAGAGCTATAGATAAGAAAGACATTAGAGTGTTCAACTCCCTTGTTTTACAGGCTACCAAAGAGATTGAGAGGCTTGCCCCAAATCACTGCCAGTTAGGGCCAAAGCCAAAACTAGAACTTGGGTTTTCTGACTCCTTGCAATCAGTGGGGGAATCCATAAACATCTGCTGAGTCCCTAGAATGTAGTGGTCATTGTGCCAGGCATGGGAGCTAATGGGGAATAGAACAGACCCAGACCTTGCCCACATAGGGATAACGGTGTAGTCAGGAAGCTGTACTCCAAACAAATCTATATGATTAAGTAAATCACTGCAAGAGCACAAGTGCCCTTGGCAGAGAAGTGTAGGGTTGAGTAGGGGCCCCAGCCTAGTTTGGAAAGTCACAAATGCCTCACTAACAAAGTGTGTTCAAATGTATAAGAGTTAGCTGAGGAGGAGCTGGCAGATGTTTTAATGGTGCCAGGCTAACTCACAAAGGCTTGCTTTGATATTTGACAGTTCAGTTGCGTTGTGGGTTAATTAGGCCATTGTGGCCCGACCTATTTGCTAGTGCTCAGGGAGAAGGCAGCCAAATAGCTCAGAGGCTCTTGTGCCTCCAAAGCAGCTTCAGTGGTTCCCTCTATCCTGCCTCAAGCAAGAAGGTAACAGGAGACACTGTCAGGCCCCTCACTGACAGGGAGTTTGGGCATCTTGAATACATTCATGGTTTTTTCCAAGAGAATGCCTATAATGTGAGCTTTGACATTAAAGAAAAATAAGTCCTTGGTTCCTGGAAGTGGAAAATCTTAGTGTTATTTACAAGGTATACTACAAGGCCTCGGCAGTTTCATCTAACTGGTAAAATGCAGACTCTTCAGAGGGGATGCATTTTAGTCACTTTTAATTACCATTGCAGAGTTCATCTTTATATTTCATTCTGATTGTTCTGTGGGGCTGGTTAACCTACATCTAAGAAAATCCTGCTACATGCTGGCTTCATCTTGGAAAATTAAGCCCCAAAACAATGTTCTATGTAGTGATGCAGAGCAGGGATGTGTTTAGACTGAGAGCCTTGGGGTTTGATCTCCAATTCTGTCCCTTACTAGGCTAGGACAATTGCCTCCATTTCCTCCTCTGGAAAATGGGGTAATAATAATTCCTATCTTTTGTGAGATTCTTGAGACATTAAATGGGAATATATGTGAGAACTCTCTTATAATATTTGAAGTGCTGCAAATGTCACTTAAAAATGAACCACTTTTTATTAATTCTCTTTTATAAAGCTCAATCTGAGGCTCAAAGAGAGACTCATTTAGGGCTAGAACAAAGGTCTCCTGATTCATATTTTTTTTTCACCAGGTTGCTGCACTGGGGCCTATCTTCTGGTAGAGCAATTATTGGCAAGAACAAGTTCCTGGGGGAAATGAACATGTGCTGGGAGGGCTGGAAGGGAGTGGAGGGAGCTCCCATCTGGGGATGGAGAAGGCAGTAGAAGAGGAGTGGGGCAAAGAGAAGCTCGCCTACCTTCTCAGTTTGCTGAGGGCTCTGAGGTTAGGCCTTCTCAGGGTTAACGTTCTCTACTGTCGACTTTCTCCACTTCTCTCAGTTGGCCTGTCTTTGTGTGGTTGAAGCTGACCTAGCATAAAATAACATGCTCTCTAGCACATTTTGAAAGCAGAGCCAGGCTTTAATGATCAGTTTTCTGTTCCTTGGTATTTTCTTTCAAGCAAAGGCCATGTTTTTGTAAGATACTCCATTTCAACGGGCTATTCTTTTGGCCCCAGGAAACATTCCTGAGTGGTAGGTTTTAAGAGGTGTTCCAATTTATTGCTTCCGGTGTCCAATAACCTTGGAGTATCTGTCTTCATGGCCCTCAAAGCCATGTTATTTCAGAAAGTTACAGCTCTTAAACTTGTTCTCTAATAAAAGCAAGTGCTACTAATTCTAAGTAAAGTGAGCTTTCCAAATAAGACCAGCTGTGAATGTTAAAAAAAAAAAAAAAGAAGAAGAAGAAAAAAAACCTTCAACAATAGAAGTCCATAAGTAAAAACTGTATACAGCTGAACTTCAGGCGTTTTAGCAGCCATTTAAAAAGATGTCTTCAGCAAACTCATCTAACTTAGCTAAAAATGCTTGACACGTTGGACATGTTGTATCTGTAGGCCAATATTCAATCCAGGTCAAGGAATCTAAAGGGTAGATGTACCTACCAAGAAAAAATGGAAACAAAGTGTTTGTGATGGTGGCCACAAATAGAGAAAAGCTGTATTTGAGTTCCTTTGTAAGAGCCCAGTTGTCAGGTCCCAGAGGTCAGGCTGGCAGCCAAATTCTTCTGGACCAGCCATTCCTGGGGAAGGTTCACAAACCCTTGCAGGATTGCGAAGCTGCTTGGGGCTCCTACGGTTAAAGGCAGGAATGATGTCTATTTCAACATCTAGTTTTCAAAAGCAGATAATAAAACGCATATATAAACATTTTGTTCTTTACAGACAGAACAGTCTGAGAACACATTGAGGGAGCTGGTGGGGTGGTCGGGGCAGGCCAGACAAGCATGTTCAGATTCACTATTCAGGTTCAGTCACCCAGAGGGTTTGTTAGTCAGCTAGGTCCTCAGCTGCCATGATGGTTTCAAATAGTTCTTGGTTTGAAACTCATATTATTTAATTTATGTTTGTAATGGTTTGTTGGTTAACAGTAGGATACACATGAAACATGTAGTGTATTTCAAAATAAATTACACTGAGTTTTGGAGGGAAGATCAGAGTCTCTAAAATACTGATGACTTACCTGAAGCTGAAATTGTATTTTATCTGGAGGGCTTCTTTGCCCATAATTAAATACTGTCTTCCTTTTACCAGGTCAGCGTTAGCACAGGTAATCTTTCTAATGAAGGTGATTTCAGAGTCTTTCTCAGCAACAGCTTCCCCTGCGTGACGCACAAGTAAGGTTATCACATTCATGTTTTAATGTCACAATGATAACCTCTCTCTCAAGCTTTGCAGTTCTTTATGGCTATGGAGAAGTTCATGGCTACTGAGGAATGGCAATATCCATGTGGTTAAGACTTCAGACTCTGGAGCCAGACTGTCTGGGTTAAAGCCTAATGTGCCACTTTCTGGCTGTGTGGCTCTGGGCAAATGACTTATGCTCTCTGTATAAGGGTTCAGATCCCTCATTTGAAAAAGGGGCATGATAGTAAAACCTTCCCTGTAGAATTATGAGATTAAATGGGTTAATGTATGAAATGTACTTAGAACATAGTAAGAACCATGTAAGAGTTTGTTATTATTACTCTTATAGACCTGAAATTAAAATAAATGCTCTATGGTTGAACAATATTGATCTCCATATCTCCATATGTTATATAGCAAAATACAAAAGTATTTGGTAGCTGGCAATGGTCAACTTTGTAGAAGAGTACAAGATGTGAAAGACTTGGACAATTTTAAGGACAATAACTTTGGGATTCCCAAAGAACTCAGAATCAGCCAAGAGGCTGGTTCCCCTACCTGAAATGCATTCCTTCACACATTGATCTGTTGAATTTAATTCATCTTTAAACCCTTCTTCAATTCTCACAGTACTCTTAACATTTCTTGATGATCTTTGTCATAAATATCTTTCTTTTTCTCCCTTATTTCTTTTATACCTTAATTTCTAACACAATGTTTTGCCCCACATGTCTGTCTCCTCAGCTAGACTAGAAACTTTTTGAAGCAGAAATTATGTCTGATACTCTATATTCAGGGCTGATATCCAACTATTAAACTCTGGCAGACTCATCCTAATTGTTAAATTCTGGAAAACTTTTCTGAGCCTGTTGGCAAGTAGTATATGATAGTAATTATGTAAATCACAAACTTTCATTAGTAATATAAATTTTAGTGTATATGCATTAGTTCAAGCTAATTTTCTTAGGCTGTCCCAATGACATAGCTTCCTGTTACGCAACATCTGAGCAATGTTCTCAGCACTATCTCCCAATTCAGCCCCTGTCATAGTAAGCAGTGTGGCTGTATGGGGCCTTATTATTTTTTAAAACTTTTTGTTGTGAAAAATTTCAAGCCTATACAGAAGAAGGGAGAATAGTTAACTAACCCCAGCTTCAACAATCACTAATCTTTTTTTCATCCATATCCTCACTTACTTTAAACACCCTATGCTTTAGGAGAAATGCCAATTTATTATTATCCTCAAACTACACAGTTTGCCTTGGATTCTAGATGGTTTGTTATTAGTATACAGCAATTCTTGTGTAAGTATCATGTGGTGTTTTGATATTTATATATATTCAATATATATTCAAAATGTATAAGTACTAAAAATGAACATCCAGAATGAAGAGATAAAGCATATGCAAAAGTTTCTTAACATTTCCTTTTAAATATCATAAAAATTAATCTTCTGAACCTACAGGAGAACAAAGAATAAATAATAATAATAAATGACTATAGCTTGGTAATCATCTGATGCTGTGCAAAATTCAGAAGAGTCCAGAATGTCTTTGAATGCTATGCAAGAATTGGTACAAAATAAAGCAAACAATTTGCATTTTTGGAACGAAAAGCACTTTGTTATTTCAGTAAAAAAGGAATGGCTTATGATTGCTTATGATGTCAATGTTGGATGCAAATAGTGTTCAAAACTTGAATTGTGGAAAAATCAAAGTGCTAAACACTTATTTCAACAAAATGGCAATCAAGGTTCAAATAAAGAAAATTTGTGACCATCAATGAAAAATAAAATAACATCACAAATCAGTTTCAAACAGTGAAACATTTTAAATAATAAAAAACTAAAAAAAATTTTATCAGTGTTGATAAAGCAAATAAACATTTGAAAAGTATTAATGGAATTTTAAACTCTAGAGTATTGTTAAAAATAATCAAGCCAGGAGGCTGAGTTAGGGGGAGCCCTTGAGCCCAGTTTGAGACCAGCCTGGACAATATAGCAAGACCCTATCTCACAAAAAAAATTAAGTATTTTCAGACTTAAAATACTTGATAGAATTTCAAAAGAGAGGCCACGTACAGTGGCTCACACCTGTGATCCTAGCACTCTGGAAGGCCAATGCAGGAGAATCACATGAGCTCAAGAGTTTGAGACCAGCCAGAGCAAAAGTGAGATACCATCTTTATAAAAAATAGAAACATTAGCTGGGGGTGGTGGCATGTGCCTTCAGTCCCAGCTACTCAGGAGACTGAAGCAGGAGGATCACTTGAGCCCAGGAATTTGAGGTTGTAGTGAGCTACAATGACATCACTGCACTCTATCTGGGGTGACAGAGTAAAACTCTGTCTCAAAAAAAAAAAAAAAGAAAACAGAACTTCAAAAGAAAAAAAATCAGTATAAATATATTATTGCAATTTAAATTTATGGTCCTACTTATTGCAAAATTTATATCTATTGAAATGAGAAAATAACTTTTTGAAAGATATAAATAGGGTGGTAAGATACATTTTAATCATTATTGAATAAATCAACTATTTCATTTAAAAATGTTTTAAATAAATTCAAATGAAAAGTTGAAGATTTGGAAGATGCATTATGGTTTTCATTGGTTACAAGGTACTGGAAAGAACACATGAACAACATATCAAATGGATTTGCTGAGATTTGAGAAAAAAGGATTAAATGAGAAATATTTATATGAACACCTTTAAAAAATGTGTCTCCCCAAGTAGAATAAAAGCTTTATGAAGGCAGGAGCCCTGGCTGGTCTTATGCAAGTTGTACTGTGTCTAATGTAATGCCTGGCACACAGTAAGTACTAAATATTTGTTAAATAAATGACTTCTCACCAGTTTTGTAGATATCCAGAAGAGTTGCAGTGTATTTGATAAAGACATTTTCTTCAGTGATGGATGTGACTCTAACTTTATAAGCTGGCAAAAAATGAAAACAAGAACAAAAAATTTAGGCTTAATACCACTAATGTCCAATAGAAGCCAGAATTTGTCAAACAAATGAGAAATTAAGCATGGCAAGCTATCATGGGCCCCCTGAGGTAGATCTTATTTCTTCCAAGAAGCCTTTTCAAATCCCCTCATTCTGAGTCAATCTCTCAATCTGAGTCATTAGGCCTGGCCACTGTTATATAACAGGCTGATTAAGACAAAATTTGTATTAAATTAAATAAGAGAAGCACATAAAACAAGCCTTTGGTAAATGTAAGGTTCAGGTGCTGATCCTTTAAGAGTAGCGGAGTCATGCCCATGGGCATCCTTTGAAGAACCTCTCCTCTACCTGGTCACAGAGGGGGCTTTATCTACTCTTCAGCCAAACCATGTGAGCCTCCTTGTTTCCTTGCCTTGCTGCCACCTTGTGTAGCTCCACTAGCTTTGATCTTTGATTTTTAATAGAATTCTTTTTTTCTTTACTCATTCTTGCTTGGATTGGCAACTATCTGACACAAACCATTTCCAATCCTGTTTTCTTTTTAGTCAGGCATCAATGTTTGATGCATGGTGTGTTTGACTTCAGCTCTGGAATGATCAGCTTGAAGGAGCCCATCCCTTCTATGTGGCTGCAGAAAAGACCCCTTTTATTTTGTTTTTGATGGAGTTGAAATGAATGACCTAAAAGGTTTGTCCATTTTTGAGATTCTGCAAGTCAATGAGTCTCTCCCAGACATAGACAGATCAATAAATGATAGATGGGTGAACTCATTGTGGCTGAGCCACAGGCTATTGCTAATTAGTGGCTTAAAATGGATGAGAAATGTTCTGATTTACAGATTCTTGAGTCTTTATGGTGAACATGGGTGTGGGTATGGGTAGAGAGAGGGAACTTGCATTTATTATCTGTGTTAAAATAGATCTCTCATATTTTAGAATAAAAATATTCCTCAAATGAAGGGAAGAAATAATTTAGTGAAATTCTTACTTGTTTGTTAAAACAATATATATTTTTTTTTTTTTTTTTTGAGACAGAGTCTCACTTTGTTGCCCAGGCTAGAGTGAGTGCCGTGGCATCAGCCTGGCTCACAGCAACCTCAATCTCCGGGGCTCAGCGATCCTACTGCCTCAGCCTCCCGAGTAGCTGGGACTACAGGCATGCGCCACCATGCCCGGCTAATTTTTTGTATATATATTTTTAGTTGGTCAATTAATTTATTTCTATTTTTGGTAGAGACGGGGTCTCGCTCAGGCTGGTTTCGAACTCCTGACCTTGAGCAATCCGCCCGCCTCGGCCTCCCAAAGTGCTAGGATTACAGGCGTGAGCCACCGCGCCCGGCCTAAAACAATATATTATTCTTTTCAAGTCTTGATGTAAATTTTAAAAATTGCAGTGGATCTTGGCAGAGTTAGACAACTTTTCGACTTTTTAAAAAAAATTAAGATGAATTTAAATGAAACCATACAAAATTCATTCTGGTAGTCATATTTCTATTAAGAGAATTCACTAAACTATGATGGAAATAACACTGGAGACCAGGATGCATCCCAGTTCTACTACTTACTTCCTGCATGACTTTGTACAAATTATTTAATCTCCCTGAGCCTCAGTGTCTTCACTGATAATTATGGTGGTGGTAGATCCTCTGTCAATTTAAAGGGCTCGTATGGAACTTCAACAAGAAATTGTATATGAAAGCAGTTGGTAACCACAAAGTGACAAATCATCTCTACCTATTTTTAAACTTATAAATAATACCCTTATAATTTCTAATAAAAGATTTGAGATAGTGTCCAATATGCTCCTCCTCTCTCAAAAACAATTGAAAACTATGGATAGAAAATAAAGGAGCTAATTCTATCAGGAACTGAGACAAGGTGACAACTGTACTTGAACATTGATTTAGCTCTGAGCTCTAGGCAAATAGAAGGAGATCCTCCTTTTGAAATGGAGAGAGTCTCAAACATGGATTGCAATTGTACATATATTGAAAATTATTTAGTATTTCTGGTTTTACCTTGAAGAGGTTTTTAAAAGAACCAAATCTCCCAAATCACTTCAGTTTCTGCCTCTGCTTTATCAACTGCAAGAATACAGAACTGAAATCTTAAATCTGTGTGGCTTCCCAAAAGTTCCCTTTTGAGTATGTTTTAGTGCCTGTCATTCAAAAGGGTTTATTAAAGTATCTTGGCTGTGTGCATGTCACTTCTATTATTTTTAATGAAAGTCACACTTCTTTGTTGAAGAATAAATAACTTTGCATGTTAATGCTGAAAATTGATGGCATTTTCTTTCAAGGGAACACATGGAATGTTGTTTCCATATAATCACTATGCAAAGTTTTTGACTTTTCTAACTGATCTTATTTTCATAAAATTTCATGTTTAATGGAACTTTATTGAACTTTTGAACTTACCGTATGCAATCTCTGGTTTACATGCTGTTTCTTTTCTAGTATCTGCAGAGATTGTCAGATCCAATGCTTCCTGCATTTGCCCACAGTCAGCTGGATTTTGTGAAAAATGATATAAGTCAGCTTAATGTAAAGAAGCAGATACTCTCTCTAGGCGTAAACATGATTTCTTATAAGCTCAGAGACAATCCAGTATAATCTTACAAATGTCAGATTCCTAAGGCCAGCCCATTTTATCCTCATCCACAAAGTGAAACATTATATACAGCAAAAACAAAACAAGCAAAAACAAAAACAAAATCTTGAGCATAAGTCTTATTCTTAGAATGAGTGGTTACTCAACATTCAGCTCTTCAGAAATACATGTGCTTCCCCTGAAGAAAGGGAGAAATTTTTCCATTTTGAGTACAATCAAAAGTCCTTTGAAGGACCCAAAATGATGATTTGACTGATTTGTAGCTAAAAGATGGCACAATAAGTACCTAGGAAATGTGCAGATATTAAGGATTTGGGGGAAAAAAAAACAAAACAAAAAAACAAAGCCAAAACCAATCCAGACCCTTTTGGAGCCAGTGGTTGATTATTGGTGAGTTCTGGATCTTTTCCTTGGCTAAGAAGACTGTCTTTGATTTACAAGCGACTTAATGGAACTGGATAATAAATAAACAGAGAATTCCATTAAATGGAAGGATAAGAGGAAAGACAGAGGAGCCAGTGTCTTAGACCTGAGCCTCTTTTCCTTGGGTTATGGTTCTATTACGTTAAAAGACTAAGAGAAAGTAAAATTTCACATCGTGTTACCGCTGTGATATCCAACAACTGTCTGGATGGTGTTTCTCTGCCTCTGAACAGTACAAACCATCAGGTTGTTCAGGTGTTATGGAGAAGTAGCTCTACAATGCTCAATGAAATCATTAGCTTTAAATCAGCTGATATAACATTTCTACTTCTGAAAAATGACAAGTTGCCAAACAACTCCCCCCAGACTAAACTAAGATTATGAATGGCTGCTTTAAACAAATATGCAGCTTAAATATGTTAAATGGAGTTTACCTTCTACACACTTGCACATGGCTCCTTCACAGACTTTCTGAAGTTTGATATTGGAAGTGCTATAAAACATGGTGCACTGTTTATCTGTGGCAATAAAAGTGTGGTTAAGAGAAGTGGCGTAATTGATGCACAACACATTTACTAATCAGTGAGTCTCTTACATGGGCCCTCAGAGATCGCCTTTTCCAAACCTCTCTTTTTATAGCTAAGGCCCAGGGAAGTTAAATTATGAATTGGCTATTCTGGGAAGGGCTCCTCTACCCACAGAAAGATTTCCCCTTGTCAATTTAGTTCTGTCTGAAATTTTCCTGTTCAATATTTATTTCTCAGAATGAAAATATTTGATGGTTCCATGAATAAGAGGAAAATAAATTATGTTACATGAGGATCTATTGAGAGGATTTCAATTATTTAGGCTGGACAAGAGAAGAAAAGCACACATATATCTCTCTCTCAAGGGGAAGAGGTCTCTAAGTATACTCTATGTGATTTCAGAATATAAAACTAGAATAAATGGGTGGCAGAGTTTGATTCACTTTAAGAATTTTCTGACAAGTAGAACTGCCCAAGGTGGAGTCATCTGTCTTCTGAACCAATAAGCTCTCCTATTACTTAACATTCTCTGAGTAGTCAAATGTGGGCTCATTCATTCAACAAATATTTATTGGGTTCACATTATATACTTGGCACTGTGTTAGATACTAGGCACAAAAGAATGAAAACACTCTGGCATTGGTGAGAAAGATATACAAACAAATAATTACAAAGTAATGTGATAAATTCCACAATAGAGCTATCTGCAAAATGTAATAAGAATATAGATAGGGTGGGTAGAAGTTGTTCTGAGGAGACTAAAGAAATAGAAGGGTTTTCCACTCTTTGATTCGAACCAAAAAAAAAAAAAAAAAAAAAAAAAAAGAAATAGAAGGGTTAGTGGGCTTCTTTAAAAAGGAGAAATGTGATGAATACTGAAAGTGAACACCAAAGATAAACTTGAGGCAAAGAATTTTAAAGTTGGGGGAAATATAATCCAGTTATTTTAAAAATGAAGAAACTCATAACTGAGAAGTGAAATGATTTGCTCAATGTCATGAAGTAGTTTGTATATAGTAGTTATTATGAATGTTCTAGTTGAGACTTTTTTGAAGAGTGGTGTCCAAAAAAGGCAATATATAAAATTTACAGGATTCTGGTGGATTTCTAAATGTTCTGTAAAGAATGTAAAGTAGTCTTCCAAAGAAATTTTAGACTAGAGTTGATTACCTGGTCTGTGGTATTCATACACTGTGAACGTAGCAGGACTAAGATACCCAACTTCAAAAAGTTCAAATATTCGGAATCGGACACAAAGGAAATCACTAGAGGGAATCTGTTTGAAAAATTCAAGGATTTAAAAAAATTATGAGAGAGAAGATATTCATAATATTTTAACTTATAAATTTTGAATAGTAACAATAAAGGAAAAATGGCAGGAGGTGGAGCTTACCGAATTCAGTTGCAAAATAACATGTCCATCTTTGATTTGGTAATCTGTTAATAGTTGATCTACCCCTTCAACAAGCTAGGGAAGGAAAGAGAAAATATTGAATTTAATTTCGTTATCTTTCTGTGTAAATGCATTCACCTGTTGATGAGATATTAAATCACAAGGATGCGATCCACTACTCAAAGAAATTGAAGAGCAGTTCCTTTTCTTGAAAGAGTCTAAACAGTTAGCATGTGCAATCATGTTTTTGGGCCATGGAAATATATGCTTCCATTTCACTTTGATAAATCAAAACCTAGGTAGATTGTTGTTTTGGAAAGAATATTCTGGATAAGTTTATGAAAGTGGCATATTAAAATGAAAGGAAACAAATTTTTCTATAAAATAATTCAGAAAAGAAAACCAAACATTCATAACAATATATAAAAGAAAACACTTACAGCTTTTAAGTCATCTTGGTTTGCATTGATTCCAGTAGGCAGAGAGATATCCATCACTGCATGGGAGGATCCAGATGATGATTCTCCCGTGCTGGGTTTATAGCTAAAATACATAAGAGATTAGGAAATACAATAAATAAATCGATAAGATTCTTTAAGAAAGGACCCTATTCCTTAGCAGGCCTAATTTTTAAATTTGGGTTTCACTTTACTTGCTTCTCTACGTTGTATGGGTTAAAATTTCTGAATTTTAGAGTTGCAAGAGATCTTTGAATTATCTATTCTCTTTCCTCACTTGATCAGTAATCTCAGTGGACCACTATTCTGGAGCATAGAGGTCATCCACTCCAAGCTAACTAGCTGGGGAAAATGAGGATGAGAGCAAGGCACTGGTTCAAGGTCACATGGCTAGTTCATGCAGAGCTGCATAAGAATCCAGGTATTAGGTGGGCTTCATCCCAGGAATGCAAGGATGGTTCAACATATGTCAATCAATAAATGTGATTCACCACACAAACAAAAGCAAAACAAAGACCATATAATCATCTCACTAAATGCAGAAAAAGCATTTGACAAAATCCAGCACCCTTTCATGACAAAAACCCTCAACAAAGTAGGCATAGAAGGAACATATATCAGAATTATAAAAGCCACATATGACAAACCCACAGCCAATATCATACTGAATGAGGAAAAATTGAAAGCATTCCCCCTAAGAGCTGGAACAAGACAATGGTGCCCACTGTCACCACTCCTATTCAATACAGTGCTGGAAGTCCTAGCCATGGCAATCAGGCAAGAGAAAAATATTAAAGGTATGTAAATCAGGAAAGAGGTCAAACATTTTCTCTCCACTGATGATATAATCTTGTATCTAGAAAAACCCAAAGATTCCACCAAGAGTCTCCTGGAATTGATAAATAAATGCAGCAAAGTCTCGGGATACAAAATCAATGTACCTAAGTCAGTAGCATTTTTATATACTAATAACAGTCAAGCAGAGAGTCAAATCAAAGACTCAATACCATTCACAATAGCTACAAAGAAAATAAAATACTTAGAAATATATTTAACCAAGGAGGGGGAAGATCTCTACAAGAACTATGAAATGCTGAGTAATGAAATTGTGGAAGATACAAACAAATGGAAATATATATCATGCTCATGGATAGCTAGAATCAACATTGTTAAAATGTCCATGCTATCCAAAGTGATTTACAAATTCAACACAATCCCCATCAAGTTACCAAAGTTATATTTCCTAGACCTGGAAAAAATAATTCTAAACAAAAAGAACAAATCTGGAGGCATCACATTACCAGACTTCAAACTATACTAGGAGGCTATAGTAACTCAAAGAGCCTGATATTTGTACAAAAATAGAGACATAGACCAATGGAACAGAACAGAGAACCCTGACATAAAGCCATCTACCTACAACTAGCTGATCTTTGACAAACCAGACAACAACAAACCCTGGGGAAAAGAAGCCTATTTAATAAATGTTGCTGGGAAAATTGGATAGCCACATGCAGAAGACTAAAAGAGGACCCCTATTTCTCACCACTCACAAAAATTAATTAAAGTGAATGAAAGACTTATATTTAAGGCATGAAATCATAAGAATTCTAGAGGAAAATGTAGGAAAAAACTCTTCTAGATATCAATCTAGGCAAAGAATTTATGAAAAAGACTCCAGTGGCAATCATGGCAATAACAAAAATGAATAAATGGGATTTGGTTAAAAAGTTTCCGGCAACAATGGTGATATAGCACCTCTTATATTTTCCTGGATAGAGCTGGAACCCATTCTACTAAGTGAAGTATCTCAAGAATGGAAAAACAAACACCATGTGTACTCACCAGCAAATTGGTATTAACGGATCAACACCTAGGTGGACATATAGGAATAACATTTATCAGGTGTTGGGCAGGTGGGAGGGGGAGGATGGGATGGGTATATACAAACATAATGAGTGAGATGTGCAACGTTTGGGGGATGGTCACACTTGAAGCTCTGACTCAAGGGGCAGGGGGGCATGGGCAATATACATAACCTTAACATTTGTACCCCTATAATATGCTGAAATTAAAAAACAGCTTCTGACATAGCTAAGGAAATAATCAAAAAACAAACAGATAACCTACAGAATGGGAGAAAATATTCATAAGCTATATATCCAACAAAGGGCTAATAATCAGAATTTACAAAGAACTCAAGCAAATCAGCAAGGAAAAACCAAAGAACCCTATTAAAAAATGGGCAAAAGACATGAACAGATGCTTCTCAAAAGAAGAAAGACAAATGGCCAAGAAATATATGAAAAATGCTCAATGTCATTAATCATTAGGGAAATGCAAATTAAAACCACAATGAGATATTACCTTACCCCAGTATTAAAAAGTCCAAAAACAATAGATGCTAGCGTGGATGCAGAGAGAAAGGAATGCTTATACGCTGTTGGTGGGACTGCCAATTAGTACAACTTCTATGGAAAACAGCATGGAGATTCCTCAAAGTACTAAAAGTAGGCCTACTATTTGATCCAAGAATTCCACTACTGGGTATCTACCCAAAGGAAAAGAAGCAATTTAACCAAAAGGACACATGAACTCAAATGTTTATTGCAGCACAATTCACAATTGCAAAGATGTAGAATTGACCCAAGTGCCCATCAATTCATGGTAGAATAATAAAATGTGGTATATGTATGCCATGTAACCATGTAGTCCTACTCAGCCATAAAAAAAGATGAATTAATACCTTTTGCAACAATCTGGATGGAACTGGAGACCATTCTTCCAAGTGAAGTATCTCAAGAATGGAAAAAGAAACACCAATGTACTCACTATTAAATTGGAACTACCTGATGAGCACATGTGTGCACAGAAGGAAGTAAAACTCCGTGGAAAGAAACCAAGGGAGAGGAGGCAAGAGGGAGGGAAAGAAACCAACCTACTGGGTGCTATGAACACTATCTGGGTGATAGGCACACCTATAGCCAGGACTAAAGCATTACAAAAATGATTCATGTAACTTAAAACATTTGTACCCCCTTAATATTCTGGAGGAAAAAAAGAACCCAGATCTTATGATTCTGGTTCATTTTCTAATGAAGCATATTCACAGGAGAAAATTAGTTGTATATTGAAAAGAGACTCAATAAATATGTCTAGGAAAAGCTGCAAGAAAATACACTAAAATGTTAATGGATACTTTCTTTGGATGGTGGGATTATAAGTGATTATTCTTTTTCATTTTCATGTTTTTCTCTATTTTCTAAATTTTCCACAATAGATACTTTATTTAAAAAATAATGTTTCAAGGACTATTCCTTGTCTAGGAATTATGCTAGTGGGAAGTTAAGCAGAAATGCAAAGAGGGTAAAATGGAAGGGTATTTTTGTTTTTGTTTTGTGAGAGAGAAAAGAACAAGGAAATGGGGAATCAGAAACTTGGGTTTTATCCCAGTTCTGCTGAGAGACTCCCACAAATCATTTCCCCTTTCTAAGCTCATTTTCTTATTTGTAAAATTAACTGTGGAGAAGTATAAACTTGTGTTTTAAATTTATCTTTATAATTCCAAGGCTTTGGTTTTGGGTGGCAGGGCCATTAAGGAAAGTTAGAGGATTTAAAATAGGGACAGGCTGGTGGGGGCAGGAGTGGGACAGAGGGAGTGTGGTTCTGCAAAAGTTTATTTCAGGTTCTAGCCTCACCTCAAGATGCTTGAGAGGCAGCTGCATATTTGAGAGTGGAGTTTAGAAAAGCAGTCAGGATTAAAAGGAAGAAACTGGGAAGGCAGCTTCATAAGGAGGAAAGTGAATTGATCGCACCTACATGGGTGAGTATTAGTAAAATAGGAGATATTATGTGAGTTAATGAGGTTTGAGGGCATATCATTTCCTCAATCACACCTCATAGAGCATCTATGAAGCAGTCCCTGTTAGAAGTTTTAAATGTAATATTTACCACAATAATTAAAAGTATTATAAAATCTCTGACTCATAAAAACTTAACCCCATTCTTCACCCAATTAACAATTTAGAACAGAATATAAGACATTGGATCTGCAATGTGACATCTGAGCATCTCCCTAATTGGATGGGTAGAAGCAGAGAATGCTTGCTCACAGATGCAAATACTTTGTCAAGGAGATGGAAAAGGGCCTCCTGAGTGGAGCCTGTCTATGAAAAGGTTGCTGGAGTCTTGATGACTAGTTGCCATGGAGACTATTTCAATGGTGGAACAGAAATCCTCCTTTCAAGAAGCCTTTGCCTGCTGCCAAAACCAGCAATCTTCCCCAAAGGCATTTTGTTGCTAGAGAAATGAAATCTTTTTTTCTTTTCTTACGAATACAACAGAGAGGTTGTAAAAAGCTAAATGCACGAAAGAGACCCTCTGAACATAGAAACTGTGAGCTGGCACTTTTTAAACAGGAGAGAGAATATTTGAAGGCAAAGAATTTCTTACATGAATAAGTACTACACAGTTACTTTTGGAATTTACCCAACCTAACTTCAGTGTCACAGAGCCAAAAGGATATTCCACCCGCCTTTTTGGAACATTCTGTCCCCAATTTGTAAAAACCAAAGGATAGAATATTCAAGATTACATTTCTACTTGCTTTCTTTTGTATATTGACAATCTGGAATTAGGCCTCCTGTCAAGTAAGTCAAATGAGTTTTTAATAAGAACTTTTTACTGTTTTAATATAGCAGAGTTGTGCACAATTAGAATGGGCAGAAACTTCGAGATGAGGTAGTGCAATATCCTTGCTTTACAGAAGAGGACTGGAGATGTGAACTGACTTGCCAAAAGTCACTTGAATACTTCCTGGCAGAGCCTACCCCACAGCAGCTGTCTCAAACTACTATCAGAGAGTCCTTACTTTCTAAGTAAGACAGTAGGAGGTGCTTATGAGAGAATCTTTTGCATTTTATTTTTAAAATACTTATATTACATCTCTACCCTTCTTAAAGCTAGGAAAAATTAACATTATACTGTTTGAATCAGAAGACAAAAATGGGAGAGAAAACTATATGAGCAAAATCAAAGCTGTTCTTTATAGTAAGTTGCTATTTAAGAGTATTAGTCTGCATATTTTAAAAAATTTAACCATTTTGTACCATTGTGGACATATTAAAATTCAAAAATATGTAAAGAAATAATAGTGTAACAAAAGTGAGACATTGAATTCTATATTCCCCTTTGTGGAAACAGGCTGAGGCTCACCTGGCACATGCTACTATGCGTTTATATTCCGAGTCGCCATAGCCTCTGTAGCTGGATGCTGGCACACACAGAAAACAAGCAAGCACATAAATAAATATGAGTGTAATCTATTTTTATCTGTTTTGGAACCTGTCAGAATAGAATCATTAATGAGAAATTCTCTGAACATTCTTAAAAATGATTTATGATTTGGAAGTTGACACTTTTGGTAATTTTAACAGAAATTCAAGCCTACTGACAATACCGGCACGTCTTTAAATAATTAGAACAGTTCTCTGCTCTCAAAGAACTTATAGTTTAAAGAAGAAGTCATTTGAGATAAATATGTATTGGTAACTTGTTTGGCAGATGTCTGGATTTGCAGGTTGTTGGGAAGTTTTCTGTAGGAACAGGCCTCTGAGCCACAAATGGAAGACACCAATGCAGAGGCAGCAGAACTTGGCCTGACCCTGGAGGCAACGGGCTGGAGTGTACAAGTGGACTTTATTTTGGCCTGAGAAGGGAGAGCCAACCAGCAGAGAGATCTGAATATCACGGGTTAAATGAAAATAAAAAAAAAATTAAAATAAAAGCCATAAGTACTAGAGAGACTAAATTAAAGATAGAGGCAGAGAAACGTGCATTTGCCTGACCCCTTGGAATACAGAAGGCTTAGGGATGGAAAACTAGCAGGGTAATAGAGAATTCAGGGTCCTGAACTGAAAGCTGACACAAAAGTAACAGAAATTCATTGTTCTAGAACTAGATCTTTCTGTGGCTTTACAACTAGAGACATTTTTAAAAAGTAATGTAGTTAGTCAAAATATTTTTTTGAGGCTGGGCGTGGTGGCTCACGCCTGTAATCCTAGCACTTTGGGAGGCCCAGGCGGGCGGATTGCTCAAGGTCAGGAGTTCGAAACCAGCCTGAGCGAGACCCCGTCTCTACCAAAAATAGAAAGAAATTAATTGGCCAACTAAAAATATATATACAAAAAATTAGCCGGGCATGGTGGCGCATGCCTGTAGTCCCAGCTACTCAGGAGGCTGAGGCAGTAGGATCGCTAAGCCCCGGAGATTGAGGTTGCTGTGAGCCAGGCTGACGCCACAGCACTCACTCTAGCCTGGGCAACAAAGTGAGACTCTGTCTCAAAAAAAAAAAAAAAAAAATATATATATATATATTTTTTTTTTGATCAATAGTGAATACATTTATCTTCGTTATTAAGTTTAGTTTCCAACTATGATGGAACTAAGAGTTCCATCTATTGCAATAAATGGCAGTAATGTTTACTTGGATGTCAACCTGCTAAGGAATACAATTAAACATTTTTGTTTCTTAAGCAAGCACATTTTTCCTAGTCAGGGGAGCTCTCTATTTGACATTCTTTATGTTTAGACAAAATTACAATATAAATCATGCTGTTTTACCTTCAATGTTCTGGGTATCAATTTTCAAATAAAAGCTGCAAACTTCCTCAGAGGTACTGGTTTTGTGAACTATAGTTCTTACCTATATTGGGGCAAGTAAACAAGATTCTACTTATAATGGGAAAGTGAAAAAGTTACCATGGCAGTACTGCTGCTGCAAATGAGATGCCTGAAGTATTACTTTCACAATCCAGTACAAATGGTATACATTAGTGACTCATTTTTCCAGCAGCTGGACTTTCAGCAAACTACACAATCTGAAATGTAGCTGAGAAGCTCAAAGTAATCAAAAAATGACTTCTGACAAGGCAGAAACTTGGTCCAAACCCTATGTGGTCAAATCTGAGCACCTTACTCTACAGTAAAGTTCTCAAGGCTCTCATCCTGTTAAGTTAAAATGAGCCTGTATATTTTAATGTAACACATAGCACTGTAAGGCTAGGAATTGCAGGTTTCTCCCAGCCCACACATCGTCATGGCCAACAGCAAAGTTTAGGTGTGTATGGATGTGCAGGGGCTGCCAGAAGTATGCACATCGAGAGCAACCAGAAGTGATAGAAAAGTGGACAATCCACACCCCCATGCAATATTATAAATAGTCCTTGAAGGAATAATGATATACTAAAGATAAGAGCATGATTAAAATCATCAATAGAATGGTGATGCTCAGACCATGCAGTCTAAGACTGCATGGACACACATAAATAGCTTAGAAAAGTTTGCAACTGCCAAAATGGCTAAAATGAAAGAAATATAAGCCTTGATGTATAAAACATCAATCCTTAAAGATGCTGGATAAATGAGATATGACTATGTTACTAACCATAGAGAAAATATATACATATACACACATATATAAACATAGGTACTTATATAATCATAAAATTATATATATATATAAATATATATAATTTCCATAAATATACAAAATGTATAAATTTCCACAAATATACAGAATGTACAAAAATAAATTGTGAGGCCAGTTACAAAGATTGCTAGGAAGAATTAGATAAATGAATGCTACTTTATTCATGGTTACCGAAGCCCAGATTTCTTTGTGGCAAAATCCCTGGCTTTTATGTTAGCTAGTACAAAAGGACACCTAACTCCCTACTGGCACTCAGTTAAATACTTACATGTACTGTAGCCAAGCCACTGCTATATCCTGTACTGACAATGAGGTCTTCATTGAGAGGCACCTGGAAAGGTGGGTAGAGAAACCATGCTTTATTTTATCATCAAATAGGGGGGGGAGTATAGAACAATGAAAAGAGTGGGCTGACACCTACCAGCCTCCCCTCTCAGAGTCCTTGTGTGATTAAATGGATAAGACATTGAAAATGCTATGTCCATAGTAGGCACTGAAAAATGCTGGAACTTCCCACTTTCCTTCTACACGTAAATAAAATGTCTGAGGTCTCTTGAGTGAACCAAGAAAACCAATGTGTCAGAGGTCGGTTTTGGTTACATTTTCATTTATATATGGTTATGGTAAAACTGGATCTTCATCTCCTTTTGTCAACTGAATAAATTCCTTTCAGTGTCTAGCTCAGGAATCAGCATTCTATGTGCCAGCGAAGATCATTTTCATTAGCACCAGGAACAGGGAACTTCCACGTAACTCTAGTGTGGGTGCAATCCATCTTTGGCCCTCTCCTACCTTCCCCTTTGCACCCCTCTTCCACCTCTTGATGGTTCATTTTCCCCATTTGTCACTAGGCTCTGTTTGTCAAAACCCCTGGTACCTTACCCCAAACTCCTCACACCCCACCCAAGCCTGTCAAATCCTTGGTTGCTAATGTTATTCCCAGTCTGCTAGGAGGAAAGTGAAGACAGGAACTGAGTTGAGTAATTCTTCTTTCCAGAGAAACTCTCCCCTCCCCCAGTCCAAATGCTCCCTAACTTGTGGAAAGTTGGGAGAGATCATTTTGAGCAAGGGGCCTGAAGAGTTGGCTCTTCCTTTACTCCAAGTCTGCAGCCTCCCTTTCCCTTTGCTCAGCACGCCAATGCAACAGGGATTCTGCATGCATTAAAGTTTGTCAATCCTTCCTTTAACTTTTAGTAAATGTAGGAAAATAAGTCAACTTTCTTGTTCTTCCTGATGGAATATAGCAGCATTCACTGGAAAACAAGTGCCTTGAAATGCTTCCTAAGAAAAGGCGACTGTGGACAAATAAGTTTGGGAGATGCGGTACACTGTGCCCTGCCTCTGCACCTCTTCCTCCCTAGAATCACTTCACTTACTCACATGCATATTAAAGATTAGGGGAATCTTGGATTAAAGAACTTGTTTAACTTCGTTCAAACTACAGTGCCCCACACATTCAGGAAACACTGGAATGGAGAATTTCGAACTAGCTAATAACAGCCCAGGTATCACGTGGAGGCAGCATCCTGGTCTGAGGTTTAGGTTATTTTAAGATGACAAGCAGCCCTTACAACATTACCCCTCTAGAAAAGAATAATTCCAGCTACCTCAAATAGGCCTACCTCTCACATCAAGATCTCATCTTTAGAGCTTAGTCTCAGAATGTGAATCTATGGTGAACTCTAAATGCTCCCAGGGAAAGGAGATACACATTCCTCAACTAGGAACCACAAGCACAAATGCCTGCAGAGGCCCAGGCACAAAGCAAGAATGAACATATATGCATATGCAGATGTCATGTGACTTGTGAGGATTGCAGAAAATTGAAGAAAGCATGTCAATGCCCCGAGCCCTGTTACTAGATCTTTGAGTTTTTGAAGGGAAGTTGGGAATCAGATTTTTTTTGAAATCTCTGGATTTTTAAATGTTGCCAAATATCTATGTCTATATCCATATCCATATATATATAATATATATTTTACTATGGGCCACTGGTTTGCAATTTTTGCATGAAATTTCATTTGTCATGCTTATTTGCTTTTCACAAACAACTTGTGGAGGATGTTGACAGTGGGGACTATTTCCAATTATTTGTATATTTAAATATACTTGAAAATAATACAAACATGGTAATTAGAAAAATATGTATTAGCAGCTGTATACTGACAGTGAATATTAATATAGAATCTAGTTTTTCCAATGTATCTTTTTCTTGGGGAAATTTTCAAAAGCTATCGGTTAACTTTTAAGACTCCAATGGTAGCAAAGGACATGGGGTAAGGAAATTGGGGGACCTAAAGGCTACCTCCACCCTGGCTACAGTCTGCATGGATGACCAGGGCCAAAAGAAACCACTGACTGACTTCCAAACACATCTTCTCTCTTACTCTGCTGCTGTACTATGTGTACTCTTATCTATGTCTGAAAGATTCTTCCCTTTTCTTCACCTGGATAATTCATTCTGATTCTTCCAGATTTGACCCATACATCTGGGCACATTTGACAGATTCCAGTGTGGATCAGGAAACCCCCTCTGTAATTCCATGTACCCATCAAGACTCTTATTTTCATTGTCTATTTAAATGATGGTCTCTCCCCATCACACAAGTTTTCCGTGCTTTACTTTTGGATCCCTCATGCCCAGGATATAGCAGGCACCCTGCTCAGGACCTAGCAGGCACTCAGCATACGTACAAGTAGTGATTATATACATTTGTAAAATACGGGTGGAATAGATGGTTTCAATGATCCCATGCAACTGTAAAATATTACAAAAAATTCATCATTTACCTCCAATGGCCTCCCAAGGAAATTCTTCTCTGTCATCTTATATTGGTAGAAGTTACCTTTGTGCTTGTAAGAGACATTGATATCCATATTCAGGCGGAGTTGTTTAATCAGGAGTGAATATTCTGTCAGGCCCTCAATGGCATTAATGGTATCCTATCAACAATCAGCAAGATACAAACATATGTTTAGCTTATTTATATACTCCCTGTTTACAAATGCCCTTTTTTAGGAGAGGGTAAGGCAGCACTGTCTGGAGATGAAACTCCAGCTGACCGGTGGAACTGGTTAAGGGATCCATTGCAGAGGTGGATATCATGTCTTTCTTGGTGTCTGCAATGGTTCAAAGTTCATGTGTTGGAAACTTGATGCCCAATGCAGTGGTGTTGGGAAGTGTTAGGGTCATGGGGGTGCCACCCTCATGAAGGGATTAATGCTGTTATTGCAGGATTTAGTTTTGTTTGTTTGTTTTTGCAGGTCTGGGTTTCTTATAAAAGCACGCATTTGGCCACTCCTTGCTCTGTCTCTCTCTGCCTCTTTGTCTCTCTTCCTCACTTTCTCTTCGACCTTCTACTATGGGATGACACAGCAAGAAGGCTCTCACAACATTCTTGTCCTTTGCTCTTGGAATTCCTAGCCTCCAGAATCGTGAGCTAATTTAAAATTTCTATTTGTTATAATTAACCAGTCTCCGGTATTCTGTTATAGTAGCACAAAATTGACAAAAACAATGTCCATTACATTCAGAAGGTACATATGGTAGCTAGTTAACAAGTATTTGTTAAAGGGATAAGTGAATGAACTTTATCTTTCTGGACCTCATCTTCCTCATCTATAAAATCAGGAAACATGACTAGATCAGAGATATTAAATTCATAGGTACTTCCTCTGTCTATGTTCATGGCAGCCAATACTAATCAATAGAGCAATCTTTTCTGCTAATCCCACAGTTATACCCAAGATGAAACCTATTAGATGATCACTAAATTACTACTGAAGGACCCCTCTACCTCTAAATTTTATATATATAGACATACAAATTCCATCATTATCCAAACATCCAGGAAACAAGGAAGATGGTAATATTTGAGCTAAACTTTGGATATAGGTGTATGTTATACAACTACATAATAGTTATAAAATATCAAACAATCAGTATTTCTCTCACTTTTTATTTATTTTTTTGGTGGGGAAGAAGTATCAGTACCTTTATCTACATGGCAGCCATTATTTATTACATAGGACATGACATAATTGCTGATAATCATGCTAGCCTTTTATAATGATTAAGAATCATAAAGGAAGTGCTGGGCTTAGCGTCAGGAGATATGAATTCTGATTTTGGCTCTGCTATTAACTCCCTGAGTGAACCTCCCTGGGCTCATTCCCTCCTCTGCATAATGAGGGTATTCATGCAGACAACCTCTGGGGTGGAGGTCCTTTGATTCTGGATGTTTATTCATACCTGTGGCATGCTATTTGGTGGACAAAAGCATGGAGGCCAGAATAAATGTGGAATGTGTGGTCTGGGAACAAATAAAAATGTCTATAGGAAGATGAAATGAGACAAAAAAATGCTACCTGAGTTGAATAAAAGCCACCTCCATGCCTCTGTTCTTCGGATAGCCATTTGATGATTGGGTTGACATAATTCATTTCTTTCAAGCTCAGGCTGGTGAGTAAAGCATAGGCAGTGGTTTCTACCATACGTGCTGTACCAGCATTAGGTACAGAGCTGTCTTTTTGTTGCAGACTGTCTTTCCAGAAACGATACATGGGTGGATTACCTGAACATCAACAAATCACATTCATTAATATGATTAAAAATGTGAATTTGACATAACAATTCTAACAGGTATAATTGTGGCTTTCCAGTTTCTAGAAGTTACTTACCTTTTTTTGTAAGAAAAACTTCCTCAAGATGACCAATACAAAACAAAATCCCTCAATACAGTGCTACTTGACTTTACAGGTTGAACAGCCCTAATTCAAAAATACAAAATCCAAAATGGTCCAAAATCTGAAAGTTTTTGAGTGCCAACATGATGTCACAAATGGAAAATTCCACCCTGACCTCGTGGGTTGCAGTTGAAATAAAGTCAAAACTTGTTTCATTCATAAGATTTTAAAAAATTCTGTATAAATTACCTTCAGGCTACGTATATAAGGTGTATATGAAACATAAACAAATTTTAGACTTAGATCCAATCCCCGAGAAATATCATTATGTATATACAAATATTCCAAAATCTGAAAAAATCTGAAATCCAAAACACTTCTGGTGCCAAGCATTCCAGATAAAAGATTCTCAATCTATATTTAAGAAGATCAACATAAAAATTCCACATGTACTAGGGAGAGGTAGTATAGCAGAGTGGAAAGCAAAATAAACTGAGAATTAGTAAAGCCAAGTTCTTATCTCTCCTGCTAACTGACTATGTCCACTTGGACAAATTCCTTTAATTTTGTGGGACTTGGTTTCCTAATACCTATAGTATAGATAACAGTTTCTTCCATTGCAGTAAAACTCAAATGAGATACTAAATGTAAAAGTTTTTTTAAACTCGAAAACACCATGTACATAAAAAGGATTATTATTATTCTTATTGACATGAAAACATAAATTGGAAAACCTTTCTCCCTAATGGCAAAAATTCACATCCTGAAAATTATGAGATCATACCCAAAGCTTTAGTTCAGTCTTTTGTTATCTCTTATTTATTTATATATTTATTTTTAATTTTTTGTAGAGATGGGATCTCACTATGTTGCCCAGGCTGGTCTTAAACTCCTGGCCTCTAGTGATCCTTCCACCTCGGCCTCCCAGAGTGCTGGGATTACAGGCATGAGCTCACCATGCCCAGCTTCTCCTCCCAATTTAAAGCACTAAAGACAATTTCACATATGTAGTATTTTTCATACATTAGATTCTAATTATATTTGTTATTGTTTTAGCAATTTAAACTTGTAACCTCAAATTCTTCTTCCTGGAACAAATTATTTTTTAAAAAATAGTAATGCATATTTGGAAATAATTTTTTTTTAAAGCTAGTAATGTATATTTGGAAATTTTGATGTGTATGCTCACATTTCATAACTACATTATTTGCGTGACCTTGGACATGATATTTTCCTTCCCTCTCAGAGACTCAGATTTGCTGTATTTATTTATTTATTTATTTATTTATTTCGGCATATTATGGGGGTACGGATTTTAAGGTTTTAATAAATGCCCATTTCCCCCCTCCCCCCACAAGTCTGAGTTTCCAGCATGACCATCCCCCAGATGGTGCACATCTCACTCATTATGTATGTATATACTCGCCCCCCTCCCCCTCCCACGTGCCCAATACCCTATTACTGTAGTATCTATGTGTCCACTTAGGTGCTACTCTGTGTATTTAAAACAAAGGGTTTAGTTTAGGTTTTTAAAGAAACTTCTAGCTCAAACATTATTTGAATTATTAAGTTCCCTTTTGTCTCTTAAATTCTGTGATTTATGATCCATATCTCACAATGCACAATAAATGATTTTGTATTATTTTAGAAGTATCATACAAATGGTTTTGAGGTATATGTTAAAATTTAGTCATTTTTAAACAATTGATGACAGAAGCCGAATTTTGTAGATGGTTATAAACCTCAGTAATATTTATAAAACTTTTAGAAAACCTCAGGCAGGAGAGGGCTCTGAAGAGCCCAATCATGCCAATGATCACTGCTACTCTTTCTGTTTCTTTACTCTTGACCTGTAGTAAGCAATACCTTCATTCTTCAAAACAAAATACATACTTTTATAGCAAACCTGGTAGAATAAAATCCAGGTCATGCACTTGTTTGCTTAAAATCTTCCAGTGGCTTCTCTTCTCATTCAAAGCTGAAGTTCTAGGCTCCCTCTGGCCCCACAGCACCTTGACGTGGATGAGACACAGGCAGCCCTGGCTTTGAGTGGAAGCAGCCCTAAACCAGGGTGCACAGCTGGGGGACTGGAGCATGGGCTGGATTTTAGCCTCAATTCACCTGCTTGCTTGGGTGACTTGTCCATCCACAACTGACTACAGAAGCCCCAAATAGACCCTGTAATGACCTCTAATGTCCTACGTGACCTGCCCATGCTCCTTCACCCTTTCCTTCCCTGGCCTTACTTCCTACTCCTCATCTCACTCCTCTGCAGTCATGCTGGCCTTCTTTTCATTATTGGACCTCCAGGCATGCTCGTGCTTCAGGTGATTTGCACCTGCTGTTTCTCCACCAGGAACATCCTTATAGATAGCCACAGGACTTGTTTCCTTACCTCCTTTTAGGTCTTGACTCAAATACCATCTTCAGGGATGCTTCAGCCTAGGCACCCTATCTAAAAATGCAACCCACTCCTCACCTTATTTCCTTTCCTTGCTTTATTTTTCTTCACATTAGTCATCACCAACCAATCCACAAAATTTTACTTATTTATCATGTTTGTTCCTCCCCTATTAGAATATAAGTTTCATGAAGGACTGAATTTTTTTAGGTCTGTTTTGTTTGTTTTCTTATCCCCAGAACCTAGAACAGTGCCAGGTACAAAGGAAGTATCCAGTGGCTACTCCATTTATATTTATGGAGTAAAGAAATGAATAAATATTTGTTTAATCAATGAATAAATGAATGAATAACAGCACTTATTACATTGTATTGTGATGATTTGTTCCTTGAGGGCAGCGATGTGTCCAACTCAACTTTTCATGCCACCACCCACTTCCCAGAATTAGCAGACTTAGTAAATGCTTTATGAATAAATGTATGGAACAGGTCATACCTTTAGCCAAAGCTTCCCTCTTTAGGGTTGAAACAATTAAACGAAACTGTGGGTGAGTTTTATCTCCCAGGGAAAGTGCATAAGCAGCAATGGCCAGCGTAAAGGTGCTCCGGGCTGGAAGGGTATTTTCAAGTAGAAAGTTTTCAGCTTTAGTTACAGCTGTACTGATTTTCTGCAAACAAGAGCAGAAGACACCTAAGTTTCTTTGTCAAGCATCCTATGAACTGATATGAACTACCCTCAGGTTACACCATCCTGGGGCAGGCAAGATGAGAGGTGGAAAGAGGACCAACCTAATGAAAATGGATGGCATCACAGTGAAGCAGATCCTTCTGAGAGAAGCAAAGCATCATCTCAGAAGGGACAATGACATTGTTCAAACTGGGTTAAGCTTCTTGCCTCCAAATTCTCACTTCCCTTTCAGAAGTTTTGCCCCTTTAGTTTCTGATTCCAACATCACACTTAGTGTCCAGGAAAAAGAAGCAACGAGCACAGACACAACTTTCATCATTCCCTCTCAGCATGGCTGAGACAGGCTCTTGCATTCAAAAGGAGATATACTTTAAAAATAACACCATAAATAGCAGGAAAAGAGTGCTGCCAAAGTACTTTTTGATCCTAAGAATTCCTGAGAAAATAGTCCCAATTGCTTTGTCCCAACACTATTAAATAGTTATTTTTAGATAAGTGGGTTAGGAGAAAGCCTGATGCAAGGCTGCTAACATCCAGCCTGGCTCCTAGTCTCCCAGTTCTGCCTGTGTCTCTCACTCATGTGGCCACTAAATGCCAACTGGCCCTCGAGGTCCCTGGGAACTGGTCGTCATTGATTATTTTGTCTTGTTCGGTGTAAATACCAATGCTTTTGAAACAAACTAAAAGGAAATTGTTTTGTTTTGTGGTTCCAGTCCTGCAAATCCCCTTGAATTTTTCCATCTCGATTCTTTATCCTGGTTTGAAGGGCATGTCTAATTGACTTATGATTTGTAGGCCTCAACTCGGGGCTCCATCTCTTCCCAGACCAGGGTATTATCGCCATTAACCTCTGGGATCTTCTATGTTGAGTCACTTAGGTGGATCCACTCTATTCTCCCCCTCAGCTTCTGAACAAATGAAGCAGAACAAGCTAAAGTAGCAAATTTGCTGTTGTGTCTCCTCAGCATTCGCATGGTACAGAGTCCCTCAACTACAAGGCAACAGTAACATACATACAGTAGGATCTAGCAGAGATAAGAGAGGGAAGCTGGAGACACTGGGTCACTCTCCCATCACAGTCCCAGTTATCAGTTCTAGACTCAGCGCTACAATTCAGTAGCCTGTGACACTGGGAAATTGAATTCACCGTACTTATGGGCCTCAGCTCTCTAAACCGCCAACGAGTAGTTGAACTAAGTGATGTTTAATATCTATCATAGTTCTGAAATACTTTGATTTTGGAGTTACAGTTATTTTCAAGTAATGTGAAAAGAAGAAAAAGAAGCTTTTGGAACTAAATGTCTTCAGATTGGTGACGCCTTCGGTATTGTGATATAGAAACACATGATGAGTGTTAGAGAAAGAAAATGCTCACTTACCATCAGGGGGCATATATCAAAAGCCTTTCTAATTCCAATCACAGTAAAGGCTGTAAGATATAAGGTGTTCTCTTGGGTTTCAACAGGCAAGGTACCCTAAAAAATAAGCAATGCTTTAAAATAAGAGTGAAATGGTGTCTTTAAAGTAAAATGACCTGGTTCTAATCTCCAATTTTGAGCCTTATCTCCCACTCTTTCCCTTCATACAGTCCAGTTGGACTGCTTACCACTTCTCAGTAAGCTCTGGATCTTTCTTACTTGAATGCCTTCATCTACCCATCTACCCTTCCTCTCCCCAAGCCCCACTTCATACTTCTTCACCACATTCCAATTCTCCCCATCCTTCAGGACCCTGTTTAAATGCCACCTCCTCTCTGAAGCACTAATTGGTCTCTGTTCTCCCGTATTTTTTCTTCTTAGTGTAGTGATATTCCAGTGCAATGCTTAGAAGACCTTCAGTGAAGTCTGTTTACTTCTCTAGCTTTATTTCATGCCACTCCCCTTAGCTCTTGTGGTCCCAGTTCTTTGATGAACCACTCTCTCTGTTTCCAATTCAAAAGGCCAGGCAAAACAGGTATATGAAAAAATGTTAAACATCTTTAATCATCATGGAAATGCAAATGAAAACTATAAGGAGATATCACCTCACACCTGTTAGGATGGCTATTATCCAACAGACCAGAGATAACAAGTGTTTGCAAGGATATGGAGAAAAAGGAAACCCCCTGTACGCTGATGGTGGGAATGTAAATTAGCACAGACATCATGGAAAATAATATGGAGCTTCCTCAAAATATCAAAAATAGAACTACTATATGATCCAGAAATTCTACTTCTGGGTATATATCCAAAGGAAATGAAATCAGCATGTTGAAGCACTGCAATGTTCAATGTTCAATGAAGCATTATTCATAATAGCCAAGATATGGAATCAACCTAAATGTCCACCAACAGATGAATGGATAAAGAAAATGTGGTATACACTTGTCTCTTGGTATCTGCTGCGGATTGGTTCCAAGACCCCTGCAGATACCAAAATTCATGAATGCTCAAGTTCCTTATATAAAATGGCATAGTATTTGCATATAACCAACACACATGCTCTGTATCTCTAGATTACTTACAATACCTAATACAATGTAAATGCTATATAAATAGTTATTCTATTGCATTGGTTTTTAATTGTTGTATTTTTATTTATTTATTTTTCCTGAATATTTTTGATCTGAGGTGGACTGAATCTTAGGATGCAGCACCCACAGATACGGAGAGCCGACCATATATATACACAATGGAGTGCTCTTCGGTCTTAAAAGAGAAGGAATTCCTGTCATTTGTGACAACATGGATGAACTTATACTGAGTGAAATAAAACAGTCACAAAAAGACAAATACTCCACAATCTCACTTACATGTGAAATCTAAAAAAGCCAAACTCCTAGAAGCAAAAATAGAATGGTGGTTGCCAGGGGCTATGGGTGGTGGTGATTGGGGAGAAGAATAAGTCCTGGAGATATATTGTACAACATGGTTACTATGGTTAAGAACAGTGTATTATAAACTTGCAAATTGCTAGGAGCGTAAATTTTAAATGTTCTCACCACAAAAAATGAGAAATACTTGAAGTAATACATGTTAATTAGCTTGATTTAGTCATTCCACAATGTATACATTTAGCCAGATATCATGTTTTATGCTTTATTTTCAATAAAAAAAAGAATATTAATCCTTACCTAAAAAATGCCAGGCACGTTGTTGCCTCTACTTGAAATGCTCTCTCTGCTTCCCTCCCTCCTGAACTTGTCTCCTGGGAGCCTGGTTGACTCATTTTTTTCAACTCTCCCAAACGAGGTTAGATCCTCAGTTTTCAGTGAAACTCTATTTCCCTTTTCTTAACATGTATCACACACTTGAAATTACTTAATATCTGACATTTCTGCTGGATTGTAAGCTGTGTGGCCTCAGTGACCATACCTGTTTTGTTCACTATTGTGTCCTTGCCATCTAGACTTAGTATGCATTCAACAGATATTTGTTGAATAAATAAATGCATGTACAGACATACACATTGATTAGAGTTGCTAGTATTTATACTAGCATTTATACCCCACATTCTTTATCAGTGTATGAGCTCCTTTGTGGCAGGAATACTATCTGGGGTCCAACCTTCCCACCCCTTCTGCCCTGCCATGCCCAAAATAGTCCCTTGTATGTATTAAGATACTCAGTGAGTGGTTATTGAATGAATGCGGATAGATAGATGGGTGGATGAGTATCTTAAGAAAAAAGCATTTTAGTATTTTACTCTTCAAATAGCACCTATATGATGTTCATTGTCCCATTTCTTGTGGGAGTTCTAATCTGCTATTATTACAACTGAGGACCACTATGAGAGCCAATGTCAGTCATGGAGGTCACTCATGACTGATAAGAAAGGGATTGGATTGGTACAGGCAGAAAAAAAGAGATTCTGTTGAATCTTAAAGAGACATTTTAAGGAATAGATGATATAGAGATATCTTGAAGTGATAGTATAATTACAGATGCTCTTCCACTTATCATGGGGTTATGTCCTAATAAACTCATCATAAATTGAAAATATTCTAAACTGAAAATGTGTTTAATACACCTAACCTAGCTAATATCATAGCTTAGCCTTGCCTACATTAAACATGCTCAGAACACTCACATTAGCCTACATTTGGGCAAAATCATCTAACACAAAGCCTATTTTATAATAAAGTACTGAATATATCATGTAATTATTAAATACTGTACTGAAAGTGAAAGACAGAATGGTTGTATGAGTACCAGAAGTACGATTTCTACTGAATGCATATTGCTTTTATACCATCATAATGTTGAGCACTGTTTGTACTTTTTAATTCAAGCTTGCATGTAGACTCTAATCTCAAAAGCTCTTTGTTGCACTTTTTAATAAATTGACCCCCATCTTTCTCACTAACAGGATATAAATAGGGTCCCATCTGTCATGACAACACCTTGCAACCTTGACCTGTAAAAAGGCTCTGAACTTGAGTTACAGATTCATATTGAGTGTAGGCAGACAAATTAGTATATTTTACTCATTCTGAGATCTCTGGAATTTATGCCCTGTGAACAATGAATGCCTGTCATACAGGCTGTCTAAGATATCACTTATCTGACCTCTAGTGAATTTTCTGAAGATCTTGTCACATCAGATAGTGTGGGAAGACCTTTTGTATTCTTTGCTTGCTCATAAAAGGAGTTTCTTGCAGGATTATATATGCTTTTTTCTTTTCTTCTTTTTCATCCTCCCAAACAGGATGAGAATGAAACTCAAAATTGTAAATAAAACTATTACTGGCCAGGCGCGGTGGTTCACGCCTGTAATCCTAGCACTCTGGGAGGCCGAGGTGGCGGATTGCTCAAGGTCAGGAGTTTGAAACCAGCCTGAACAAGAGCGAGACCCTGTCTCTACTATAAATAGAAAGAAATTAATTGGCCAACTAAGATATATAGAAAAAATTAGCCGGGCATGGTGGCGCATGCCTGTAGTCCCAGCCACTCAGGAGGCTGAGGCAGTAGGATTACTTGAGCCCAGGAGTTTGAGGTTGCTGTGAGCGAGGCTGACACCACGACACTCACTCTAGCCTGGGCAACAAAGCAAGACTCTGTCTCAAAAAACAAAACAAAACAAAAAAATACTATTGCTAATTTGTACATTTGGTTTCCTTACCTGTAATTTTATCGGTTGATACTGGGAATTTTCCTTGAAAGCTCCATTTTCTAATTGACAATTTTCAACCAGCCAAAATAAAGAATTACAAATTGAATTTTGGTTCTGCTCTACATATTTATTTACTTGTCCAAGTACTCTTAAAGCAAAAGCTGTTAACCTTTAAGACAAAAGAAAATAAATAAATATTTAGAACATTGAATCACTTTTGACTTTTGGTTTATAGGGTGTTTTCGTTTGTACAATTTTATTCTTTAAAAGAAAGTAACACTTTAAAATATACGATTCCAAAGTAAGTCACTATTTTAGAAGGGAAGGGAAGATTTTGGAAGCTCTCCAAAGCATTCAGTCAACAAATGTGAATAGCACATCTTCTGTGATTACAACATTGTTAGCTAGCACACAAGCTAAAAATTGATTCCTGATGATAAAAAACAAAACAAAACTACTCTGTAAAGCTAAAGATAATAGAGGTGAAATAAATAGCTTTGAGTCAAGACATTGCCTCATGAATAACAGACATAAAAGAGTAAAATCTTAAAATTCTAGATTGTGAAATTTGTACATGCCATGGAACATAAGCTCCTATCTGTGGCCTGAATTCCCCTTCCCAACATTCCTGGAGTGTTTATCTTTGTTCCCTTTGAATGATGCCACTGACACAGAACTCACTACCTCATAACGAAGCTTTAATGATGACGGTTACTTAGTCGAAAAGACCACTTGACTCCCCATCCCCAACTTCCTCTCACATAAAATTTGTTCTATCTTTGTGTTCATTTTCATTTTTAAAATGTATTCTAAGTAATTTTTGTCAAGAGGTAAAACCCTCATGTAATTAAAAAATCCAAAAGCATACAAGGAAACATAAGGAAGTCTCCCTCCTCCTCCATCCTCCACAGAAGGCTACTGTTGTTTCTCGTGCATTCTTACAAATAGTAAATACAAGAATATAGTCTTCCTGTCTACTTTTCACAACCACACTCAAATAGTAGAATAATATTTACATTATTCTGTATTTGGCTTTTTTTCATTTAATAATATACCTTAGAGATCTATATTAATATATAAAGTTTTTTCATTTTTTTAAAAAATATTTTATACATTAAATTACAATATGTTGGTACCAATGCACCAAAACTATTTTACTCATTTCCCTATCTATAGACATTTAGGCTGTTCTTGATCTTTGCTCTAACAGCCTTGTTTGAAAAAATTATTTTTTGACATTTAATTGGAACTTGCCTCTCCACAACTAGGTGCCTTTTCCTAATCCTTCCTCTGGAGACATCAAAGTTTGTTTTCTTTTCTGTTGACTTTCAGGGGAAAGAGTTGAGAGCTCCTCTCCCTTTAATCTCCCATGAGGCTCCCAAGGAGCAGGAATGCTTCCATGGATTGGTCATGTTCAAGGGCACTCACATTTTCAAGAATTGGCCTGAATGTTATATTGGGCTCTCTTGGGATTTTGGCTTTTGGAATTCTCTTTTCTGTTAGCAGGTTAGGAATGCCTGTGAGTGTAGTCAGACTGCAAGGCTGACTATTAGCCACTTGGCCAATTATGTACTATCCCTGTGCTTCAGTTTCATCTCTGAAAAAAGGCACTGGCAATACATGAGAAAAGATGACTCACCTCCTGGGATTCATTGTAAGGGTTAAATATATGGATACACTTAAAATAGTTCTGGCTTACAGTAAGTATTCAACATGTGTAAGCTCTTATCTCTCTTTCTCTTTGGTACTCTTGGGTGCCCCAGCCCAGAATTTTTAAAGAGTGAGTGTCTACACAGATCTTTTCTAGTATTGAAGCAAATACATCTTGCTTTAGCTTTTTGTGTTCTCCTCTTCTCATTGACCTTTCTCTTGTAGACTGACCTGAAATTCAAAATTTAAGAGAGACTTGGAGGAAAGGAGAAAGAGCAGGCTATTTGACCTACTTTTGTTCTAGATCCTCAGCTACCCATAGAAGTTCTTCATATACTCTAGTTTAAGTCCTCAAGTTTTAAAATAAGGTCTAAGACTAAAATAGTAGAAAATAATTTTTAAAGTCACTTTGAAGAGAAATCTGTCAAAATCTTGCATAACTGAAAATGTATATGCCTTATGGTCCAGTAATTCCATCTCTCGGAATAGAGAAACTCTCACACGTGTACACAAAAAGACATATGAAGATGTTCATTACCGTATCGTTCATTATAGTAAAAATTGGAAATGACTGTTCATCAAAATGAGAATGGATAAAGAATATATGATACATGATATATTTGCAAAGAGAAATACTGCATGACAATGAAAAGGGATGAGCTAGATTTACCTATATTGCTAGATCTACAAAACTAACTATTGAAGGAAAAGGCAAGTTGCAGAATGATAGGTATAGTATAATACTAGTTATGATCATTTAAAAACACAAAAGGGACTCTATATAAATTCATACATATAAAGGATTAAAAATGGTCTGGAAAGATGTACAATCTTGTGCTAGTTAATGCCCTTGGGGGTAAGTAGACAAGAATAAGATGGAAACTTGTGGTAAAAGGAAAAGCTTGAACTCTATCTGTAATATTTTCTTTTTAAAGCAAAGACTAAGCTAATATGGAAATACTCACCATAATTAATTTTAGGTTTTGTTAATATGAATGATATTTGTACCTTTTTCTATCTTCTCTATATTTCACAAAAGAAATGTTTGAGGGTATTCAGGTGTCAGGAATTTTTTTCTATGTATATTATTTCTTTCAAGGAACTTGTGGAGTTGGGTCTAGAATAGTACTCAAGTGATCCTATGTTTCTGGATGAATATGATCCACTCAACCTTGTCCCAGACTCTAGAAGGTTCTGGGTATTTACTGAGAGGTTGTTGCACCTCTCCATGGGGATTTTTTGTTCTCTGGGCATCAATTTCGCAGGTACTGTTATGGCAGTTTCCCAATTTTCATTGATACCCACACCCAACCCTGATCACTAGGGCTTCTCCTCTGGTTGGCATGCTCCAGGGTCTGGGAACCTTTTAGAGTTCATCATCCATACTTGGTCAGACCCAATTCTAAGGTACAATCTGTGGCACTTAGTAACTGTTGGATATACAGCCATAATGAGAGGGAGGAGTCAAATGCCCACTGATGATTCTGACTTGATCAATGCGGGGCAAAGAGTAGGATATTGCTGGGCACTGATCATGAGAACAGAGAAGTGTATTTGAGAAAGAAAAGAATGAATTTGACACCAACTATGTTTTAAGGGCCTTTGCTTCCAGATACCTAGAAATGTGGATCTGGAACTTACGAAAGAAGTGAGGCCTTGAGATATTGATTAGGGAGTCATCAGCATAGAAGTTATAGAAGTCATGAGCAAAAATGAGATTGTACAAGGAAAGATTACAGAGAGTAAGAGCACTGGAGATGAAATTCTGGGGACTCTTATTTAAATGGCAAAATCTAACAGTAAATTATTCTAGGTTATAAATTCCTTAAATGTGTTTCATATAGAACCTACAAAGCATCTGGCACATTGTATTTTTATTAAATATTTTTTCAAAGCATGATAATATTTTTTGAAAATAGACTGCTATATGGACTTTTTTTTTTAATTTTGGCATATTATGGGGGTACAGATTTTAAGGTTTCAATCAATGCCCATTTCCCCCGCTATATGGACTTTTAATCAATTCAGACTGTCTTTCCCTCAAATCACTAGAATTATGGAAATTATTTCATTGAATAAATATTTATTGAGTACCTACTATGAGCCAGCTATGTACCAGGCACTAGGAATAATCAGAACTGCCTACATGGAGCTTATAGCCTAGTGAGAAAGACAGACAATAAGTAGAATAAGTAAAGATGTTAGTAATAAATATTAAGGAGAAACAGAACATAGAGGAGAGGAAGTGAAGCGTTGGGATAGGTTGTGATTTTAGATATCATGTGCTAACAGATATCACTGAGAATGTGACCTTGGTAAAGACCTGAGGGAAAGAAGGCAGCCAGCCATGGTTAAACCAAGGGAGGAGCATTCCAGACAGAGTGAATAGTCAGTGCAAAGGCCCTAAAGTGGAGGGAAGGGGTGGGTAGGAGATAAGGTGGGAGAGCTGAGGTGGAGCCAGAGCTTTGTAGATCACAATAAAAAGTTTGGTTTTTACTCCGAATAAGATGCAAAAGGTTTTGAGTGGCATGACCTAACATGTTTGAACAGGCTCACTCCAGCTGCTGCTGTGTTAAGTACAGACTGAAGAGGAGCAAGGGCTGAGACCAGAAGACCAGAGGCTAATGCAATACGCCAGATGAGCGAAAGAAGTGGCTTGGCCCAGGATGGCATGGTGTAGTTGGTGAGAAGTAGTCAAATTCAGCATATATTTTGAAGGCACAGCCAAACATTTCTGCTGGATCAGATGCGGATTGTCGGAGAAAGAGAGGGGAGTGAAGGATGACGAGACTTTCGGCCTAAGCAATGGAAGGAATGGAGTTTCCATTCCATTCTGTTATTCTTTAATGAATCAACTACTGTATGAAAACACAAGTCAAAACCTTCTACTTACCAAGTGCTAGCACTTCCACCCTTCCACATACTGTAAGAAAAGTCAGCATTTCTGTAGGACATGATGCTCACCATCCCTAAGAGGCACCAGAAAAAGAACACAGCGCTTTAGTAACCCCCATTTCTACCCAAAGAGCCCTTTACCAGCCCCTGGGAATGGCAAACTTCCTTTGGTATTGGGCAATAAGCATGTGCTCAGTGGCCAACACTGACTTATCAAAGGAAGTATATGAATTGCTTCAATAGGGAATTATCAAGCAGAACATTCTGATCTCATTCAAAGAGGAAGAAAGTATTCCGTAGAGCTTGGAATGCAGGTGTCTTGTCTCTCATCCAGACATTTTGGCAAGGTAAGCCAAAATGCTACAGAAATAGTATTTGTTTATATAGTAGAGTCCTCCTCGTGATTTTTTTGACTAAAATGTTTTTACAATTAAACTTTTATATAATTCATAACTTAAATATTAGTTTAATTAAAATGATAGTTTAAAAATCACTAGATTTTTGTTTTACCTTCTTTTAATTTTTTCTTCAGGTTCTGTTTTTTAGTTAATGAGTTAGGGTGAAAAATGTTCCAATGATTTCCTGCTTCCAGATAGTGGTAAACATAGAATATTGGGACAATGCTCATCAGCTCTGCCTCTGCACTCCCCTTGGGGAGGTGGGTTAGGATATTGATGCCTTCCTGACTTAGAACTGCAGACAGGACCTCACCTATAAGCAGACCTGAAATAAAAAAGAAATCAAAGTAGACATAACCACTTTCTATCAACTTCTAACACTATATTCTAAAGAGGGAAGAGCAACCTCCTCTATTCTTCCCTTTTTATCTAGGTAGTTGACTTGCTTCTCAGAAATGGGGTGAGAAGAAAAGATCTGGTTAGGAATATGAATTGAAAAGAAACAACAACAAAAAAGAAATTTAAAAATATCACTGAAATATGGTGGGAGATAATGTAATACAATGGACAGGTTACTGGGTAGAGAACATGGCAAATTAGTTGCTCTTCAACCTGTTAGCCTTAGACATAGTAAACCATGTTAACCAACCCCTCCCAAGAAGCAAGGCAAAGAGCCCAGACAGCTAGTGCTATGACTACTCTGTCTGTAACTCACCATGCAATCTTGGGCAAGCCCTTTTCTTTTATATCCAACAACAGAGTTGCACATGGTCAGAAAGTTCCTTTCCAGTACTAACATGCTGTGATTCCAAGATTTTATTTGAGATAAAATGTAGTCAGGACAGTCTATCATTTTGAATGACATGTTATTGAATTGTAAAGGCTGGAGACCAGGGAAAACCCACCAAACATGTCACTTCTGCAAATGTAATGGAAGGGAGAGAACCTCTGCTATGGTTGGAATGTTGATTAGGTTTCCATACATGAATCTTAGAGAGACATATATGGAAACCTAATCACCAAAGCAATGGTATTAGAAGGTGGGGCTTTTTGAGAATCTATTAGGTCATATGGGCTCTGCTTTTGTGAATGGAATTAATCACCTTATAAAAGAGGTGTGGGCCGGGCGCTGTGGCTCACGCCTGTAATCCTAGCTCTTGGGAGGCCGAGGCGGGCGGATTGCTCAAGGTCAGGAGTTCAAAACCAGCCTGAGCAAGAGCGAGACCCCGTCTCTACTATAAATAGAAAGAAATTAATTGGCCAACTGATATATATATATAAAAAATTAGCCGGGCATGGTGGCGCATGCCTGTAGTCCCAGCTACCCGGGAGGCTGAGGCAGAAGGATCACTCGAGCCCAGGAGTTTGAGGTTGCTGTGAGCTAGGACGCCACGGCACTCACTCTAGCCTGGGCAACAAAGCGAGACTCTGTCTCAAAAAAAAAAAAAAAAAAAAAAAAAAAAAAAGAGGTGTGAAGGAGCTGTCCATCTCTTTTTGCCCCTTTGGCTTCCGCCATCTGCAGCAACAAGAGGCCATCTTGGAGGCAGAGAGCAGCCCTTACCAGACACTGATCTTGGACTTCCCAACCTCCAGAACTGTGACAAATAAATATCTGATCTTTATAAAATTACCCAGTCTCAGGTATTTTATTACAGCAGCATAAATGGGCTTAGACAACCCCTCTGGGACTGGTACTTCAGCAGAACAGTGCTGTTCTCTTCAGGCCATTTGCAGATCATACAGTCTTCTCTAGAGCAACACTAGACCATGGAAAGTTCTTTAAGTCTAAAAGCAGCTGCACTCCCATTTTACAGAAGTCGTTGGGCCAATGACAGCCCCCACCCTCCATCATGGGAGAAGGAATCTCCATTTAAATCAGGCTGGTGGGGGTAGATAGTTGGAAAAGTGATCAAAGGTTTGAAGGTGGTGGTAGGTGGGGGTAGGGTACTCCCAGAGGTGGGTTTGTGTGCTACTGAGCAAGGAAGTGGAGAAATAGAGTAATCATGAGGACATTTGATTTTTGTTTGAAGCAAAAGTGAAATAGGAAATAAAAATGGCATTTGTTAATTTACCTTTTACACTCAAAATCCTTTTGACTTTTGTTTTAGGGACCATATCTAATGGTATCCTGTATGGGAACTCCTTTCGTCTGCTGACAACACCTGTAATTTAAAAAATATGCATTTACGTAGAATTCCTAGAAGACTATTTTCAGATTATTTAAAAAATATATACCTCCCAAAATTTTTTCAAAATAAAAGATGCTTTTTATAATAACACTATTAAAATTTTACAAGAAAGCTAGAAGTCACTGAGGATTTTTATCAAACCTTAGGCTTGTATAATCTCTTTAAATAAAGTATTAAATATGGCTATAAGCTTCCTGGTCATTATAAAAGATGAAATAAATAGGTTATATAAATCTTACTCAGCAGTAAAAGGTAGCATGCCATTTTTTCCAAAACAAGAAAATTTTTCCTGGAACTGAAATCTAAAAATAATCAACATGTAATTTCTTGTCAAGGATATATGAACATTAGCTTCACTGGTAAGCATGACCTGGAATTCTTTTCCACTTTTTCCTCTCAGTTTAATTCAAGATATTTTTTTCTCTAGGTGCACAACAACTGAGTTTTGGCATACTGGTATCAGAGAATTTTTCTATTATAAGCACTCATTTATATCATAAAAATGATAACATTCATCATTCTATTGATAGAGTATCAAGCACTCTACTAAACTCTTTAAATGCATTTGGATCCTCGCAACAATCCTTTATGCAAGGTTAATTTTTATTATTTTAATTTTATAGATGAAGTTGAGGCTTAGAAAGAACTAGGACACTTGGAGCTGTAATCGGAACTCAGGAAGTTTTACGGCAGAGCTCACAGGAGTCACTACAAAGAGACTCCACCTTCCATGGTCCAGCTAAGAAAGCTCTTTGAGAGCAGGAATCATCTCTTATACAAACTGTAGCCTCAGCACTCGGCATAGTCCCTGGCAAATGGAAGATGCTTTAAAAAATGAGTGACATTTTGGAATTTATTGGACAAGCCACATGGCTTTGCCAGAGATATGGAAACATTCCTCGTGAAAATGCTTTCTTCATTAACCCTTTAAATGCTGAGGATATAATACAAAAATAAGACTCAATGAAGACATTTATAGCTTGCATTGTGGTTGAACGAGCATGTTTATAATATTATGATGGATTTGGCTCAAAGGTTTATTGTTACTCAAGGAAGAACATCAGAGGCAAAATCAAGAAGAAATAAATAAGAAATCTCAAATGGAAAAGAGAAAAAAGTAGAAAAAATATGAATAGGTCAAAAATGGAAATATATAAATGCATATCATTATGATTGGTAATTACATGCACCCAGCTTTATAACTGCAATCATCTGAAATACTGTGACAAACAGCGTAAGTCTTTTTTTTTTTTTTTTCATTTTGGTTGCATTGTATATCTTAACTGTTATACCCATGTGACAGTCATCAGTATACCTGAGTGTTTATGGTAGCAAAAATATGCATGTTATTATTGACTATTTTATTGTGTAAAGTGGCCTATGAAGTACTCTGTCACGCTTTTATATGTTTTGGAAAGAAATTCCTTTTTAAAAATGTAAATAAATATCTTTGGGAAAAAAATAGATATGAATAGGCAATTGACAGATGGGAAGCCCAAATAGGCAATTGACAGATGGGAAGTCCAAATAGCCAGCAAATATATGAAGAAATGTTTAAAATCACTAGTAATCAAATTAAAACAATAATAAGATATTACTTTATACTCATCAAAAATGCCATATTTTAGACAGGGAATTAATGACAAATGTTGGTGAGGATGTGGAGAGATGAGAAGCCTCATGCTCTCCTGCTGGGAGCATAGTCATTCTGAAGAACAATATGGCAGAAGTAAATAACATGAAATATGTGTATGTCCTTTGACCCAGCAGTCCCACTCCTAGAGAGAGATATATATAATCTAGATAAACACAGATTTTTCAAGGGAAATTTATAAGGATGTTCATTGTAGTGGTGTTTATGGTCATGGGAAATCCATCACTAGGAGAGGGGTAAGTAAAATTATGGGGGAACATACTCTGAAATTCTGTGTAAGAAAAAATGAATTAAATGTACATCTAGCTATAGAGATATTTTTTGTAAATTGAGTATTGAGTTTAAAGACTTAAAAAACAGGAAAGGATCTATAACACAACATGTTTTATATATATTAAAAAGATATACACACAGAACAATATTGCCCCCCTATTCAAGGACATGTATCATACACATTTGAGGGGGTGCACTGGGAGGAAGGGAAATGGTAGTGTGGTCATGGATGAAGTAAAAAATAAAACATGAGAGAGGCCTGCCCAGACCAACAAGGATGACTTGCCAGGACGTGAGGGAGCTTAATTCTCTGCATCTGAGATATGAGAAGAGTTGGGAGAAAAGGGCTTGTCAGGGAAAGAAAATAGAAACTAAAAATTAGAGCTAGTCTTGAGTATTGAGTCTCTGTATTTATCTCTTTTTAAGCTGGTGTCACGATTTTCACTACTATTACTTTATAATTTGTTCTGATACCTCATTCTCCCTCACTAATATTTTCTTTTCAGATTTCCTTTAACATTATTGTCCATTTACTTTTCCAAATATATCTTAGCCTTTTAAAAAACTGAATTCTGTAAAGTATCATACTGTTGTAATAATTTCAATATACATATATTGTAAGTCTCTAATAAAATCTCAGAAATAACTTAGACAGTATCAATTATCATTTTTTCCTCTTTAGCTGTCTAGAAAGCAAGAAAGCTGCCTAAATATAAGTTGTCTAAGATGATAAGGAAAAAAATCAAGACGGGAAGTATAGATTTTTTTAAACCAAGATTTTCCAGAAAGATTTATTCCCAGATAAAAAATCACTCCCATCTTGTGGCACTGATGTTCATGCCCTGGATGAGTAAGACAGGGCTGCTTTGGAAAACTGTTTGCGATAATGTCAGTATAGGAAGTATCAGTGGTGAAAAGAAAGAGAGGCCAAAGACACAGTGTCTCTGAGGCTTGATGTAACTGCATGAGGCCAAACCCCCAGAACTTGAAACATCTCTACCTATAAATGATTCATAATGGGCAGACTGAGAGGAGGTCTGTGTGAGGTAGGTAAAATTAGAGAAATAAGTTAGCACATGGATGTACATAGGATGGATTTTTCTTTTTATTACTATACTGAAGTCATCCTTATTCATTTCATGATACCCAGCTGATTTAAAATGTAAAAGATATTAATTCTTTGCTTCAGAGGAAATAACACTCTGAGTATAGTCCTCATGATTTGTAAGTAAATGTTTTCCCCCCAGTGCTATATCACTGAAGGAAAACAAAAATGATTTGAATAATTTGATATGATGGCAAGATAAATTATAAGCATTTAATAAAAACTATTGCATTCTGTCTTTTTTAGTTAAAAAAAAAGAGTTGTTAATTAAGCACATTCCAAATTTCATAAAAATATGCATAGGTATTTAGGCCTTGATTCAGTGCTCAAATGTTTGCAAAATTCTAGCTTTGAGAAGATTTAGAATATCTCAATTGAAAGAAAAGCAGGGAAGCAGAAGTAAGGAGGAATGGGTTTAAGTGATTAATGAGCATTATTGTGTTTTCAAATAATACATGTTAAGTTATTATGTAAATGACTTTTTCTTAGGTGTTCTTTAGATTGATGGTTCTATAATAAAATGTTATAAGTTATTATTGTGATAGAAAATGACTAATATATAAGGGAAGTCATACAATTATTCCTATTTCAATGCTTTGCATTTAAAATTAGTGGAATTATTTTTCTTTAGTCTCAGTCATCCAGATTATACTATAACAAATGCTACCAATAAAGGCAGTAATCTAAGAAGTGGATATTTCTGATTCTAGACAATTAATTTTGAAAAATAGTGTTTTAGTTATATTACACTTTAATTTCTAGAGCAAAAAGACAACATATGAAATAAAAAATCATTTTGCCTACCATAAATACCCTTAGGGTCCAGGGTAATACCAGAATAGCTTTCCCTTTTGACACCTTCTGGCTAAAATAAAGGCAGAAAACATTCAGTTAAGAATATAATTAAATTTATATGACCTGAATTCCCTAGATCAACTTTTCTGGACCGTTTTTCCAATTAAAAATATCTCTATTTTCAGAAAAGGCAAAATGTGTATAAATACTTATATGCATACATTGTATGCATGAATAAGATTTTATGTCTATTTGCATATTGTCACAGCAAACACTTAAATAGAATGTATTATAAGCCAGATAATTGATCTAAGTGCTTTGTATGTATTAGTTCATTTAACCTCTAAAAAAATTCTATGAGGTAGGTGTTATTATTACTTCTATTTGACAGATGAGGAAATTGACACAAATGGAGATCAAGCACCTTATCCAGTGACACACTAGTAGGAAGTGGTAGAGCCAGGTTTCAAAGCTAGGAAGCCTCACTCTAGAGTCTGTATGTGGAACCAGGATTCAAGGATGCATAGGAACATGCCTTGCTCAATATAAGTCAATACATGTTCACTGAAGTGAATTTCAGAGCTAAAAACAGAACTCAGAGAAGGAAAAGCCAGGAAGATCCAGCCTGTCATTAACTAGCCATATGACCCTTGGCAGGAATCTTATCTTTTTTCAATTAATATTATTTTTTAAATGAATAATATCCTCATTCCTCTTTCTGAGAAATTCTTTTTTAAAATTTTCTTGAAGGTATATTTCTTTTTTTTTTATTTTAGCATATTACGGAGGTAATATTTTTAATTGACAAATCATAATTATATAAGAATCTTATCTTAATAAGATAACATGAAAACACTCAACAGACTGTAGGTAAATAGTACTTAACAAATAATGGATGTCTTCCTTTTTTGACCTGTTTATTTATTTATAAAATGGAAAATTTTCTAGACTCTAAATTCTTTAAACTCAAAGGCCATGTCTTAGTTATTGATTTTTCTCCAGTATCTAGCAAAATGCCTGGCACATTGATTTCAAGACATACTTTCTGAATGTTTTGGAGGGGGGGAATCCTGGAAGATATGTACCAAATTGTTAAAATTGAGTATCTCTGGGTGTATGAATTATTAATGACTTTTATTGTTTCTCCATGGGTTTTCAGTATTCTATATTTCCCACAATAAGCAAGTGTTATTGTTTTATTAAAAAAATTTAAGGATAATTTTAGACTTAACAGAAAAATTACAAGAATAGTACCCTAAAAATCTGGGATAACCTCTATCTAGATTCCACATTTAACATTTTGTTATATTAATGTTATTGTTTCTCTTTCTCTCTCTCTCTCAGAATCATTTAAGCAAAAATGTTGTTGATAATTTTTTTTCCAGAATGAAAAACTGTTTTTTAAAAGAATCATAAAAAGCATGTTTTTCTTACCACTACACGTAATGTTTTTACTAAGATTTCTTTTCCAAATGAAGTCTCCAGTGAAAAGTTGATGTTGTGGAGGCCAATTTCCAGAGGAAGCACGGTGAAGGTCACCAAGTGATTGGAGGAGCCCTCTATTCTCTGGCGCACACACTTGGAAGGTTTTGTTCCCTGGTGATCAATGGCTGGGCCTCCCGACATGCAGATTCCCTCCACAGCAGACATTTTAACACAGAACTAAAAAATGCCATGAGTGAAGAATTATATCACAGGACTTTACCTCTAAAAAAGTTTACCCTGATTGTGCTTGTCTGGATATAAACTCTCCACTGGTGCGTTAGCAATTTTCAAAGAACCCCTTAGATTCCAAGGCATAGGAGAAAGCTTATTTCAGATTTCTTAACATATATACACAAGTTGCTGTAGGGCTTAGCGTTGTAAAAGGATGTCTAGAAAACTCAGCACTAGCTCAGAAATGCCTTATCTTCCTTCGACTATTACCTACTAAATTAGGTACAAAGCGGCGGCTGTCGTACTTTGTTCATGCTGTTGTGATGGCATTTGCTACACTGTCTCTTTACACATTGGTATTTTAGACAGTGGGAGCCTCAGGTTCATATGCTGGTTTATTTTTGTCTTACTCATCTTTGTATCTTTTGCCTCAGCCTCTGATGTTTAGTAAATGATGTTTAGTAAAAGACTGATAACCCCATATCTTGGCTTTCAAGGCCTTGACCAATACGTCCCCAACTTACTTTTCCAATTTTATCAACTTCCTGCTTGTACCCCATTTTACAACTAAAATCTGGCTCCAGAAAGACCTAGATTCAAATCCTGGCTATCCTCTTAATATCTGTGTTATGCAAACAAGTTGCATGAAATCTCAAATCCTTCATTTCCTCATCTTTGTAAGGAGAATAATAGTGGCTCACTGACTTCTGGCTTAAATAGTGAATATTTTTCATCTTCCCTACAAAATCTAGTGAACTGACAGAATAGAGAACTATACCTCAAAGAACAAATGCATAAAATCCAGTATAGATCAAGCAGGTAAACAAGACAGAACACCAACATTCAACAACTAATTTTGAGGAATTTCTTAAAAACGGACAATTCCTTTTTCCTCTTAACTATCTTCTTGAGAAACACAATAGCCAGGTGAGTGGGGCAAGAGTTAAACAAGGTTATCGGGTCAACTGTGGCCAATGATTCTCCCAGGATGGTGGCTGGAGGGTGGGGAAGGGTAGATATAGAAGCGTCATTTGATAAAATTTAACATAATTTTATTATTAAAACCCTTAGTAAATAGGGCATAGGAAGGACATCTTAAAGCTGATGGAGAACATCAATAAAAAACCTACAGCAGTGGTTCTGGTTTCAGTAATAGCTAAGTACCTTGTATTGGGCAATCCTTCTGCAAAAATAACCATAAACTCTAGACAAGATATATATTAAAACAAACTCCCAGAATACACTAGAATGTGGAAGGGAAGGTGACACTTGGGAGAAGAGAATGACACTGGGTAAGTCTCCTACTTTTTAGAGGTTTATCCTGAAGGCAGGCACCGCTGGTACCTTGAGCAGAGGCTAAAACCCCAGTGGCAACCTGCCATCTAAGTGGGAGGCTTTAGACAGTGGGAACCAGAGGAGAGAGTATGGGGTAGCCACCATAGCTGCAGAGTAAAGAAGCTTCAGGTTCTGTGTATTATCTTTGCTTAAACTTGGCCAACCCTTGAACTAGCAACCCTGAACCCTGTACACAGCACAGACTCCAAGCATCCCAGCTAGGGCTAAAACACTGAACTGAGATTTTAAATTTTGGGATTGAATTTAGTCAATTGCCTGCTAAAACACACACATAAAAATGAAAGCTCGGACCAGCGGGAAGGATAGGCCAAGTTTCCCCTCCCTTGCATCTCGGATTGCTGGTGGGCCACCCAGTGGGTGGAGAGACCTGCAGACACCAGCCCAGAGACGGCCACCGCCGCCAGTGAGAGGTAAGCCAGTAGCAGACGCGGCACCAGACTCCCAAATCCCTTGGGGCACCTCCCTGTGCACAGACCGGAGCCAAGCGGCATGCACCATATTGCCTCATTCTCCCCTCCGGCAACCCTACACGAGGCTGCCCAGAGAGACAATATAGCCACCAGCCAGAGGCACCTCCAGGGAACGGGACCTTCCCTTTTGGGGCCGACAGCTGACTAAGGGGAACTCAGACTGTGAGCTCTCTACCCGCCAGCCCTCCCAGGTGCTGTTGGCACGGTGATCCCAGGAGAACGGGGCAGACCCTGAGGCTGGGAGACATAGACCCAGCTTGGGCTCCCTGTGGGTGAATTGGGACCAGCACTCCTCTCCCTGGTGGGGATATAGTTTGAACTCTGGGGCCCAGAGGTCAGACCTGCAGACCAGATCCGGTGCACCCAGGTCTCGCATTGCCCGGGGCACAGAAGGGACATACATGAATAGCCTATTGAGGTGTGTGTGCCTTCGGGGGCAGATCAGCATCATAGAGAGCAACCCTCCTCCCAAAGGGAGGCCGTGCGCCCAGCCCAGGTGGTGTTGCTGCGCAGGGAACCTCCCCGCCGGCATCACAGTCAGGGGAGGCCTGGTGGCATGTGGTCTGGCCTGCTGGCAGAGGCTAAGGAGTAGCCGCAGAGTTGGGGAGAGTGGAAAGGAGCAAGGCCCGCTCCAGACTGAGGGTCTGAGACAGCCCCACCCCCACACGCAGACTTTCTGACTGAGTGGGGCCATTCCAGCCCCTCCCTGACAGCTTTTCCTGGAAGCAGAGAACAGAACTTTGACCCCTGCTAACGACATTGGTGGTGCCTGAGGGTAGGCTTACCCAACCTAGCTCTGCCCAGACTCTCTCCTAGGCCAGCCCTCACTGAGGGGGAGAAAAGGACACACCTGGAAGTCCCAGGGCCTCACTGACCACCTGAGGCACTAGAGTGCCTCCCTACAGGAACAAGAGCTGATAACAGGACACAAAAAACAACAGCGTAGCCTGTTCCTCCAAGCAAGCGCCACTTACTTACAGGGAGGACATCCTGCACATCCTTTTCACGGCACCTACTGACCCATTATACAGGGAGTGGTCAAATCTCACCCACAGACACTACCTACCAGCTCAGAAACTAAACAAGGCGTAGGAATACCCAAACAAAAACCTAAAGAAAAGAAACAACAACTGATTGACATGGGAAGAAATCAGCGAAGAAACTCTGGAAATATGAAGAACCAAACGGAAACCACATCCCCAAAGAGGAGCACCAGCCCCCTAGAAAGAGACACCAACCAAAATCAGGCAACCTAAATGACAGAAGGGGAATTTCGAATGTGGATCATAAGAAAATTCAAGGACCTGCAAGAACTACTCAATAACCAGCACAAAGAAACCACAAAAAGCCTCCAGGACCTGGAACAAAAGTACACTAAGAAATTGACAAAATGAACAAAAGTTTAACCGAACTCCTGGAAATTAAGAATCAATTCAGGGAACTACAAAATACAGTGGAAAGTCTCAAGAACAGGGTAGATCAAACAGAAGAAAGAATCTCAGAGATTGAAGATAACACCCTCCAACTAAATAAAATAGTCACAGAGATAGAGCAAAGAAACAAGAGAAAAGAGACAAAGCCTACAAGAGATGTGGGATTATGTGAAACTATGAGGTCATAGGGTTCCAGAAGGGTGAAGAAGAACACTCAGGGTTGGACAAGCTATTTGAAGATATAATAGAGGAAATTTCCAGGCCTTGCTCAAAATCTCTGATATACAAGTTCAAGAAGTCAAAGGACCCGTGGGAGATTCAATGCAAACAGGAAGCGTCACAACATGCAGTCATCAGACTGACCAAATATCAACTAAGAGCTCCTAAGAGCTGTAAGACGAAAGGAGCAGTAACATACAAGGAAGCCAATTCAAATAACCAGATTCTCTAATGAGACTTTACAAGCAAGGAGAGACTGGGCCCCATTCTCACCTTCTGAACAAAACAATGCCCAGCTAGAATCTTATTCCTGCAAACTAAGCTTCATATATGAAGGAGAAATAAGCATTCTAGAAGCAAAGTCTCAGAGATTCACCAAGACAAGCCAGCTACAGAGATACTCAAACAGTGTTACACACGGACACCATATAAAACTCACGATTATAAACAACCAAAACCAAGATTAAAAGCCAGATATTACAATGGTCAAGACAGAATCTAGCACAACATCAAGCAACGAATGAACAGTAATCTACCTTACTATCAGTTTCTCATAAATGTGAATGGCTTAACTCTCACTCAAGAGACAGAGGCTGGTGAATGAATAGAATATACGGCCAAGTATATGCTGTCTTCAGGAAACACATCTAACCTGCAAGGATGCATATAGACTAAAAGTAAGGGTGGAGATCAGTATTCCAAGCAAGTGGAAGCAAAAGAAGGTGGTTGTGGCAGTTCTATTTAACGATTTGTTTTTAAACCAACAAATATGAAGACAAAGAGGTTCATTATATAATGGTGAAGGGCACATTCAACAAGAAGAGATAACAATTAAATATATATGCACCCACTTAGTGCACCCAGTTTCATAAACCAAACTACTGGACTAAGCAATTGATTATAGCAACTCCATAATCCACAGGATTTCAACACCCACTGACGGACAAGACAGATCTCCAAACAGAAAATTAATAAAGAATATGGACTTACAAAACTCTAGAACAATTGGGTCTGACTGACATTTACAGGTCATTCTACCCAAATCAACTGAATATACGTTCTTCTCATCAGCTCGGACTTCTCTAAGATTGACATATCCTAGGACACAAAGTAAACTCAAGAATTAAAAAAATAGAAATCATACCATGTATCTTCTCAGATCAGTGGAATAAAAGTAAAATCACCCTAATAGAAACTCCATTTCTACACAAAAACTGAATTAAACAACTCCTATAATGATTACTTCATAAATGAGAAATCAAATGGAATGAAAAATTCTATGCAAAATGAAATGGAGAACAAGTTATCAAATCTCTGGGACACTGTAAAGCAGTTCTGAGAGGAAAGTTTATCTCCATAATGCCTTATACCAAAATCAAAAAGATCACAAATAGAATCTAAACGAAACGTCAAGAGCTGGAAAAGAAGAACAGACCAACCCCAAACCAGAGAAGAAATGAAATCAACAAGATCAAATCAGATAAATGAAATTGAAAACAGGGAAGCTATTCAGGAGATTAATAAACAAAAAGTTGGTTCTTTGAAAAATAAATAAATTGACACGCCACTGGCTAGCTAACAGAAAGCAGAAAAGAGATATCTCTAATAAGTCTCAGAACAAAAAGGAGATATCACAATGATCCCAAAGAGATACAAGATATAATTTATGAATACTACAAAAAATCTTTATGCACACAAACTAGAAAATGTGGAGGAAATGGACAAATTTCTAGAAACACACAGCCTCCCTAGGCTCAACCAGGAAGAAATAGATTCCCTGAACAGACCAATCTCACAGCTGAGATAGAACAGCAATTAAAAATCTCCTAAAAAAAAGTCCGGTCCAGATGGCTTCACCCCGAATTTACCACACTTACAAAGAAGAACTAGTACTATCTGCAAACTATTCCACAACATCGAGGAAGAACGGAACCTCCTCGACACTTTTATGAGCGAATATTACTCTGATACCAAAACCAGGAAAGGATGAACAAAAAGAACTACAGACCAATATCCCTAATGAATACAGATGCAAAATTTCAACAAAATCTTAGCTAACCAAATCCAGACGCTTATCAAAAAATAATCCACACGACAAGTGGCTTCATCCCAGGGATGCAGGGATGGTTCAACATACGTAAATCTATGAATGCAATTCACCACATAAACAGAAGCAACAAAGACACATGTTCTTTCAATAGAAGCAGAAAGCTTTGACAAAATTCAACACCTTTCATGATACGAACACTTAAGAAATAAGCATAGAAGGACTACCTAAAAATGATACAAGCCATATATGACAGACCATAGCAAATCATACTGAATGGGAAAAATTGAAATCATTCCACTTAGAACGGAACCAGACAAGGCTGCCACTATCTCCACTTCTGTTCAACATAGAGCTGGAAGTCCTGGCTATAGCAATCAGATAGGAAAATGAGGTTAAAGGTATCCAAATAGGGCAGAAGAGATCAACTTTCACTGTTTGCTGATGATATGATATTATATCTAGAAAACCCAAAGATCAACCAAGAACTCCTGACTGATAATGAATTTAGTAAGTCTCAGGATACAAATCAATACAGAATCAGAGGCATTCATATACCACCAACATAATCTGAGAACAAATCAAAGACTCAATTCCCTTCAACATAGCAACAAGAAATTAAAGTACCTAGGAATATATTAACCAAGGGTAAAAGACCTCTATAGGGAGAACTATGAAACACTGGAGAAGGAAATAGCAGAGGATGTAAACAGATGGAAATCTATACAATGCTCATGGATCGGCAGACTCAACATCATCAAAATGTCTATACTACCCAAACTGATCTATAGATTCAATGCAATACCTATTGAAATCCCATCAGCATTCTTCACAGATATAGAAAAAATAATTTTACGCTTCGTATGGAACAAAGAAGACCCGAATATCAAAAGCAATTCTAGGCAACAAAACAAAATGGGAGGCATTAATATGCCAGATATCAACTATACTACAAGAGCTGTAGTAATTAAATCAATATGGTATGGCACAAAAATGGAATATTGCCAGTGGAACAGATCTGAGAATCCTGATATAAAACATCTCATATAGCCATCTAATCTTGATAAAGCAGACAAAACATACGCTGGGGAAAGATCCTTTTCAATAAATGGTGCTGGGAAACTGGATAGCCACCTGTAGAAGGCTAAAACGGACCACACCTTTCACCTCTCACAAAAACAACTCACGCTGGATACAGACTTAAACCTAAGTATGAAACTATTAGAACTCTAGAGGAAAAGTTGAAACACTCTCCTAGACATCGGCCTGGGCAAAGAGTTTATGAAGAAGTCCCCAAAGGCAATCACAGCAGCACAAAAATAAATAAATGGACATGATCAAAGCTACAAGCTTCTGCACAGCCAAAAATAGTCATGAAAGTAAACAGACAACCTACAGAATGGGAGAAATTTTTGCATCCTACCATCTGATAAGGGACTGATAACTAGAATATACTTAGAACTCATGAAAATTAGGAAGAAAAAATCAAATAATCCCATTAAAAAGTGGGCAAAGGACTTGAACAGAAACTTTTCTAAGAAGACAGAAGAATGGCCAACAACATATGAAAAATGCTCAACATCTCTATCATAGGGAAATACAAATCAAACACAATGAGATATCACTTAACTCAAGTGAGAATGGCCTTTATCAAAAAGTCTCCGAACAATAGATGCTGGTGTGGATGCAGAGAGAGAGGAACACTCCTACACTGCTGGTGGGACTGCAAACTAGTTCAACCTCTGTGGAAAGCAATATGGAGATACCTTAAAGCGATACAAGTGAATCTACCATTTGATCCAGCAATCCCATTGCTGGATCCCAAAAGATCCAATGATACTCTACAAAAAAGACAACTGCACTTGAATGTTTATAGCAGCACAATTCATAATTGCAAGGCTGTGGAAACAGCCCAATTGCCCATCAATCCAAGAATGGATTAATAAAATGTGGTATATGTATACCACGGAGTACTATTCAGCTTTAAGAAACAACGATGATATAGGAAAATGATATAGGAAAATCTTATATTTTCCTGGTTAGAGCTGGAACCCATACTATTAAGTGAAGTTTCCCAAGAATGGAAAAACAAGCACCACATATACTCACCAGCAAATTGGTATTAACTGAGCAGCACCTAAGTAGACACATAAGTACTACAGTAATAGGGTATTGGGCAGGTGGGAGGAGGGAGGGGGGCGGGTATATACATATATAATGAGTGAGATGTGCACCATCTGGGCGATGGTCATGCTGGAGACTCAGACTTGTGGGGGGAGGGGGGGAATGGGCATTTATTGAAAACTTAAAATCTGTACCCCCATAATATGCCGAAATAAAAAAAAAATCTGGGAAAAAAAAAACAAACCTAAATGTAAACTCATCCTTTTCTGAACTTCCACAGTACACTGTACATTGATTATCTTAGGCACTTTATTCTTCTTGAAATTAAAATTACATTAATACATACTTGTCTTAGCTCTTCCTGCTTTCTTCATCCTTTCATTTATGAATCTGCACATCTAAGTATAATATTCATTTTAAATGCTTGGCTTATATTGCTGAACTAAATTGAATTTTTATTTTGTGTTTGTGTCTGATAATTCCACCAGTAGAATTCTCAGAAAACCAGAGACTGTTTACTTTTTTCCATTTATTCTAACATACCATAAATACCCACTTACATGCATCCCAGAAGTCCTATAGTTATAAACAGTTCCTTTCAATTGGATCTGCTCCCCTCGTACAACAGAATATGGTATATTCATTTCCAGGAAGACATCTTTAAATACCTTTGCCTTGACAGTATCAGCAACACATATACCTTCAGCCCAAAATGAAAGCAAAGTAGAAGCATATTAGAGAATTCCTTTAATGGTTTATTAATACCAAGATGTCCCATATTTGCTTTACTTCAAGGAAAAAAATATTAGATTATGCTTTTCTCTCACTAATGCCCCATGTCCTTGAATTTTCTATTCATTGATCTTTATTTCAATAATTATTGGTATTAACAGAAAACTTCATTTGTTTAACAAATATTTAATTCTATTTAAGGCATGAGAATGCTTAACAGCTAGAACACTAAATATTTTTAGATATTTATTATTGGGAAGCCTTTCCACTTAGTCACCACAAAAGGGCATCAGCCCAGAGAGAGGTCATGTATTTGTTTCTAAGACTATACAAGCTCCCAGTCAGTGAGAGAAGTGAAAGAAAGTAAGGACTTGACATGAGCATTTATAAAATGACAGCTAACAGAGGAACAAAGAAAGAAATCAATACATTCAAAGATATAGGAAAATCCAAGTCTTTCAGTAATACATAAAAAAGAATATTTTAAAAATGATACCACTTAAGTCCTGGGTAAACTAAATAGACAATAATAAAAAGCTACATCTTGCTAATTAAATCATTCCTTAAATGAATATAATAATTAAGCTTGCTTACCACTATTTGAAATGCCAACACCTTGAATTTCCCAGGTAGTTAGAGAATCAGGTAGCACAAACTGCAACTGGTTTCTGAAAGTTAAAATGTTGACATTCAAATACAGTGGAACATTGATTAACCCAACTTGACAGAGGCAATCATTGACAGAAATTTTGTTTCATACTTTAGAAGAAAGAAAAAAAATCACAAGACAAAATTATATCAGGTATTAATAGTAAAGAAAAACTTATGTAGAAAAATATGTTCAGTAACTCTGCTACATATTCCATGTTTTTAGGCATTGCACCTGTATGATAAGAATTCAAGTTCAGAAGGATGCCTTTGAAATATTACAAAATCAATGAATATAAAACAAAGAAAAAATTATGTTCATTGTGAATATGTTCAAAAATAGGAAAGCAAAGTAATATATCTTAGCACTGCTCATAACAAAGGTGATAAAATTAAAAGTTTCTGATTACTATTAAGCTTGCATACTTATTTACAGCTACCATCCACCAACTTCGTGGAAAGCATAGTGCCACATACTGAGCATACAGCACTTACAAGACATAGTTTCTCTCTCAGGCAGTTCACAGTCTAGCAGAATAAATAGTAAAATAAATAAATTGCTTTTCACTGTAATAACTGTACAAATAAGGCATTAAAAGAGTTCAGAGACAGTGTGCATTCATTCTATACATTTATTTTCATGCCTCTACAAGCCAGACCCCAGGCCAAGTCCTGGATATAAAATAGTAATCTGAATTTAGTCCTTGCCCTCTAGGTATTTACATTTTAATGTGGAAGACAAGTAAGTAAGCTAGCCATTATAATACTATGTGATACATGCAACAGAGTTAATTGGGTGGGGTAATTAATTCAGTCACTGGTAGGATGGGAGATAGTGGTGGGAAGGTTTATCAGCAGAAATGCCAGTAATGGGCAATGTCAGATGAAATGAACAACAGTGTGGAGGAAGAATGAGAGGGGACAGGGTAGGAACAAGGAGACACATGAGAAAATGAGGGCAGGGCTCTGGACTCATTCCTTGACTTCTCATAGGAAAGCCAGTGCTTTGAGCCCACCTAGGAAGAAGGAGGCTTGGGTACTCAGTATTGCCCATCACTGTTCAGTGCCTGGTACAGAGGAGGCATGTCATAAAAATGTGTTGAATAAAGAATTTTAACAGGAAAACAATCTTACTTTTTGTTTATCAATGCTGGCTTTATAGTACAGATATTTTAGGATGAAAGCAGCTGCTTAATATTGTATATAGCCCAGAGTTGTATGCAGTAAATACATACTGAAGTGAAATGAAATCTAATAAATAGTACCCTTCATTACCAATAGTTAATCCTCCCCTGGAACTAATCACTACACCAAAGTACATTAAAAACAAAACAAAAAAACAAAAACCAAAAAAGCAAAGCAAAACAAAATTTGACCAAGTGGTAAGATCATCTTAACTTTTAAATAAGATATTGGGAAATGAGTATTTCCCAGATTTCAGGCCACAATACTTGCATTATTCACATTTCTTTCATAGGAACATGAAAGTATGATACCTTTTTGGAACACGATGAACTTCCCATAACCAGCTTTCTGGAAAATAGCTTCGAATTTCTGGCTTAGTTACTGGTAACAGGGTCCTTATATCTGGTCAAAAAAAGCATATTCAATTACGTAAAAACAATATAGCTTCTTATAGCTAAATTTTAAAATATGGCCATTGATCTATAACTTAAGTATTTTTTGAAAGGTCAATGAAACATTTTGTTTAATGCCCTCAAAATAGAACTATAAATATCTTAGAATTTCTCCACTAATAGCATTGACAAAACAAAGCATGAAAATATCTCTAATGAATTGTTTCTTAAATTGTTAAATGTTTAGTGTTCCTGAGATTATACAAGATACTGATCAGTCTATAAAGATATTCTTTGTAATTTGTATTTACTTTAACAAAAATGAATATAACTCTGCTTTTGGCCCAAGATGCACTAATAAGGACTAGACATACCCTTCTATCTTAAAAAATTAGCAAACCATACACAATAAATAAAACAATAATTTTCAGACATTAGAACATAAGCAGCACAGGACTGTGATCCCCGAGAGAAGGAAAATAGATTAGATGAACCCTAAAATTATCCCAGTTTACTAACTACAGGCAGTTTATAGGCTAGGGCAGGGGGGAAGAACCCATGCAGAGCTTGCTGGTCTTGAAGGGTTGTGGAAACACAAATGGGAGCTTTGGGAGGTCAAGCTGCCTAGAATGAGGGGTGGAATGCCAGGGAGAAGGTGGCTGCAAACAGTGACTTCTATGTAGCTGAAGCCAAACCAGACTGGGAAAAATAATTTGGAAAAAAAAAAGGTACTAGATTGTTTATTAAAATGCTGCTTGTAATAAGTAAAAATTGGAAAATAACCTAAATATCAATCAATAAAATACTCTGATTGTTTTGCTTAACAGTGTATCTTAAACATTGTCCATCTCAATGAATATATTTCTACAAATGTAAAATTTTATGGTCATTTACCAAAACCATGCTATTATACATACACTCGTGTGTCGCTTAACAATGGGGATCCATTCTGAGAAATGCATCAGTAGGCAATTTCCTCATTGTGTGAATATCATACATTGTACTTACACAAACCTACATGGTACAGCCTGCTATATACCTAGACTATATGGTACAAGCCTATTGCTCCTAGTAACCTGCTGCACAGGTTTGTATAGCGAATTTCTGGCTTAGTTACTGGTAACAGTAAGCAATAGGCTTGTACCATATAGTCTAGGTATATAGCAGGCCGTACCATGTAGGTTTGTGTAAGTACAATGTATTTGCTATACAAACCTGTGCAGCATGTTACTGTACAAAACTCTGTAGGCAATTGTAAAACAATGGCAAATATTTGTGTATCTAAACATAGAAAAGTTACAATAAAAATATGGTATTATAATCTTATGGTACCACTCTTGTAAATGCAGTCTGTCATTGACTGAAATGTCATTATGTTGTGCATGTCTGTATAAAACAGGAGCTGTTGTTCTGCTCTTATTTGTTTTGTTAAAGATTATATAAGGGAAAAGAAAGTCCTAAAAGTTCTGAGAACATATTGATCAGAGTTCTGTAAATTCTGAATATACATTTTGTGATTGAAACTGAAATAAGATTTCGACTTTTATATGTGTACACTTAACTTTATGGTAGATTTAGAAATCTTTTGCATATTTGATCAGTGTAGTTATAAACTGAATTTTTAATGATTGTAATATCATAGAACCACAGAATTTTGAAACTCAGAGGCATGCTGGTTGCAGCTCCTTGCTTGTGGTTCACAGAGAATAATCATTCAAGTTTAGAGAATGATTTGGCTTTACGTTTATACTGGGTCTTGGCTATGTACTAGTGTACTCTGCTCTATACTATAGCTCATCTGATTTCCAGAATGAAAGATTTTCTCTTTTGGGCTTTTACAGTTTATCTTTTTTACTTTCAATTGTAAATAAAGCATGAAAGCTGCCTTTCTTCTCAGCATAAAATTACACAAACTTCCCCATATCGGGCAGAATTCTGATAGAAAACATCATACTTACGTAGCCTTCCCAATTGCACATCTTTATGAGAGGATGCAGCACGGATCTGGGTTGCAATGGTACAACATTCGTTGAAAGCTCTAATGCATACTGGGCCTACAGTAACCCGGGCAAGTCGCTGTTCACATGTTTCATCATCAACACGCCGAGCTCCATCATAACAACATTTCTTTGGTACTTGATGTTTGTATTTAGCAGCTGAAATGGTAATAATACAAGTGTCCTTGATTATGCATAGTTATAATATCTCAGTGTTAGAAGGAATCTCAATGGATACCTGGTTTCTACTGCCATATGACCCCCCTACCTACAGTAGCCATGGCTAGTTGACTGACCAGCCTCCCCTTGGAACTACTCTAGGAATGGGCAGAATGTGACCTTACCAGATGGTCCACTTCAATTCATAATAAATATTAATAGTTAAAGGGCTTCCTGCAACTAAGGTAAATACTAACTCTTGACATTGGCACTTTGGGTTTAAGCACCCTTTGAGTAAAATAAGCTAAATATTGAGAAAAACATCAAATATTTGAGGATGGCTATTATCACTATACAAGTACTTCCTTCTTCAAGGTAAATATCCTATTTTTTCAGAAATTTCTTATATAACATGGTTTGTGGACCTTAATTAATGGCATTGTCCTTCATTGTAAGTACTCAATGTCTGTTTTTTCATATCATTAGCACTCAGAATAAAGGTTAGAATTAAAATAACATATGCAAATGGAAGAAATTATTGTATTACTATAAGCATGATTATTGGTGGAACTCAGCTCACTGACTCCCAGTTCAATGTCTTTTCTACTGTAATATAACCAATTATCATATTCTATTTAAATAATTATTTAAAAATAATTCCTATTAGATATATTTTCTAACAAATAATCTGAAAGGCTATTAACTGTTAAACATATGAAATGAAAGTAATAGACTTTTTTAGGTCTATTGTACCCCAAAGTTAATCAATCATGAATTTTGTCAGAATAAAATAGAAGAATATGATTTTAATTGCTAGATGAAGTTTGTAGAGAGAAAATATTTATGACAAACAAAACTTAATATTTTAGATTTTTTTTTTCAGTAGAGATGTTGCTCAGGCTGATCTCCAACTCTTGGCCTCAGGCAATCCTCCCACTTCAGCCTCCCATAATTTTAAAGATAGAAATAATAAAGATCCAGTGCCCTCAGATTAAGGCTATAGCAAATAAACTACTGGATTTATTTGAATTACTCTTTCTGAGAGAGAGGAGCTAGACTTCCATGTATCTTTCTTTTTACCCATTCTATCTGAATTATGGGAAATCATATAATATTGAATTTTCTCCAGCTTTTGAATGATGTGACCATAGCCTTTTAAGAATCACATTGATCTTACAATACCTGCTTTCTCTATTTTCTGTTGCAGCATTCTTTTAGGCCTGAGAATTTCTTTACAAGGTTGATCTGTTAAAAAAAAAAAAAAAAAAAAGATGGACAAGAAGAAAATGAGAAGATAAAATCTCAAAAACAATTCCATGAAATTAATTGTTTAAGTATTTAAAACATTCACAAGTCATTCATTCAACAAATGTTGAGAGCCTGCTTCAGATTAGGAATTACGCACCACTTGACTAATTTGACTTGTTTTATCTTAGTGGAACTCATGATCTAGTGTCATATAGTTTGACTTATTTTTTCTGAATTTGGTTTTGAATCCTGTAACCTTTTTGATCCACTGATTACAGATAAACACCCAAGCATTTAGAGTGAGTAATGTTTTTGTTAGGTATGCCATTTTTATTATTTTCTACTTGTGCTATATTATTACAAATATAAATATGAATGCCATAGTATCAAGTATAATTAAGAACAATTTTTAAACCATAGAAAGAAAATAGTTAAAATATGGTTCCTGCCCTTACAGAGCCCATAGTACAGTGGGCGAGACAGACTTATAACTAAGTGTAAGAATGTGCAATGACACACTGCTATCATATTACTTGTAAATAGATCTAGTTCTTACAATATCCTCCCAATTAAAAAAGGAGGGAATGATCAATTCTATATGTGGAAAAGGTCTCATGGAGAAGATGATTTTAACACTAGCTTCTCCAGGTTAATAAAGAGGAAAGCAGTCCCGATGAGTGAAGGTACAATGGTGTAAAATAGCACAGTGCCACTCAAGAACATACACTTGGATCTGTATAGCTTAAATGTAAGGTAAGGCATATCAGGGTAAGAGATAGTTGGAGATAGTGGGGGAGAAAATTAGGGAAGGATTTGAGTATAACACTAAAGAATTTGTGCTTTATCTGAGGGCCAGTGAAAAATTTTATACAGGGACATTACATAGTCATGGCATTCTAAAATCAGGGAAGAGAATATTCTGGAAGAGGGATAAAAATCAAGTCCGGGAGGCAAATGATCAATGTAAATTTCAGTAACAAAAATGCTGAGTGTTTTACCATTTTCTTGGAAGTCATCTGCATTTGCATTGGTGAGGAAGGTGAGTCCAGCTAGGTGGAACACATCTGCATTGTTGCGGCCACCACCTGCCCCACATCCCAAATCACTCTTCTCTAAAACTTGAAATACCTGTCCAGAAAGGCAAAATGTTGAGCCTATTCGGATGTATAAATCATTATTTTAAAGAATTAAAGGTACTAGTTGTTATAGGTTATAACAAACCAGTGCAACACACAGGTGACTCATTTAACAAATGACCAATGACTAAATTTCCCTACTTTGTTTCTAAGTTTGTCCTTCTATATTTATTAACATAAATACATACCTATTCAAAATTAAATCAGGAACTAAGTCTTAAGCAAATAGCTTTGATGAGGAGTTTCTTAGAAACTGACCCATGGTATTTTGTATATAGAATACATGCTGCAATCAATATAATGTCCTAAATAAATAAATAGGTGGATGCAGAAGGAGTGAATTAACAAAGAAATTAATTTTTAAGTTGCAAAAAAAAAGCATAACTTCTTGTGTTTTGAGAAGGAAGGTTCTAGGTTCTAAGTAGGTGAGAACTTGTTTGGGGGGCTAATTCCAGTTTTAATTTTGACCCCAAATATCCTTTTCTCTCTGAGCATTTTTAACTTTACAGTTTCTCAGTTCTTTCTTCCTTGTTCAAAAAATTCAAGCCTAGAAAATAATAATAGCTAAGCCTAGTAGAGATAAATGGGAACTTATAAGAATTGAATAATTTTCAAATTCTTCTTTGCCATAGATTTTTTTATTTTAGCGTATTATGGGGGTACAAGTATTAAGGTTACATATATTACCCATGCCCCCCTCCCCCCTAGAATAAGAGCTTCAAGCATGTTCATCCCCCAAACGTTGCACATCTTACTCCTTGTGGTTGTATATACCCATCCCATCCTCCCCCCTCCCACCCTCCCGACATCCGATAAATGTTACTCCTATATGTCCACTTAGGTGTTGATCCATTAATACCAATTTGCTGGTGAGTACATGTGGTGCTTGTTTTTCCATTCTTGAGATACTTCACTTAGTAGAATGGGTTCCAGCTGTATCCAAGAATATACAAGAGGTGCTATATCACCATTGTTTCTTAAAGCTGAATAGTATTCCATGGTATACATATACCACATTTTATTAATCCACTCATGAACTGATGGGCACTTGGGTTGTTTCCACAGCTTTGCAATTGTGAATTGTTTTGCCATAGATTTTAATGAGAGCAAAACAACAGCAACAACAAAAACAAACCCAAAGTTTACCTATCCAGTCTTCTGTTGTGCTGCTACTATATAACCACCACCACCACCCAACCCCCAGCCCCCAAACTCTACTAATTGATGGCACTTTTGCTCCATGGATGTAATTGCTATCACAATTATATGTTTTTAAATTGCTTACACATCTACATTTGGAAAAACAAAAAAGGACTGACCTGTGCTTTGGAAACTATCAATAACATGAGGATGTTAGTTCTTACCTTCCTAAGAACCACTATGTTGAGTAGATTATAGAAAAGCAGGCCTAGACTTCCCTTAATTCTTCCCCCACAACTTGCCCTGGTGGACACACTTTGTGAAGCACTGCATTGACCCAAACCACAGAAAGTCACCACTTAACTCTTTCCATGGGCTTGTTGGCTCTTCTTTGGACTCCATACACAGCACTGTCTACCGCTGTTAATGCCACCCATGAATCCATCTCAGTGGCCATATTAAGAGACACGGCTTGGCCTGGAGAATATGCATCTGCATCTGGAGACATATGAACCTTAAAGTTCATTTGAAAAAAGAAAAGAAAAGATGATTTGAATGAGACAAAACTTTTCAGAGGCAGCTACTTTGACAACCTCCTTCATTGAGAAAAAAATTTAATTATGGTTTATAATATGTGGCTGACCTTGAGCTGGTTGCCGCACTTCTCTTCAATGTTTAACCAGACTGAGTCAGATACTAATTCTGCTGTCTGCTCTCCTGTGACGATGTAATAGACCAGGAGACGGGCTGAAGGAACCATGTTCTGTGTCACTGGAATGTTTATACTTTGATAAGATGAATCTGAAAGTTTCTCCCTCGTGCCAAAGTGTATGATTTTGCCCTTGGATAAAATCTAAAAATAAACAGTGGCAGCAACAATAAATACAAAAACAAAACCTGTACTTCAGAATGGAGCTTGGAGCCCGAGCAGAAATTATGTTAAACAAAAATAAAGTTAACACGTATGGGCCTTTCATGTGCCAGGCAGGAACTTTAACATTTAACTCCTTTAATGCTTACAACATACCAGTAAAACAGGAATATTAATCCCATTGAAGAAACTGAAGCTCAGGAACCAACTAAAAATTTTACTGATTTTAATTCGAAATCATATAACTAGCAAATTGGTGAAAACTTGAACCCAAATCTATTTAAAGTCATCACAGTGTCACCAAAACCTCCTTTGTTTCATTGATTAAAAATATAGATGGATAAATCAAGTGCATCTTATTTGGAGATTAATTTTTAAAGCCAGGGATTAGATTCTAAATTGGAGTTTTAAGAATTAAAAAAAAAAAAAAAAGACATGAAGCCAAAATGTCCTCAAATATTCCTTAAATTGTCCTTAGGGAGCAGAACTGCATACATGGTCTTGATATGTAGTCCATAAACAGTTTCTCTAATTTTTCATAAGTCAATGTTTTTCTATAGTCCACAATGTTTTAAATTTCTTCCTCAAAACTATCAAAAAAGCCATCACCACCTATTTGGCCTGGCCATTGGAATAATTCATTCCCTTTCTTGGCGATTGTCAGGAAGCCCTTAAGATTTTTTGCACTTTCTTTCCTAGGTTGCACAAATAGGCTTGATTGATCCATCTCCGATTTAATATTAATATAAATGATACATTAGGGATGTTGAATTAGAACAGGCAGGATATGACTCAACTCTTAAGAGCAGGATTTGAATCTATCCTTTTATGCCAATGAAATGCACTTATTTGAACTAGGTCTGGCCATGTAATCTTTGGCCATGAAGTAGAGCAGAGGTAGTGTGATTTAATCATGCTCTCTCTGTGGAGTAATTAGGAGTTATCAGATCAGGAGTCAGAGGTCCCCAGTTCAAATAAAATCTTTCTCTTTGGAGATGAGTGACCATGACGAGTAATTTAACTTCTCTGTCCTTAGTTTCCTCATGGGTAATACTCATCCTCTATCTCAAAGGTTTTTGAAAAGCTGATATGCAAATTATATGATGTTCTTGAAAGTGCTTTGTAAATAACAAATGTAAGGGATCATTCCAATGCTTCTCGATATGCAAAGGAAAACATTTCAGGTGAGGGAATAAGATGTAAATCTATCATTATTGTACTTACCAAGTAATTATAGTGAGTTATTTTGTCAATATATGGACTTTTGGGGGTAACGATAATATTCAGATGTTCTCCCACAAGCAAAGCTTTATGGTTTTCAGTCCAATCAATATAAAGGTAACTTTGGCTGAGAGATGAGTACGCTATTGCTTGGTAACATTTGCTGGCCTGATTTCCTTCTGGAAGATCTGAGGCATCGGTTTTGACCTGAAAAGGAAAATTTCAAAAAGCATGTGGACTGTAATGCAATGCTTTCTGTAAAACATACTTCTCAATTTTTTTTTTTTTTGCTTTACAAATTTCTAAATTTCCATTACTCCAGTGTTGATACAGCTGTGGTATCAAGTAACTCTGCAAAGACTGTGGACAATAATGACAGGATTATGGGTTATAGTGGGAAAGTCTGGTGAAAGAGAAAGATGCTCCAGGAACAAATTTTAGCACCCTTCCTGAAATGTCATGGTAAGTTGGAGACTTCTCTTCCTATGAGATGGCATGGCAGGAAATGGTAGGGTGGCGGGGAGGGTGACCCTAACTCTTGAGGACTGCAGTGTGGGAGTTATGAGTGAATATCATAGAGACTATCTGACCCAGTGTCACTGTGAAGTAGTGGCCCAGAGGAGTGCTTATAAACCAGAGTGGGGCAGAAATGATATCATGGCAGTGATATCCACCTGTAGACAACAGAAGGGTTAACAGCTCATGCTCTGGAGTCAGATATGCCTTCATTTGCATCCCAGCACCACCATTTATTATCTCTGGATAAGTTTATTTAATCAAAATCGAGGTTAGAAGCCTCCCTTTCCTCAGCCACAAAATGGCAAACATAATATTCTCTAACTCATTGCTGATTAAATGGGTATTAAATATGTTCTTCATAAAGCTCTTAGCACAACGCCTAGCACTTAGTAAGTGCTCGGTAGACGATAGTGAATATATGCATACTATAGTCATTGACCTGCATTATTAACTTACTCATATTTATTTGACATTGGGAACTTAAACATTATGTGCTGGGAGGTAAGCTCTAAAGTAGACTGGTTCCTGCAGTTAGAAAAAAGGAAAGCTTCCGCATTTTACCCTTTTGTGGCCCTGAAAAGAGATTGAAAGTGGGGGGGGGGGGAAAGAGGATATTCCTACCACTCATGTACACAGTTATACCTACATAGAGAAAATAATTCTCAAATAAACAGTTGATAGATTTATCTTTCACGAGGACCATTCAATGGATTAAGCAGATTATCTCTGGGACTCATTTGTTTTGGATGCGAAATTATAGAACTGTTCACTGTGCTTGGGTTTAAAATCTGCTGCATCTGTTCTGCACACTAGCCAAAACACACAGTCAAAAAGTACAAATTGTCCTAAAAAATAGAGCAGGAGAATTCAGCTTACACAAAACTCCAGCGTCATCACTCCAGATGGGAGATTAACCACAAACGAAGCTACTCCATCACTGAGACGTGTTACACTTTTCTTTGGCTCCAAGTCAGATGTCTCTTGGTTTTCATCGACTGTTTCTGCATTCAGGGTTACTGGAATTCCTCCTACCAACTGGTCAAGCGAATCCTTAACCAGCACCTGTTTGTCAAAACAATGCAAATCCATTTCAATAGCTCATCACTTCTTTGAAAGCATAACAATGCTGAAATAATTTTCCTTCCTCCCCACCAAAGTATAAATTATTTATACTTTTTTTCTTTTTATTTTCTGAGATGGGGTCTCACTACGCTGCCCAGGCTGGAGTGAAGTGACTAGTCACAGGCACGATCATAGTTCACTAGAGCCTCGAACTCCTGGCTTCAAGCAATCCTTCTGCTTTAGCCTCTGGAATATCTGAGACTATAAGCATGTGCCACCATGCCTGGCTTATTTATGTTTAATTCAGTAAAGAGAAATGTGTTCACAGCTTATAAGCTGAGAAAGGCTTAATTCTACTTAGTTAAATCATTCTTGAATGGATTCCCCCATATATCAAGCAGTCTCAAAACACAAATATCATTCTATTAAGTCAGCCAAGGAGTAAATCTGATTAAGGTCTTCTGCTATCTAATTTCTGTATTTTTTTGATTGGTTTAGGACTGGATAAAGGCAAAAATGAGGCAACCACTTCTGGGAATGATTCTCTTGGGTATGAGAAAAAATAAATAGATATACCTTTTTTTTCCTTAACTTCCACCACTCACCACCATACATATATATATATGTATATATATATATACACACACACTCACATGCACACACATATATATGTATTTATATATAATCTGTATACAATTTCCACAAAAATATATTTTGTTATTTTATATATGATATAAAATATATAAAGGTAACTTAAATTTATAGTATATATCATATTTTATGATATTTTATTATATATTGTATATTGCTAGATATTATATTATTATATGATAATATATTATATATTATATATGTATATAAGAAGCTATAAGCATGTCCAAAGCTTGCTTTGGGCTTGGTAAATCTTTTTCTATTAAAAGCCAGGGACCAACAGTAAGTAATAAGTAACACATTTTAAATATACTTATGTTGATTTTCTAAAGTAACACATTTTCAAAGAATAAAAGCATAAAACATTCTACTCTAGCTTTCTAAAGTAAAAACAGGGAATAAAATTTCCATTTAATAAATATAATAAAATATAATATATTTTTATAATAAAATATATAATATAACATAATAATAAATTTAAAATATAATCAAAAATCACATGAATGTTTCAACTCTATCCTATCAGCATTTAAAAAAGGAAAAGTAGAGGAAGGTGAGAAAAATTAAAGAAGAAGGAGGAGGCAAAAAAGAAAAAGAGTCAGGAACAGAGTCAAAAATGAAGAAGACAGAGAGCAATACAGGGAAACGAGAGACCAGACAAAATTATGCACAAAGACGATACAGAGACAAAGTGAAAACATAGAAATACATACTCAGGAACACACTGGGAATGATAAAATGGTGAGAAAAGGGGTTTATTTTCAAGGAATGATATCTCTATCTTGAGGCTTTTAAAGAACTTACCACCAAATAATTTTAAATGTTAGTAATTTTTGAACTGTAGACTTCTTGGTTTTCATATGCATATAATCCAATGCAATGCTTATTTAGATGATGCCTAACATAAGGCTGTCTTGCCCTGTTGAAATCACTCTGAAGGCTACAGCTGGCCTGCAGTTTCCCATCTGGCTTGCATCCACAGGAGGGGAAGGTTTTTACGGAATGAGCTCCCTCTGCGACTCTCTTCCCCAGTATCTTTCCCCGTTTTTCATTCATATGTTTTCCATAAACAGAAAAAGATAATTGTATTCATCAGGTTTCCCTCCCCCACCTACCTTGATGGAATATGGAATCCCAGGCTTCAAGAAAAGAGGAGTGGCAACCAAATTCAGTTTGTAGGGAGAGAGGACGTATTTGATGCCAGATACTTCTGCCTCTTCAGAAAATCCACCTAAGGAAATGACAAGCATCATGTTGACATTTTTTAGGAGTATAAGATCTATGCAGATATCTATTTTGTCTCCTCATGGCTCCACAGACTGATTCATTCACTCGCTCCATTCTTGCATTCATTCATTCACCAGAAGTAACTAGGATGTGGCTCTTGGTTCAGAGGGCCAGTGCAGAGCAGGGTTTGCATCTCAGGAGTCTCCAAAGTCTTAGGTACAAGGCTCGTAAGTAGAGAAGCCCTTGCAGGAGTAGAACGATAGGACTAAGCTGAGGAGAAATGTGAGGAAGGGATACTGTTTTTGATCAGTGGCCTGAGTTTCAGTTGAATATGCCCAAAGATTGAGGAGAGGGGGAGAGGGTAGGCCAGAGACTGAGCCTTACAGGGTTCACTGAGCACAGGGATACAGAGAGACATGGAGAAGAATCAGAAAAAGACAGCTTGATGTAGAGAGAACCCTGAAGATATACTAGAAAGAGCCCAATAGTGTTACCCTCCAGCTAAAAATTAAGTTAAACTCGTAAGAATAATATACGAAGCTGTAGTATCCCCAAACTCCTTTCCGAAAATTATATCCCTAATGCTTCCTATACATATCCTACACTTTAGCCAAACAGGATAATATGCTCTACTCAAAGATCAAGGTTTACTGTCTACCCTTCTTAGAGTGCCCTCTCCACGGAGGGTACCCTGCTTCACCCTGTCTGTCATCCTTGCCTCAAAACCCTACTTGTCCTTCAAGACTGATGTCCTTCATGCTTCATGACGCTCTTCTTTTTTCTTTTTTGAGACAGGGTCTCACTCTATTGCCTGGAATGGAGTGCAGTGGCATGATCACAGTTCACTGTAACCTTATGCTTCTGGACTCAAGCAATCCTCCTGCCTCAGCCTGCTGAGTAGCTAGGACTGCAGGCACTTGCCACCTTGCTTGGCTAATTTTTCTATTTATTTATTTATTTTTTGTAGAGATGGGGTCTTACTCTTCTCACTCTGGTTTTAAACTCCTGAGCTCAAGCTGTCCCCCCATCTTGGCCTCCCAGAGTGCTAGTGCTAGGATTACAGGCATGAGCCACCGTACCAGGCCAACGACATTGTTCTTGGTTGTTCAACAGTCAGCTAGAAGCTCACCTTCCTCTGAAGGTTAATAGCATTAAATACTTTGCTTACAGCACATATAAGATTATTTCTCATAACAGAGTTTTTTGTTTACCTGTCTTACACCTCATACTAGTTTGTAAGCCACTTAAGTACAGAGATTACAAATCACTAATGTTTGTAAGCCTGTGTGTTCAGCAACACTGTTTGAATAGCTCATAAATATTGCTTAAACTGAATTTATTTGAAATAAATTTGAGGAAAAAAAGAAAAAATAACATTAAAATAATGCTGAAAACTTTGGACTTTAAGAAGCATTTAGTTCAACTCAATCATTGTACAGAGACAGAGACTATAACAATGATAATAGTAATAGTTGTATAGTACTTTATCAAATGTTTTTACATATGTAATCTTATTTTGGTTTTGATTCTGACCAGGTGACAACTCTGGGGTGCCAGATGTTCAAGCTAGATAGCCTGCAGAACCACTCTGGATATGAATTGGATAGTGTTATACCATTTTTGCCATTGAGGGAATAGGGATCAAATTGCTTGCCCAAAGACTACAGAGAAGCAGAGCTCTACTCCCTTTTTATAATAGTACACAAATCTACTTTTTATAATAATATAAAAAGTAAAATTTAACTGTGAAAGAAAATAAAATATGAAAGAACTATAGAAATTATTTATACCTTTAATATTCTATCTAAATATTTCCCAAAAGATAGTTAAAACACACATGCACACACACACACACACACACACACACAATTTACCTGTAGATTCTATGACTGTTACAGCAATATAAAGGTACTTGTTGTTTAAATCTTCTAGACTGTTATATGATAGTTCTTGGATTGCTGTTTCAGAATCAAATGTGACTTGAGCAATTCCATTTATCAACTTTTTAAAAAGGGAAAATAGAAGAGTTATTTCAGAGAAGAACTTATAATAATAAAAATTAACAAAATCTGCTCTCACTAGCCTCTAAATTGAAAGTAAATGTCAGAGGAATGATTTAGCATCATTCGTAAACTGGATGACCGAGTCCACAATTATAAGCCCAGATGTTATTTTAAAATCTATTTGTATAGAATTATAGATGTGGAAGCATCTTGAACATCACATGGTTGACAGGTCTTTTTGGTACGAGCTGACAAAGATGTCTTCTTCCAATTCCTGAGTCATCATCCATCTTCCTAGACCTCTGCCCTTAATGGAGAGTTTGTTGAATTTTATAATATTTAATTTGTACTTCACTGCCTACAAATTTAAACACTAAGTTTTAAACAATGGATAAAGGGACATAGGGCTAAGTCATATTATATTATTGATTAACACAACAGTAAAATAACATTTGCCTTATTTTTCCTTCTAACATTGAATGACTTGAGGTGAGGCATTTTTGTCATATTTAGCTTTAAATCTCAGAGTCTAGGATAAACTCTTGCATTTAAAAAAGCCATTTAACTTATGTCTTGAATAAATGAGACTGGCTTTTGAAAAAGCAGAGGATAAATAATTGATGATGCAAACTATATGAAAATGCAATAGTGAGCAAAAAGGACATGAACCCATATCATCTGTGGTATAATGTAAAGAACACTGAATACGTGAAAAGGGAACCAAGCCTCTAATCTCATTTCAGTAACCACTAGCCCTTCACCATGGACAAATAACCTCACAAATTTCTTAAACCTACTCTTTGCAAGAAATCATGCTGTCTCTGGGCATATAATGGGAATGATCCAGACCTGCAAACAGTTTAATGTCAAAAGTGATAGATAAGTAAATAAACCATTACAACAAAGAAGGCTTTCTCAACCTCAGCATTACTGACATTTTGGACAATTCTTTGTTGTAGAGGCCTGCTTTGTGCATTGTAAAACTTTAGCAGCCTCCCTGGCCTATACCCACTAAATGCCAGTAGCACCATCTTCCTCAGTTGTGACAAGCACAGATATCCCTGGACATTGCCAAATGTCCCCTTGGGAGTAAAAATCATCTCTGGTTGAGAACCCTTGCAATAAAATGTGGAAAATGCTCTGATAAGAGAGGCTCAGTACCCAAGTGAATATATGATAGGGGTAACTAATCTAGTTCAGAGGAGTCAGGGGAGGCTTCCCAAAGAAAGGGTGTCAATGTTGAAATAATGTGAAATAATGTTGAATAAGAAGGAATTAGCCAGGCAAAGAAGAGGCAGGTGTGGACAAAGGGAGAGAACATTTCCAAGCAGAAAGAACAACACTACAAAGACCCAGAGGCAAGAGAGACCAAGAGAAGTTTGAGAAATTGGAGTGATTATTTACGGGGGGGGGGGGGGCGCACGGGAGGGAATAACATGAGATCAGCTGGCAAGGAATGCTGATGCCAAGGAAAATGGACTTCACCCTAAGGTCGATGGGAAGCCAATGGAGGATTTTAAGTTTCAACTTCCATACCTGTATACAATAAGGGATCAGACTAGATGATTTTGAAGTAACTTTCCATCTCTCATATCATGATGCATCTTTAGGTATGAGTGAATGTGTCTGAACGTCTTACCATTGTGTTTTGCATTGCTTTTTCCATCATTTCTTTTTGATCATCTTGTAAGTCTTCTCTTATTCCAAAAGCAATATAAACGTCAGCTTCAGTGACTACTTTATTATAAAAATATCTGTCGAACAATAGCATAAAATTATTTTGGTAACATGGTTACAATAAGATTCAGATAAAATGTAACAATTTGAAATTACATAAAGCATTTGATATACTTTAAAGCAGGGGTCTTCAAACTTTTTAAACAGGGGGCCAGTTCACTGTCCCTCAGACCATTGGAGAGTGTGCACTCTGGGCCTGGGAGACAAGTCGGCTGCTAAACAGGACAGGCAGTGGTGGCAAAAACACCGGATAAATGTGCTAGGCAGCGCATATGTGGCCCGAGGGCCGTAGTTTGAGGATGCCTGCTTTAAAGTATATTTCATGCACTATTTTATTTCATCCTCATAAAGCCACTATAATAAAGCTAGAGTATGTATTTTTATTACTATGTGCTAGATGAAAAGAAATTGATCTTGGGGACATCAAATGATTCAGATCCAGGCTCTTTTCCTACAGGCCACATTACTTTCTTGATGATTTTGATACTAGTGGGAAGCTACTCCCTATTTTCTTTTGTCCTAAAAGGTACATGTCCAATCTCACTGTTATATAAGTTCCTTTTTAAAAATTCAAACTGCATATTTCCTTTTAGTTTAGGATTAAAGTAAAAATAAACATTCTACATAGTAAATAATACTATAGCAAGAGTTAACTTTTCTTATTAATGGTTTGAACAAATAAATTGTCTCCATTATAAGAAGTCAATTTCTATAATTTTCTCTCAAGTGAATATTTTATTCACTCAGTCTAAACTAGCATAAAAGGTACTCTATTTTCAGAATAAATGCTAACAAGAGAGGCAGTATAGGGCAGCGTTTGAGGCACAGACTTGGGAACAGAGAGGCTGTGTGATCTTGAGCAAATTATTTAACATTTATATACCTCAGTTTTTTTTCACTTGGAACATGGAGATAGTCATATGATCTACTTCATAGAGTTGTTGTAAAAATTAAATGTGCTAATATATGCTAAGTGCTTAGAAAAGTGCCTGGCACATATATAAGTTGGCTATTAATAACTACATTATATTGTCATTTTAAAATGATCTAAGATTTTGTGATAAGTTACTTGCAAAACTAACCTCAATTCTGTACCTCCCCATGTATCCACAATATTTGCAGTTCCTTGAGTGTACAGGTCATGGGAAGTATGTATTTCCTCTAGTCTGACCTTGTAACTTGCTTTGGACAAAAGAATGTGGTGGAAGTGATGGCATGCCTGTACCAATCCAGGCCTCAAAAGGACTTTTATGCTTCCATTCTCTCTCTTTGCGCATTGCTACTGCTGCAGGCTAGCCTGCAGGACAATGAGAGACACACATGATCCAGTCACACTTTTAGTCCCAGCCAACTACCAGACACGTGCGTAGAAACTTCCTAGACCAGTCAGTCCCTAGCTGACCCACCAACTGACTGCAGGTACATGGGCCAGCCCAGCTGACAATAGCCTGGCCCAGATCAGCAGAACTGCCCAGCAGACTCATAAATGCTTGTAGCTTTAAGGCATTGGGTTTCAAAGTAGTTATGCAGCATTAGCTGGCTGATTAAGCCATGAAAAAAATGACAAGTGAAAGCTTCATATCTCAGTCTCAGTATACTAAGTCATGCTACTTCTAAACATACATGCTAAACTTAAATCTTTAGGACTTTTTGCTGGTAAATCACCAAAAAAGCTAAACTCAGAATAAGCAAATAAATTATCGGCATAAAGTCTCTTCAATCAGTCAGTCCCATGGCAGACTCTGCTAATAAATCATGGATCTCACTTTGGGCAACTATCAACAACTAGAGTTCACACTTGATTTAGCTCATTAATCTGAAAAACAAAATAATTTTCTTACCTTGCTTTTATAGTAATTTCAAAATTCTTAAAGTTCTTATAACTAATGAAATTACTTTCTGGTTCTATTGACACAGAGAAATGTGGCAAGACTGGAAGAAAAAACAAATAGACAATATTACCATTTAAATGAGTCTTTAAAAATCTAGCTAACAACTACACTTTCTGATATAGTTGGACAGGCTGTGGTATCAACACAAAATTCACCTTATCATCATCGTTATCATCATCATCATCAAGAACAATATTTGGGAAACCTTCCAGCTCCACCAATCAGAGATCAATCCAGCCTCCATGTACCAGAAGCACTTTGCTTATATTTTGATGATAGCATTTATTATAGGCAATAGATCATTTTCTCCACTAGAGTATAGGCTCCTTGAAAACAAAGACTACTCTCTATTTATTTTTGTGTATTGCTCAGCTTTTCTTTTCTTTCTTTTGTTATTATTTTTTTTAGAGACATGGTCTCACTTTGTTGCTGCCCAGGCTGGAGTGCAGCAGTGTGATCATAGCTCACTGCAGCCTCGAACTCCTGGTCTCAAGCAATCCTCCTGCCCCAGCCTCCTGAGTAGCCCTCCCAACTTTTCAATAGTGAAATGACATGGAGAGATTTGCATTTCCAAGATTATTTTGGCTAATACAAACCAAGATAGCTTGGAAGGAGAGACATCAGTTAGGAGACTTTCTTAGTATTCCAGGAGGGAGCATGGTGATGAATTTATGAGGGTGACTACAGCTAGTAAAAGGTGGATGAAATATATATATATATATATATACACACACACACAAAGTAGCAAAAAACACTTGGAGGAATGGAAATCAGTTAGGATTATAGTTACAGAGGGCCTATAATCTTTAAGGTTGAGTTTAATTGTAACAAGTTTGTTCTATCACTGTTTTCCTTGTTAATTGTTAAAATTTATGTAAGTATTTATTCTTTTCCATATCATTATGAGTCTCCTGAGGGAATAAAAAATGGTTTCAAGGCCGGGCGCTGTGGCTCACGCCTGTAATCCTAGCTCTTGGGAGGCCGAGGCGGGCGGATTGCTCAAGGTCAGGAGTTCAAAACCAGCCTGAGCAAGAGCGAGACCCCGTCTCTACTATAAATAGAAAGAAATTAATTGGCCAACTGATATATATATAAAAAAAAAAAATTAGCTGGGCATGGTGGCACATGCCTGTAGTCCCAGCTACTCGGGAGGCTGAGGCAGAAGGATCACTCAAGCCCAGGAGTTTGAGGTTGCTGTGAGCTAGGCTGACGCCACGGCACTCACTCTAGCCTGGACAACAAAGCGAGACTCTGTCTCAAAAAAAAAAAAAAAAAAAAAATGGTTTCAAGCAGAAGAAAGTTAAATTTGATAGCAGAGCACACAGATATTCTAGTAAACTACTATAAGAATTGGAAAGATTAAGCTATTTATATGTTCATTATTAGTCTAGTAATATGATTTATTTTGAAATAAGAATATCTTAAAATTTCAAATTAATATATTAGGGATTTGTAAGCCAGAAGGAAAATGGCACTGGACTAGAGGTAAGGAAACCCAGTTGTTGCTTTTGTTCTGTCACTGGTTTTAAGATTTGAGTAAATCATTTATTAGTCTTCCTGGGTTCCACTTACCTCATCTCTGTTTAAGTTTCTTCTAATAATAATCATAATTCTAGAAAGTACTTTTTTAAAACATATTATGGGGGTACAAGTGTTAAGGTTATGTATATTAGAAAGGACTTTAACTAGTTAAGCTCTTCAGCTAGACTAGATCTCTTCCTGCTCTATGATAAGGAACATAACTGGAGAGAGGTTTGTCTCTTTGCTCAAGGTTAACAAGGGCACACTGAAGCTAGAACCGAGGCATTCGAACAACCATCACTCTCCTTAGGTCCAACCAGCACTTGTAACCATACCAGCAGGCTGCCTCATCATTATCTGAGAATGGTTTTTGCATTAAGTACATTAATAAAGAGAATTATTACAAAAATACTTTTTATAGGTAAACTTTTAATTGTCAGATTACCATATTCTTTAATTTCAAAATATGTGGTTGCAGTTGTTGAAAAGTCCTCTTTATATTTAGCTCGAATTGTCCAAACACCATATCTGTGGAAGCAAAATATTGGAAATTACAAATGTCATCAGATATTTTTAATTGACCCAGAGGAGGGCTAATAAATTCTTGATTTAAAGAGGGAAGAATACACAAAGATGTGCATAACCTAAGTAATATATTTTATTTGTGACAGATTTTTAAGCAATAAACAGAAATAATTGAGCATTTTTAGGATAATAGAAATTGATAAGTAATTCGGTTTTTATATACTGTGATAAATTCATATGGGGAGTGAATTTGGGGAATTTCATATGGGGAATGAAATTATGGTTTGAGACAAAATGTGTTTTAAGAGGAATATAACCTGGGTTTAATTAACAAGGTTCATTCAAAAATACACACTGAGCACTGGATTAAGCACAGTAGATAAAAAATGAACAGGATAGGAGAGCATCTGTCTTCATGGAGTTTAATATTAATAGTCCCTGGGAGTCCTCAGTGAGAATGGCCTTTATCAAAAAGTCCCAAAACAATAAATGTTGTCGTGGATGTGGAGAGATAGGAACACTCATACACTGCTGGTGGGACTGCAAACTAGTGCAACCTCTGTGGAAAGCAATATGGAGATACCTTAAAGCAATACAAGTAGATCTACCATTTGATCCAGCAATCCAACTACTGGGCATCTACCCAAAAGAACAAAAGACACTCCATAAAAAAAGACATCTGCACTTGAATGTTTATAGCAGCACAATTCACAATTGCAAAGATGTGGAAACAAATCAAGTGCCCAATACATGAGTGGATTAATAAAATGTGGTATATGTATACCATGGAATACTATTCAGCTATAATAAACGATGGTGATATAGCACCTCTCGTATTTTCCTGGATAGAGCTGGAACTCATTCTACTAAGTGAAGTATCCCAAGAATAGAAAAACAAGCACCACATGTACTCACTAGCAAATTGGTTTCACTGATCAACACCTAAGTGGATATATAGGAATAACATTTATCGGATGTCGGGCAGATGGGAGGGGAGAGGAGGGCATAGATATATACATACATAATGAGTGCGATACGCACCGTCTGAGGGATGGTCACGCTTGAAACTCTGACTCAAGCAGGGAAGGGTGGCAAGGGCAATATACGTAGCCTTAACATTTGTACCCCCATAATATGCTGAAATAAATAAATAAATTGTCCCTGGGAGCTCAAAATCTTAGTTTTCCATTTATTAGCAGGTTTGACTTAAGCAAATTATATAACTTTGTTTGTGAAATGGGAAAAATAATACCTTCCTTGCAGATTGGTTATGTAGTTAACAAATGTTAATATTATAGTAATTATTATAATCATCATCAATTCAATGAATATTTATCAAGTGCCTAGTATGTTGAAGTGCTGGAGATAAAATAGTGTGCAATACAGACAAGGCCTCTGTTCTTTAACAGTTTATAAGCTAGTGAGGAATAAAAAAGCAAGTAAATAAATAATTATGACATTGAGAAAAATGTCATGAAGAAAATAAAAAAGATGCTGAGATAGACAGTAAAAGAAAGTGAGAGATGACATTAGCTTGTGCATCCATCAATAGCCTTTTGTAAAGGCACCATTTTCTCTGTGTCCTAAAAAGGAAAATAAGTCACCCTTCTGAAGAGCAAGGTGAAGCTCATTCCAAACAGAGAGGACTGCATGTGCAAAGGTATTGTGGTAGGAAAATACTAGTCATAATAGACTCTCATGGCTATCATAATCCACCATGGGGCAGGTGGCACTAGATGAAGTTGCAGAACCTATGATAATAGGTTCAATTCTGTGCTGTGGAACATGTAATATTTTAAAGAAAGTACACAATTTTAAATTATCCAAATTACTTAAATCCCCCAATTTCAATCCAAATCCAATTTTTAGAATATTTTCAGTACAGTGAATTAACTGCAAACTCCCTTCTAGAGAGAAGAAAATGACCATAAAAAGATTTTGCCTTAAAGTTACAGGTACCTATAAATAGGTATAGACATTTATAGGTACACTTGACTTATTCATCTAATTCTAAGTTCCTTGAAGCAGGGAATATGGATTCTTCATTTCTATTTTGCATCTCTCACTCCTATTGTGATTTGCATATAATAAGAATGTGTTCACTAAATATTTATTACATTGAACCCTGTTTAAACTTATTCTTAAATCCTTTCACATGAGGCCAAATGGAAGAAATGGCTCTGAGAACACCTTCCATCTTGGACTCTGCCTTCTGGTAGTTTATGCATACAAAAACTACAGAGGACCATATTTTATAACACCTAGAGCAAGGAATGGGACCATACCAACCTTTTAGATGGACAGTCAATTAAATTCCTAGCAGTTGATGGTTTTGATGAGAAAAAGCCTAGGGAGTATTTCTTCCTCTTCTAAATTTTTATTTCTATTAATATATGTAAAAAGAATGGGTGAGAAGTATTGGGATTTTTTTTTTTGGTCAGGAACAGAGCTCTAACTTCTCACTAGACTTAAAAAGATTTTGCATATCCACATTTGTGACACTCTTTGTTAACACTAGATGGCTCCCTTTGGTTACCTGCTTCACAACCAAAAGTTCCAGATGTGCTTTTTAGAGAAAATTTTATTGACAAAACTTTAACATACTTAGGATTAGACGGAATCTTGAAGTCGGGAAAAGATATAATTCCAGTATAATCAATTTCTTCTACTATGTCAACTTCTGATCCTTCGGGATCCTTTGAATAAAAACAAACACCCTCAAAACACAGAAACCACATTTTTTTAAAAAATTAACTGATTACATGATATTTGATCTACAAAAATACTTAACAGCGAATATCTATGTCTTCAAATTAAATATGAAGGATGAAGAACAATTAAATGTTTTGGAAGGCAAATGTCATTCATTTCAGCCACTTTCCTCCTTTTTTTCCAAAACTTTCCCATCTCTCCTCATTATCTAGAAGAGGCTCTACTCTCTATTGTACAACCAAAAAAAGAAGTGTAACAAAATGTAAAAAAAAAAAATCCAAAACTGATATTTTTAATAAACTAAATGTGAAGTTAGCAGGCTTTATAAATACCAGAGTCTAATTTTTATACATGTTCATTTGAAGCTTTCTAAAGTAAATATACTATAAAATGTACTTTTAGCTAGAAATTTAACATACAGCATAGACATTTTGGTGTGATAAAACCCTCAAAATTGTTAAAGAAATTTGATAGCTCTCATAAAGCTTCTCCAGAAGCTTCATTTGGTGCTTGGGTTAGCAAATGATTGAAGCGAGGTTTTGACTTTCTTTGAACTACATGTGAAAGTCCAGTTCAAACTTAACTCAAAAACTCAGCACCATTTACCATGACTGAAATTCACAGTCATAATTTTATAGTATTTTTTATTTAATTTCAAATTGTAAATCTTAACAAAAGCTTATTTTGAACAAGAATTACACTTGGGCTAAGTATCTTCATCCCACCATCTATTGTGCACAATCCTTCTAAGACCATCTTTCTTAAGTACTATTTTCAGGATACTTCCTACATACTGATTCCCTACAGCTCTGGGTTCAGCTCTCTCAATCCTCTCTTCCTGGGCAGCTCTTACGCAGGACAACTGGCATGCATTCTTCCACGTATGATGCCAGAATTCTGCATCACTCAAGTTGGACAATGCAGATGTTGGACAAAGACCGTTTGTCCACACCCCTAGCATTTTCCATTAGAAAAGGTGCATTTGAGTTGACATCGCTTCTCCTTAGTTGTCTTCTAGACTTCCCATCAGTCAACCAGTTTATTTACTATTCTCATTTTTTATTTCTTCCTGCCCCCAAAGCTTAACTCATGCTGCTTTTTACACAGTATGGTCTTCATTCTTTTAAAAGAATCTCTCTCTATTCCTTTCACTAAGACCTAGCTCACGGTTTCCTTTAGTATGTCACTCCAGAAAAGGATTATATCACCCTCACTTTCACCTCTAGTTTGTCTTCCCTCTGAGTTCATGTGCTATTTGTCCTACTGTGTAATTTCTTTGGTTTATATACTAGTTTAGTTTTTTTTTTTTTTTTTTTTTTTGAGACAGAGTCTTGCTTTGTTGCCCAGGCTAGAGTGAGTGCCGTGGCGTCAGCCTAGCTCACAGCAACCTGAATCTCCTGGGCTTAAGCGATCCTCTTGCCTTAGCCTCCCAAGTAGCTGGGACTACAGGCATGCACCACCATGCCTGGCTAACTTTTTCTATATATATTAGTTGGGCAATTAATTTCTTTCTATTAATAGTAGACACGGGGTCTTGCTCTTTCTCAGGCTGGTTTCAAACTCCTGACCTTTAGCAATCCGCCCGCCTCAGCCTCCCAGAGTGCTAGGATTACAGGTGTGAGCCACCGCCCCCAGCCCTCTAGTTTAGTTTTGTTCTCTAGTATCTTTTTTTCTTGCACTTGCCTTCTGATGAGTTTTTATTTTTTGATTTGCATAGCAGAAAAAGTGCCATAGCCTATGGTGAAGGACCATTACTAGTATACCTACACTTAATAAGTGAGCAGTTATGACTAATTGTATTACTTTATTTCCCCACAAAAATGTTTTAGGTATGTGAAACAAAATGGGTAAGACTATGAGAGTTTAATGTCCATCATCTGTTACATATGTCATGTCTGATAAATGGTTGACAACTGCTGATCTCATAATTTAGCAAGACTTTTTACATGTGTTAGTAAATCAGTTATTAAACTCTCTAAGTTTCTTAAGAGTAAGTACCATGGATTATAATTCTTTATTATAAGTTATACAAATAAAAATCTTATGCATATATTCAATTAATTCTTAGTGACTTATGGGTGTTCCTTAAAAAAGAAATCCCCAAGGATATACTTAAATGGTTTCATTCAAAATCCTTTAAGTTGTTAAAATTTAATTTTTATGAACGTTTTGCATATGTCTACTGCAGAGGTATAGATCTAGAATACTACGGTCAGTGCAGATGTTTAATAACCATTTATAGACCATTGAATGATTTAGTGTAGTGTGAGAAAGGATTATGGAACAAGACTCTTCTTCTGAAAAAATGAGTTAAAGTATTATTTAAATAAATAAAATACTTACTATGAAAGTTAAGGTAGTTTCTCTTTTGGCTGGCTTCAAGTCATCGTTCAATGAATAAACTCTAACCTTTACTGCAAGAATAATTGATGTCATCAAACACTCTCCTAAACACCAGGATATTTTGATTTTTTAAAAACAATCATCCTTAAAAGAGATGTCTTACTTTATTTAAGAAACTCAATATATAATCAATACACAAAAATTCATATTTAAAAGAAAGAAAAAGTTCATTTGCAGATACATATATTACTAAAGTTTTTTTTTTTATTTAAAGAAAATTCTCTGGGATTCCTTTAAAGAGCTACTTCTCCTTCTCCTAGCTAACTTGAATTATAGCTCACTTTATTAAAATACTCTTAACATACAATTTTTTGAAAAACATCCATAGTACAAAATCAGTTACATCTGTAATTAGGCCATTGTTTATCAAGAATTTGATAGTAGCAAGGAAGTGACATCTACCATATGGGTATACGGGAGCATAATATATTGTCTCATATTAGAGTTGAAGATTTTAAGAAAAATTGAGAGTTTGATTCAGACATTACATACTCTTCCATTTATGAAAATCAACAAGACCTCAAATTAACTCTTATTGAAAAAGGGAGCTTTGAATTGTACAGTTGTGTTATATTTATTGAGCCAGATCCTACAATTATTCTCTCATTGTTAAAAGAATAATGGCAGGGGCTCACTAACTGTTAGTTCTCTTCCACATCCTTCTGTCAGTTAATACATCCCTACTTTTTAAACAAAAGCAACTGTTTAGCTTTTAACTCACAGCTGTTCAAGGCACACTGATCTAGTTCCATCCAAAGACATACTGTAATTTCTCCAGTGTTTTGCTGGTGCTCAAATTGTTTCATGGCCACAACTTTACCCACAAAATAAAACAGAACTGGCACTATAAACCCAAAGCCTTTAAAAAGGTCAATATTATGCAAAGTTCTATATAAGAAGCCACATTAACTAACACTTGTTTTACTAAAACCACAAGGTAAAAGCAATATGCTCAGTAAGTCCCCACACTCTGCTCTCTCCCTCCCCTCACACCTGCCTCATTGACACACTCGGTCCAGGCCTAAACATCGCTGGGAAGCTGCCCGAGGCAGGCAATATGTCACAAAAGTGAGCACAGGCTCTGGAGTTAAAAATTTTGGTTTTACTCCTGCCTCAGCCACATTCTAGTGTGTCCCTGCGTGTGGGATACTGAAACCCTTTAAACCTTAGTTATTTTACTCATAAACCAGGAATAATGGTATCTGCTCATAGTGTTGTGAGAACTAAAGAAGACAAAGCTTTTGCATATCCTGGAACATAGTTGTAATCGATAAATTTGTATTACTTTTATTATTATGTATTACTTTTATTATTATTGCTGTGACTACTATTCATCTAGTTTTTATCACAGTTTGTGTTTAGGTTAGAAAATTAATCTTGTTTTTGCAGCAATAGTGTATCGGAGGCAAGATCAATACAATTTTTTGTATCAAAGATACGACCTTATTAATTTAAAGAGATTTTTGAATGTCTTCTATGTGCCAAGCACTATGCTAAACACTGAGATGTGAAACAACTCAAACATGGACATCTTCTAGTGGAGGGAGGAGAGAGGCAAACACAATTATGAGTAAGATTCCAAGGCTGTGAAGCGCTACAGATGATACCTGCCTAGCTTTATGTGCATGTAGTAGAGGAGATTTGAAGTGGTCAGTGAGGTCAGGGAAGGCTGCCCTTTACAAGGGGCCTGTGAGCACATGTAAAGGCAGAGTAGAAACTAGGGAAAAGGAGGGGCAAGAATGTACCAAGACAGAGACAACAGCATGTTACACTCGCCTTAAAATGGATGGGGAAATGGTGTGAGAAAGCAACTGAAAACGGTCAGTTTGGCTTGTGTCCACAGATGAGGGGAACATGGTAGGTGATGAAGCTGAGGAAGAAGGTAGAACACAGACTGTATGGAATTAAAGGATTTGGGCCAAAATTCTAAAGTCCTTTATCCTATAAAGGGTTGAAAATTTAAGCCTTTATCCTAAAGATGCTCATACTAAAAAAACCTCAAAGATCTTATGTGTCAATCAGGACGTTAGAACTATAAATAGCAAGACTTAATCAATTTTTTTAAAAGTTTCTTTTAAGTAATAGTTTTTTTTGGTAAATAATGCTTTGTCCTTTCTACAGAATAGATAATAATGAAAAACACTTTCTTAGTGCTTACTTTGCGCTTGGCACTATTTTAAGTGCTTTACACATAAAAATTCATTTAATTCTCACAATTCTTGAGGTAAGTTATCTTATTACCTCCATTTTATAGATGAGGAAAGTGGGGGTCTGAGAGGCTGAGTAACTCATGCAGGGTCACATAGCTAATAACAGCCTCAGCTATGATGTGAACCCAGACAATCTAGCTCTGGAGTCAGATTTTAACCACTTTACTTCACTGTCTCTCACTAAAGGGCCAATATTTAAAGTTCTCTCATTTTCCTCTATGATTAGAATAGATAAGGATGACATACTTTATGATAAAGGCCTGACTGAGAAATAAATGAGGCAGTTCTTAAGGAAAGGCTTGATAATTTAAAAAGGTCCCAGGCTGTGGGTGTTAGACTACTTATTGGACAAAGACCAGTGATCCTAAGTTATAGGTAGTGTCAACAGTATCCAATTAATGAAGCATCCTCAAACGAGGGAAAGGATATGCTTATCTCTAGTATGATTATGCTTTAAAAGACTCAACCTCTATAGGCAGAGACTATTTCCTTATAGATCAACTCAACTTGGAGTCAAGAGATGCTATTATTTTGGCAATGATATTCTGGCCAAGGTGATAGCAATATCCCCACCCTCTCTAGGCCTTTCCTTTTGAGCCAATTGTAACAAGTGCTCCTGCTGAAATGGTAATGATGCAGCCCAGTTCCACCTCATTACTGTCATCATCACCACCAACCAATATTTAGCAAGTATCCACTGTGTGCAAAGTTTTTCAGCAAAGCTGGCTTTTCTTCAACAAAATCAGTTCTGCCTTCCTTTCTCTGTCTTGCCCCAACAATAGCACTAACAAAACTCCATAGCCTCTCCCTCCCACATACACATCTCTCATATCCTATCTCTGATGTGCTCGAAAGTCAATGATGGCCAGAGGGAGAAATGGGGGAATTGAAGGCTTTGCAAATGTGTGAATGCATTGGGCAGGATTCATACTTTGCTGTGTTTTACTTTTAGTTTATTGGTAATAAATCCAGTTATTCCTTATTCACAGGGTTTTGACTGCCTATTTGGCCCTTTTCCCTCTAAAAGAAACACCATGAATATGAAACAATGTTCTAACACGAACTTTCTTAGGTAAATCCCCTTTGAAAATTAATATCCATATATTTCTGTGATCTAGTTTATTCTCTGCTGAAACATCTGATCCCCTAGGGGCAGATTTGTTTTCTGAATTTGGGGATTAGCTCCAGAGTTAAGGGATTTTTTTATGAACATGGCTCCACAATAAATTATTTTCCCATTGCCAAAATTGTATTTGCAATTAATTCTTCTATTTGTTATTAAGCATACAATCTAACACAACATTTTATAATTTTTAAAAAGACTTTTTAAAAAGACTTTTCTACTTGGAAATAACAGAAGTGGTAGATAATAGAATTGTGGATTCTGCAATTTATTTAGCAATTTTTCTATAAATTTAAAGTTACAATGCTATTTGAAAGTATAAGTCATTAGGAATTGAGACTCTTTTGAGCAAGTTGGAAACCTGTCTCCACTCAATTTTGGGCATTAAAAAGCTCTAAAATATACTGTCAATCCCCACCCACCCAGAAAAAGAAACATCTTATATACTCTACCTGACTGATGTGGAGTGTAAACAGGTTTATCTGTATGAATAAAGAGAAATCCATTGTCATAGGTTATTGGCATTTTTTTTGATTTTGAAAAATGTTTTGATATAACTTCCAAATACACATATGAAACTGGGTTTTGTCCACCAGACAATTGTTTTGGTTGTATCTATAAAAGAAAAAGTTGATGGAAAAGAAAACAATAATTCTAAGGTTATAAAGCATGTTGAATTTCTAAATACCACTATAATCTCATTAGAACAAAAAAATGAATATGTGTATCTAATCGTTTAAAAAGTGGTACAGGAACCAGAATAGTAAATAAATTTACAAAACCCTTTAGTGTCTAATATAATAAAAATTAAGCATTAAGCAATTAAAAGTCTTTTTGTTCCACATTTCCTGAGTTTGATATATATTTTGTGAAACTATTATTTTAGAAGCTCTTAAGAAACGTTCACTTAATCAGCTTGCTAGGTTACCCAGGCTCCCCTATTCCCTTCTTACAGCACCCTGACTGACATTCTGGATACTCTGTATTACATCACATACTTTTGTTTCCATGGGTTTCCAGTTTGTGTAGATATTAAATTTGCACAACATTTAATGTAACTAAAAAATTTACAAATTTAATACATGAAAAGCAATAAAAGAAAGAAAAGTATATCTATGAGAACTTAGGCTATAGAAACACGGGATGAAAGTTAATCACTAAAACCAATTGTGAAATTAGCTATGTGAAATTATTGTAAATGTTTGGAAAACAGCAAAAATCCATAAATATATTCACTCAGATTACTTTGCAACTGTCTTTAAGTTCTCTCTCTACTTTTAAGAAACATAAACTATAGAACAAAGATGAATTGTTAAAGGTGTAACATGTAAAAAATAAGATTTGACATGACAATCCAGGGATCCATACTTAAAGAAAAGACCTTGACACAACATCAAACGCTTGGCAAATAAAGATACATTATAATGTTAAGATAAAATTAAATGCTTCAGAAATGTATCACTTATGATTCCCCCACGTTAATCTATTTTTTCAATTAACCATCTAGGTCAGCACTGTTAAAATAATTTTCTATGATGACAGAAATGTTCTATATCTATGCTGACCAGTATGGTAGCCACTAGTCACATGTGGCTATTTGAACACTTGAAGTGGGCCTAGTGCTACCAAGAAACTGAATTTTTAATTTTAGTTGAATCTAATTGATTTAAATTTAAAGGTAACAGCCACATGTGGCTAGTGGCTACTTCTCATTGTATCAGATAAGAGAATACTGAAAATTATACTTTTGGGAAATTAATTTTAATTGTTAATAAACCTAGTAAGTGAATGTATTTGTTAAGAGATAAAGAGTGTTTACTATCAAGGACATTAATGAAAGAATTCTTGTGTTTGATTAGAACTTGTTCAGATCAGTGTTTTCAAACATGAGTAATAATACTTTAATACTTTTAAAAGTATTAAAATGTACAGGACTCTCAGCATTGACTTTTTATTATTTATAAACATAACTAAAAATCATTTTTATTACAGTGCTACTTCGATATGTATAAACTTAAAACTAGGTATAATTTTTTATGCTTATGACTTTTACATAACAAAAAATCAAAACAAATTTATAAAATAAATTCAAAATATTATAAGATCAATATAATTCTAATTTTAAACTCTTTATAGAGTTTCTGTTTTTATTTCTTTATAAAGAACTCATTTTAGAAAAACACAAGTCTTAATGAACAATAGCCCCTTTTAAGTCTGATAGTCTTTGATTTTCTGGTTCTTTAATTATCAGAATTTTAATAAGAAATGAATTGCAAGCATGTCTCTAACCAATGTATACTATAATATCTTAATAGGAGAAAAGTTATTTGACTAAGATTGTTCTTTTTACTAACTACAGGTTGTCAATAAGAGCTATTCACTTCAGTAATCAATAATTTTACTAGTTTTGGAAACTATAATTATAGAATATTGGAGTTTAAACAAATATTCAATAGCACCTACGCGTTTTTTGTGGGCAATGCACTATAGATCAATAGGCATATTCATATTTCTCTATTTCTTTGTAATGATAATTTTCATAGCAAGCCTATTCAATTCATCTCCAAATATTTTTTGCATTAGTCCAATTTTATTTTCCAACAAGAATGTGAAAATTTACATGCATTGCTCAAAAAGTAGATATATTACATCACATTCTAAACAACTCTTCTGTTTAGAATTTTTTGTTTCACCCATATTATCATTAGTGATTGACATCATCTAATAATCACACAGTGGTTGAGTGGCATAAATTATCAAAAAGTTTATTCATATTTTATTGAGAATATTCTGTACATATATAAAAAACAAGGGGTAAATACGTACTGTTAAGATTGCAGAATTTTGGAATTTATTTTCTGAGGATAAACTAACATAGCCTGAGGAGTAAGTAAATTTTTTGTCAGGATAACTTTTAATGGAGATTGTTGCATCAAATGCTTCAGTGTATCCATAAGCTTGAATTACAATATTTTCAGATGCTCCAACACGGAATACTTTTGGTGCTGAAATGACATATCTGTTGAAACAGAAAAAAAAAAAGGCTCAGTATCTTTATATGACATATTTTTTTATACTTCTGATTTTTTTCTCTCACTTGAGAGATTAAATTTGAAATAGATATATTTCTTCGACTTAAAAATGATATTTTAAATAAAAATTTGTTTGTGATCTATGATAATTTCAGCATAATTTCCAAGAAGAAATAGCTTGGAATTAAGACCTGAGAAATAGAGCTAGAGGTTTAGTTTACATTAAAAAGGTAATAATAGGACATTCCCTTAGATACTGCAGCCAAGGAAGACTTTTAATGATGTTGACCAGAACATGTAAGTGGGATCAATATTTTTTGTCCAGTGAAGCAACATAGGCACCAGTGATTGAATTCTAGCTCTGCCATCTGCTGGCAGAGTGACTGTGGTAAAGTCACTAACCTTCTCTGAGGCTAAAAAACTTACTTGTGAAAATATCACCATCTTCTGTGATAAGGATTAAATAAGAATGTGAAAAAATATATATATATATAGAGAGAGAGAAGCCAGGCAAGGTGGTTCATGCCTCTAATCCTAGCCCTTTGTGAGGGCAGGAGGATTGTTTGAGGCCAGGAATTCAAGACCAGCCTGAGCAAAAGAGAAACCCGACTCTACAAAAAATAGAAAAATTAGTCAGGCATGATGGCACACGCCTATAGTCCCAGCTACTCAGGCGGCTGAGATGGGAGGATTGCTTGAGTCCAGGAGTTCGAGGCTGCAGCGAGCTGTGATGATGCCACTACACTCTAGCCTGAGTGACAGAGCAAGACCCTGTCTCAAGAAAAACAAACAAACAAACAAAAGAACATATATATGAAAGTGTTTATTGAGAATATTAGAATAGCATGCTTAGAACTCAATAAATGTTAAGATTCATTGATTTCATTAAATTAGTTAAAAGGAAGTAATCTTAGAGATACTATGTTATACTATTAAGTGACTAAAGAAAAGAAAACAATTAAGTTGAGAAAATGCATTTGGAAATGGAAATAATGATGGAATTCCTTGAAGAACAAATCATCATCATCATACAATAATAACAGTTAATTGAGTAGTTACCATATCATCAGAGGATGTTAGCACTTTACAGACAACTCTTTTTAATCTTTACAACAAGCCAATAATACAGGTTCTATTATTATTTCTATTTTATAAGTGATAAGAGGTGAATTTGACTTGGGTCCTACAGCTTGTAAGTGAATGGGGCAAGACTTTATAATCAGGTCTTTCTCTGTTGTTATATGTACAATTGAGGTCAAGGTTAAAAGTGTTATTCATAACCATAGACTTGTTTTCTCATTTTTAGTTTTCATGTGATAGAACTGAATTTATACATGCTTTTGAAATACAAATTTTAAAATATGTGATTTTTCATTGTTTTACTAAATAAAACTTACAAACATAAACTAGATTATTAACTATATATTCACAAAAATATTTAATTTGAATAGTGAGAGCTACATATGCTATTGCATAGGAAAAAAAGGCATTTCAACCAAAAAGGGCATAGTGATTGACTAATTCAAGTGGTCCAACAGGCTTGGGGTACAGCCAGCATCCCAACTGGCAGAATTATTACAGGCTCCTGACAACATTACAACATTTTAAAAGTTTTTAAAAAGCAACAAGTTTTTAGTAACAATGAAATTAATTTGGTAGCAATTAAATCCTTTAAAGCATCTGGCAGTTTTCCTCCATGACAACCAATTTGGATCCATTTATAGGCAAATTGTAAAAGCAGGGAAAGAATTTACAGATTTACAGCCATCATCTGAATTCCCCTTCCCCCCATGCTTAGCAGGAACAGTAGAAAATGAGAAAAGTTCAGCTTTAATGGTCATAAGATACATTTAATGGAATCTTACCATGGGCTAGGGACCATTCTAAACACTTTATGTATGCAAACTCATTGTGTTGCTGCTACAACTGCTCTGTGAGAAAGGTACTATTATTACTCCTATTTTAAGATGAGGACACTGCTAATTAACTTGCCCAAGGCCACATAGCTCATAAGTTAATAGAATTAGGAATTGAACCCAAGCAGCCTATTTCCAGAATTAACACTCTCAACTGCTGTACTAAACTGAACTTAAGAATTTTGTAATCAGAAAAATCTAGGGTTAAAAAGCTATTTTAATTTCAGTATTTGTAGATGCTATATGTTTTTCAGTTTAGTGATGTTTTAATTTTGAATTGTCTATATGGTAGAAGTGGTCAAATATAAAATATTTAGTGTTTAGAAACTGGTAAGAGATGACTCTGGAACCACCCTTCATATAGAATTTGGTCCTTATTGATTTATCAGTAGTATAATCTATTAATATAAAAATTTCAAGCCAGGTGCAGTGGCTCACGCCTGTAATCCTAGCACTCTGGGAGGCCGAGGCAGGAGGATCACTCAAGATCAGGAGTTCAAGAACAGCCTGAGCAAGGAGACCCCGTCTCTACTAAAAATAGAAACAAATTAATTGGCCAACTAAAAATATATAGAAAAAATTAGCCAGGCATGCGAGCACATGCCTGTAGTCCCAGCTACTTGGGAGGCTGAGACAGTAGGATTGCTTGAGCCCAGGAGTTTGAGGTTGCTGTGAGTTAGGCTGACGCCACAGCATTCTAGCCAGGGCAACAGAGGGAGACTCTGTCTCAAAAAAAAAAAAAAAAAAAAAATTCATACTTTTCTTATCTTCTTTCAAGGACTGCAGAGGATCAGGTCACTGAACTTACAGAGAGGCCCTGGACTTCCTGGAATGCCCTTTCCCCAGATATTTGCATAGTTTGTTCCCTCACTTACTTCAAGCTCTGTTTGAGTGTCACTTCCTTCAGGGAACCTTCCCTGACCACATTTTTAAATAGTTCTCTATCATTTCTTTATTCTCTTACTCTCCTTTATTTTTTTCTTCATAATACTAATAACTACCTGATGTTACTTATACATTCTTTCATTGGTTCATTCATTCATTATTTGCTTCTCCCACGAGAATGTAAGCTCTAGGAATTGTCTTTTACCATTTGCTATATTTCAGTGCCTATCACATGGTAGGTGCTCAATAAATATTTGTTGAGTCAATCAAGTGATTAATTAAAGTGATTCATTACCATTTTGTAAATGATACACTCTCATTTTTCAGAGAAAGTGAGGAGATACTGTTTTATTAAGGGCCAGTGCAGTATCAGAATAACTCTAGAAAAGAATCACAGAACCCAGTTTCTAGCTCTAGTTCTACAACTAATTTGAAGTCACTTAATCTCAATCTCTCTGAGCTTTAGCTGCCTGTCTTTCAAAAACTAATAAATAAAAACTGTCTAAGATTATGGAATGATTTTAGCTATGTGATAAAATCTCACATTAGAGATGGGAGAGTGCTAAAAATTAATGACATCCTAAGTATATATTTATATTTAATATATTTATATGCATATATTTATGACAAAATGAAAAAAATTTGATGTGATAAACAGGGGACCTTAATGAAAATTTTGCTTCTGTCTCTCTCTAGCAATATGACCTTTGGCTAATCACTTCTCCTATCTGGATTTAACCTCATATATATAAAATGAATAGGTTTCATTAGACAATCTCTAGTGATTTTTCAGTACTAAAGTATCATTTCTAGATATAAGATCACTATTTTTAAGATGTGGTTTAAAATGCACAGTATTTCAATAATAACACTAAAAACTGGCTGGGTGTGGTGGCTCACACCTATAATCCTAGCACTTTGGAAGGCTGAAGCAGGAGGATCACTTGAGGCTACAAGTTTGAGTCCAGCCAGGGCAACATAGCAAGACCAATTTCTGGAAAAAGAAATTAGCCAAGCATGGTGGTGCACATCTGTAGACCCAGCTACTCAGGAGACTAAGGCAGGAGGATTGCTTGAGCCCAGATTTTTGAGGCTACACTCACACCAATACACCCTAGCCTAGACAGGACCCTGTCTCAAAACAAACAAACAAACAAAAACCACTAAAAATCGTGAAGAATCAGCTCATCAACATAGAACTAATTACAACAATAGATTTTCAAATCACATTTATTAGATTTGACCCCCAAGTAACCCTGGCTTAACTATGCAGTCTATGAAAAACACAAAGAAAAGTAAGCACCAGATAAAAATAAGCCAAAAAATGTCAAGAAAGTTTATTATCTTGAGTTTATTTTGTACTTTTTTGAAGAAGAATTTGAATAATCACTTATGTACTTTTCTATAAATAACAATCACACAAAAGCTGTTATATTGTTAGCAACTCAACAAATCAAGGTGCTTCTGTGACTTTCTCATTCAGAAATGAGACTATTCACTAGGTATTCTCAGAAGGAGAAAGTTACTTTCAAATTAACACAAACTGTCAAATTTACTTTTCACTCATCACAACTAAGATGCATTGAAAAATGAAGATGTCTTGTTTTACTTACGTTTGTTCTTGTCCCCAACTTTTCCATAGGAAGATTAAAAAACAAAGTATTCCTAAAAGGCCCATGGCTGGAGGTAGCAGTAAACCATGGATTGGATATAGCCTTCTTGAAGTTATTCTCCTTTTAAATAAACTGAGCTTAAAGAATTTGAATAATCTGGTTAATTATTAATATCAGAAAGAGAAACCTCTAAGTAGGAAAACTAAACTAAAATTGGAACAAAAGCACCCTTTCATACCCAGGAATAAAGACAGAGAATATTTTATTTTATAGACATTTACATCCAGGATATGTAGGTTTATTAATACAAATACAGGATCGATTCCCATTCAGGGAACCTTTTTAAAAAAAAGAAAAGAAAAATAAAAAATAGAAAAGAAAATACAAATAAAGGGACTCTGAAATGGGAGTTTGACACTAAAGGAATAGCCCAAAGCTAGAAACCAGTAAGTCACATTGCCTTTGGGCTTTCTTTTCTTGGCCAGGGCATTTGCTCTGATGTTGTATCATCTATGAGCATACCTGTGCTAGGTCCACTATGATACTGGGTGGAGACCCACCTGGATTTAGTTTCAAATTGAGATGATTTTAGAATGGTGTGGTTTAGACAGGGCTCACAAGGTTGTCTTTTTTAGAGACCAGAGCAATAGTGTCCTTGGTGCTGGAAATGGTCTAAGGATGATAACATAGATCTGCAAAGGGAGTCCAAGGAATGATTTGTCCCAGTCTAAAGGAGAAGTTGAATATTAGGTGGAGGAAAGATTGTGATTGGGAATGAAAATGCCATGATGAGCTTGCTGGCATTGTTCTCTAAGTAATTACTCAAATATCTTAATATTTAGTAGGGAATAGATATTCTCCAATATTTTTTAATTCATATGCCGCTCATTCAAAATTTGCCTTTATTCAGATATATAATATCTTCCTTTAAAAAAAATCATGTTATATCTTTCAGTGAAGATTTTAATAATTTTAATATAAGAGCTCAAGGAAAACAAAGTTTCTATAACAACTGAGTCTAGTAATTAACTTACAATGAAATAAAATTTTATCTTTAAGATTTTTAATTAAGTTTATTTTTGTGATGTTTTATGTTCATTAGAAAATCTTTTATTTGCTACCTTCCTCTTACTAGTACCGATTTCTACCTTAGTATATAATATATACTCTAATTTAAAGTAATAAAACAGATGTCTCTAAATATATTTCTATAAATCAGCTATTTATGCTTCCAATGGCATTCCTTACTTTGAATTAATAAATAACAACCCAACATATTTATTTTTTGGTTTATCATTTATTTATTATTCATTAATTTGGTTTACCAACACCTTAATATTGAATTCACTAGAGGAAAAAAGGAGCACAAAAGAAAAATTGATATATAAATTTCACTAAAGGTATCTCTTGCATATGTTATTGAAAAGGCAAAAATTTGCCATTATCATCTGTCCATCTAGCCCATTTATTTCAAAAGGGGATCTGCAAATAAATGATTAAGCTAGGTTGCGAAAGATGGGTCAAGTTAAAACAAGCAAAGTCCTTTTGTCATCATTTTCGGGAAACAGAATTTAAGAGAGAGCAAGAACATTCATATCAACATAGGTAATATTTGTATTTTTAGTGCAAAGAAGTTTGTTTGCTTGTGCTATACAGTTTATGGGTAACTGATACGTGCAAATCATTGGCCTGTTTCTCTAGTAGAAAATGTTTAAGAAATAATGGATCTCAAAGGTTCTCAGTTGAACTGCAGTTCAACAATTTATAGATTCTCAGATGTGTAAACTTTTTATCTGTCTTCTAAATGTGACCAAAAGATGGATTTTTTTTTTTTTTTTTTTAGACAGAGTCTCGCTTTGTTGCCCAGGCTAGAATGAGTGCCATGGCATCAGCCTAGCTCACAGCAACCTCAAACTCCTGGGCTCAAGCGATCCTTTCTGCTCAGCTCCCAGTGGCTGGGACTACAGGCATGCGCCACCATGCCCGGCTAATTTTTTCTATATATATTATTTGGCCAATTAATTTCTTTCTATTTATAGTAGAGACGGGGTCTCACTCTTGCTCAGGCTGGTTTCGAACTCCTGACCTCGAGCAATCCGCCTGCCTCAGCCTCCCAGAGAGCTAGGATTACAGGCGTGAGCCACCGCGCCCGGCCTTAAGATGGATTTTTATTTACATTTTAGAATGTGACCTTTGGGAGAGTCTTTAGTTTTTACATAAATTCTGCGTTTCTAAAAGAGAAGAATATCAGATCTGGCAGAAAGTTTGGTGACCACCTGACCTTCCTGGTAATGCTACCCCAAGTCTACCCTCAAGATGGAGCCCAAGTGATTTAGCCGAGTTCACAAGGTCTCTCTTGATCTGGGCCCTGCTTGGTTCTCCAGCCTCAATGTTCCCATTCTTCACTCCGGCCAAGTAGCTAAACTGTAATTATTCCCTGAAGTCATCATGACACAATGGTGCTCTTAGCAGGGTAATAATTTCCTATCTTTCAAATGGATATTCTTTAGTTACTTCATACTTATTTAGTAAAATACGTCTAGACATCAATTTTTTATTGATGCAAACTACAGACCTCTTTTTTGTCTATGATAAAGGATTTTATTGTGTATGATTTTTGAAACCAGACAACTTGTAGGGAGGCATATTAATGGGTGGTGAATTTAGAGAATAAAAAAAATAAGTGATTTTTTGTTGTTGTTGTTAATTGTTTTCAGAAATTCAGCCCACCAGATTGCTAACTTAAGGTGCCTGCTGGCTGGCTCATGTAGGAGAGGTGGTGTGGCCCATAACTGCCCCCATGTCATTTCCATGTGCCTGTTCCAAGTTGTTGGGAGGTCACCAGAGAAACAGAGGTATCACCTCAGAATTAAATTATTCTAAATTGAGGCATGAGAATCACACACGTCTTGTTCAAGAGTGGCAGGCTGGCGCTAGGCAGGTGAGTGATTCTCAGTATAATGCAATATTTGTCCCTTTACATGCTTTTTGGTTCAGGCCCGTAGTCTCATACTTTAATCCTTCAGGGAAGGACTCCAATAAAAGGCCAATGGAAATTCATAAGGAATGGCTTCAGTAACTCTCCAGGATTTAGATAGGGAAAGCATTGGAAGCTTTGGTGCCAGCAGTTTAAAGAGTGACTGGAGGTGGTAACAGCACCTTCGGCACTGTCAGGAGACTGCTCTCATAGGTAAAGGAGGACAGTGCGACAGTAGTTGGCTCAAAGTTGGATGTTAACTGCAGGGGTCATATCTTCAGCAATCACTGGTGTCATAGTTGCCACTTCTGACATTAGCCATAAAAGAAAAAAGCGTATATACACACATATATGTATATCTCACAGAAAACCAGAATAGGAAAGGAAGAAACTGTGGCTGCCTTAATGTCTCCAGAGGAAGATAACTAAGCACAAGTTTTGTGATTAGAACTGTCTGGGAGGAATCAGGACTGGGGTTCCCACAGAAAAGGTAAAAAACAGTCATCCAAATACTATTTAATACTGTGGCTTTTAATCTATTTGTACCCTCAATTTGGTGTGTCTTCAGAAATATGGGTAATGTATGGATTCAGCTACCAGCACTGCAGAGCAGCACACTCAAAGTCTATTTAAGTGCTTGACCATAACACCAGTGTGAATAGGATTCTTGGGAGTACAAACTGCATCCAGCAAGGAAATCTTATGGTTCCCTGACCATTCTCCCCCATGTGCACCCCCAGGTGACACTTGTGGAGGTTCCATGGAAACCCCGGGGTCCCTGGACAGACGGCCTAAAAACCACTGACTTAGAGCATCAAGCAACCTCTTCCAAATGTTCTCATTTATTTGGTCTATTCCTGTTACTTTCCTCTACCAACTTACCTAAATCCAGGTTGAAATTAGTTTGTTGGTGGATCAGGCCAAAGGAGAAACCAACCTCTTTTCTCCTTATGCCCAAGAACCCCTGCTTTAGCTGCAAGTTAAAACTCTTCTCCCAAGTGACTTGGGCTATCAACACCAAGTCCTCTAAACACCCCTTGTTTCTTTGAATTCTGTCCCAGTATCCACATCAAAAACCCCAATATCCCAACATCTCATCAGGAATTCACCACATACCACAATAAACCTGGTAGAAAACAGCAGAAAAGTAGACACTCTAGGTACATACCTCAGAAAAGCTTTCACACATCTGCCTGAAGAGACTAGTCCAGGAATATTCTCTGTGGCATTATTTGCAATAGCAAAAATTAGTACAAAACCTAAAACAACAGAATGATACATAAATTACTGTATATTCATACAACGGAATGAACATTGACTGATAATACGAAAATAAAACGTTCACTACCACCGCTAACACACACTTGCTTCTTGGTCATCAACATTTTAATTTGCAAGTTCTTAAAGAACAGTAGCTTCAGATGCCTACTTTGAAAGTGCCACCTGCTGGTAATAACTTACTAGCTTTCCCAAGAAAGCCAGAATAATTTGTGCTGATATAGCCAATGTCTAGGAGTGACACCTTCCTGAAGTAAACTCTGGCTTTCCAGCTTATATTTCTTCTGACAACTAGTTTCTGCACGCTCTGGAGATAACAATGCCTGTTTTGCCTTCTTCACAGGAATGCTGAAATGTCATATCTCTTAGCGTTGAAAAATCATGTAAACATCCATGGAGCTATTATGACTGTTCTTTCTAGAATCTTACCTCTCTTGCTTTTCTGATTCTTTTCTTTCTGCCTGAAATGTCTTTTAAATGAAGACATTTAAACATGTTGTTTTATTTTTTTAAAGCCAGATATCACAAACCTTTCAATGGATTTTTTCTTCCAAAATAACCACCAAGCCTCTCAAACATTTAATCTATTCCCCCTCTCCTGCCAACTTTATGTATTTTCTTTCCCCTAAGTTATGCAGACACCCCCATAATGCTTTTTGTGTATCTCCCTTAAAGTTAGATAGGAAATATGAAATCAATAAAAGAACTACACAGCAGCAGAAACCACTTGATGTTCGTTGGCATTATTTGGCAACATAGCCATTTTACAAAGAATCTGATGATCAGAAAGGGTTTTGTTTGGTTGGTTGGTTGGTTTTTTGGGTTTTTTTTTTTTGAGACAGAGTCTCACTCTGTTTGCCCAGGCTAGAGTGCCATGGTGTCAGCCTAGCTCACAGCAACCTCAAACTCCTGGGCTCAAGCAATTCTCTTGCCTCAGCCTCCCGAGTATATGAGACTACAGGCATGAGCCACCATGCCTGGCTAATTTTTTTTCTATATATTTTTAATTGTCCAGCTAATTTCTTTCTATTTTCAGTAGAGATGGGGTCTTGCTCTTGCTCAGGCTGGTCTCGAACTTCTGAGCTCAAATGATCCTCCTGCCTCAGCCTCCCCGAGTGCTAGGATAATAGGCATGAGCCACCGCGCCCAGCCTGTTTTTTCAAAACCCTGGAGTCACATAGTAGTCCTAGCCACCTTTATACTTTCAGGAGTCTAGTAAAAGATGAAAATGTGGAGCCCTTTGCTCAAAAAAGTAGGAAAAAGTGCTGTTAATGTATTAAAATGTAAATATAAAGCCTTTTCCTTTCTTCTGTAGTCTCTCTCTCAATTTGTCATGGTGGTTTCTTATTTGCTATTTAATATCTTTGTAAATAAAGGAAAATTTAAAAATTTAATTATTGGCATACATTTTATCATTCATCTTATTGTACAAGGCCAGTTTAAAATGCAAATATAAGAACAGTTATACGTGGAATTGCCAAAATTACACAATTTGTATTTCATAGCTCACACACATGCATATACATTCTATTCTTCCTAGAATAGTGGAAACTATGCACAAAACTAATTCTACTATTATTATTTTACTTTTTGACATGTGTGTGTTATGCCAACACTCTCAACCTTTGCTTACTGATGAATGAGTAAAGCCTGAAAAGAAAAGGAACTACAGACTATCCTATCTTTCCCTTTTCTTCTATGTCATATTCAGTGTAAGTTGTTGCCTAAAATAGGGAAGTAGCATGAGTAAGAAAGGATATGATAAGGCACTTTGTTTTTTAGAATGGTTTTGCCTTCTTTCTGCACTCAAAACAAATTCTGGTTCCAATTGAAAACATGAGGCTGTCTGTGCCTCTGCTTGCTCAGTCATAGACATAACACATTTGCCTTGTACTCACTTTGAGTTTCACTAAACTTTTATACATTATGGGTCCACTGGAATTCTACGTTTACTGGGTATTGTGAATGCTCTATGTAAATGGAGTGTCAAGGAATTGTGGATGTAAATATTGTGCTATCTCATCTGTTCACTTGCATGCTCTCATCAGATTTCGCTTATAAAAAACTAGTTCAAAGATAAAACTACTAATGATTTCAAGACAGCCACAACAGAGCTTTAAAGCAAGTATAAAGCACTTTTGAGTGTGGGGTCTTGGGCAACTACACAGGTTGCACGCCCATGCAGCCAGCCTTGGAGTAGCTAAGCCAGGAGTGAATTCATATCTCACGCCAAAGACAATCTCTTTACATACCATACAGAGTCTCCTCTAGTAACATAGGGCAAGGCATTGACAGATCAGAGAATGTCAAGAAGATGAGAAATTTTTAAGAGGCTAGAATAGGTAACAATGAACTGCTGCCCTTGGGTTCTGCGATGATTAGTGCTATGATCTGAATGTTTGTGTCCCCCTAAAATTTATACATTGAATCCTAATCATCGAAGTGATGGTATTATATAGAATTTTTAGTTGACAGTATTTTTCCTTTAGAACTTTGAATATATCATCATACTACTTTGGCCTCCATGGTTTCTGATGGGAAATCAGCTGTTAATTTTACTGATGACCCCTTGTACCATGAGGTGTTGTTTTCTTTTGCTATTTTCCCGATTCCCTTTTTGTCTTTGATACATTCAGGTGTGACTGTTTTTGAGTTTATTGTACTTGGGATTCCTTGAGTATTTTGGATGTGTGGATTAACATTTCTCATCACATTTGAAAGTTTTGACCATTATGTCTTCAAATATTTTTTTCTGCCCTTTTCTCTCTCTCCTCTCCTTCTTTATGCATATGTTAGTGTGCTTGATGATGTACCAGATATCTCCCTTTATGTATATGTTGCTATGTTTGATGGTGTATCAGATGGTTTACAGAGGCTCAGTTTATTTTTCTTAATTCTTTTTTCTTTCTGTTCTTCAGACTGGATAATCTCAATTGACCTACTTCAAGTTTGTTGATTCTTTCTTCTGCCTGCTCAAATCTGCTGTTGAGTGCCTCCACTGAGTTTTACATGTCCATTATTATAGTTTTCAAACAAAGAATTTTTATTTGGTTCTTATTTATAATTGCTGTCTTCTTATTGTTATTCTTTATATATTGAGACATAGCTTTCATACTTCCTTTTGGTTCTTTTTTTTAATTTTCAAACTTTTTTTGTAGAGACAAGGTCTTGCTATGTTTCCCAGGCAGGTGTCGAACTCCCAGCCTCAAGCGATCCTCCCACCTCATTCTCCCAAAGTGCTGAGATTACAGGCTGAGCCACCATACCCAGCCCCCTTTAGTTCTTTAGATATGATTGCTTTTAGTTCTTCAATTATACTTATCTTATGTAAAGTCTATATCTAAGAAGTCCAAACTTCCTCAAGCAGTTTTTACTACATTTTTTCCTTTGTATGGGTAATGCTTTCCTGCTTATTTGCATGTCTTTAATTTTTTGTTGAAAACTGAACATTTAAAATAATATAAGGGGTAACTCTGAAAAATTTGACCAATAGGTTAGATTGAACCTATTTTAGAATGCTTCTATTTTCATGCTGTAGTGGCAATGTGTAACATGTTTTTGAAGAATCTTTAGCATGAAATAAGATGTGACGGTCCCCATCTAACAAAATAAAAAGTTAGTGACTTATTCCATTGAAAAATATAAAAAAACAAGAACACCAAAATGCCTTCTAAAATTTAGTTAACTTGTAAAACTAGTGATTAATCTTGGAAAATTGGAAAATATTATCCTACTAATAAATCTTGAGCTAATTTCTTTGTAAGGATTATATCACTGCTTCTCATAAATCTCACCAACATTGACCTCTAGCCACTGTCTCAATTCCTTGTCTGTTCCATCTCTCATTTCCATTTCTTTTCTCTATAATATATAATTGAGTATATCTTATATTTCTTTAGGGTTTTATGTTTCCAAATCTTAATTGAACTCACTTTCCTCATTTATAAAATAGGAGATATTATCTACTCTGTCCACCTAATAGGGTTGTTGTGAGTTTTAAATAATACTTGTTAAAGCTCCATAAAACCACAAACCGGCTCCTGTTGCTTCCATAGTTTGTTTCTTTTAGTGTTTTTTCCCTTTCATATTGAAACTGTTACCAGAAGACATATCCTGATTCCTTCTTATTACAAACTGAAATTTCAGCATTTTATATGTGATGGAATTGTTGCTGCAGGTTTTCATATGTGATTGAATCTGATATTTTGAATGTTATTTTATAATTTTTAAAGTATTAGCAATTTTTGTATTCTCTCATAAACTCCTCAAATGATTTATCAAATTTAATTTTGTATTTATATAAACTAAATTTTTAAAATTTAAATTCAAAATCATTAAAAGACATATGATTTTTTAAAGTTTAAATTTTAAAAGCTGAATGTCAAATTAAATTTTAAATAAATAGGGTTCAATTAGTATAGACTGAAAAATCCACATAGAAATATTTCTATCAAAGATGTCAAAAAGATTCTTAATAAAGCTGGTCTACATTCCAATCCATAACTTTGGCATAGTCAGTGAGGTGGACATTCAGCAGTTGATCCTTGGACAAACCGGCTCTTTGGTGACCTGGATTTCTGTGGGCTGGCATTGTGCAGATTGGCCTGGTTCCATGGATGGGAAAAAGCATGCTAATGAGAAAGAAAATATGTATAATCTACATATAGAAGTATTGTCTAAATTTTTTACAAGTACAGGTTGATGTATTGCTTATGTAATTAAAGAAAATGAATACAAGACAATATTTAAGATAGGTGGGTGAAGAAAGCAGGACAAAGTTAAGAGTTGGAAAGATGAAATGAAGCTGGGATTGGGAATAGCAAACCAAATGCATTTAATAAACTCATGCTCACATATTTTACTTCCTAGAACCAATAAAAAGAGTCTTAAAATGAATTTGTATTAATCAAAATTAGATTATACTTTACATAACAATCAAAATAACTGTTTCTTAAATGAGATAAATATTCATCTCTCTTTCATGTAAAAGAAATCTAGTGGTGAGCAGTCAAGGTCTAGAACGGTGGCTCCACATATCATCAGAGGCAGGGGCTATTATAATTTTGTTTCACTATCCTAGCACCTGATTGTCATCTTCTGCGTTATTTAATAGTCCAAGAGAGCTGCTGGAATGCCAACCGTTGTTTCTGAGTTGAGGGCTACAAAAAGAGGGCAAAAAAGAGACACCTCCCTGTTGAATCAACTCTCTTTGAGTAGCTTTCTTGGAAGTCCCATGCAATTTCCATTTCCTTGGGAGACTTGAGACTTAGCTGTACCGAAGTTCAAGGGCAGCAATGTGGACAGCTAAAATTCAGCTCTATTGATAATAAGGAGGAAAGAAAAAATGAATGCTGAGTTAGTTAGCAGTCTCTGACACAGTATTTTCCTCTTGTGCATTTGATATTTATGTATACTGAGGATCAAATGCTTAGAAACATAATGTTGAACTCTAGCAAAACTATTAAAGATTTTCGGGGGGAAGGGAGGAGCAATACTGAATATTCTCTTTTAATAGAAGGCAGAATTCATAAAGAAATATATTGAAATATTTTTCAAGACTTTGATCTTACTACAAAAAGTCAATTTTTCTTACTCACCCCCAAAAGACCCTTTCTCTGGTCATCAATGTTGGCCAGGGATGGCAGGCCGCTAGGCAGAAAGCAAATGCAAGGGCCAGTACCAGAGGTCAGCTGATAGTGGTCTGGGTGCTAGGCCAAGTTTGGTCAAGCAGAGCTTGCTATTATAAAATGAACCTCAGTTGTAGCAAAAAAGGAAGTTTATATATTGATAATGATGTTAGGGTACTATGTCTGTGTTTGGGAATTATTCTGTAGCTTTTTTGCTTCAGCAGTCACTTTTTATCCCATTAAGCAGTATAGGAGCCAAAGGAAATGTTCCCCTTCGCCCTCTGAAGGTTTGCTAAAAATCAACTGACAAAAGGCAGATTAATAGGATAAAAGGCATACAAATTTATTAATGTGCACAGGGGAGAATCACAGAGTAATTACCCGATCATGCAATGGGGTACAGATGGTTATATATCCTTCTTCTTAGGGGAAAGGGAGATGGGGCAGTGTGGATGATTTTAGGAGGGTAGTAAATTATTTTTAGGGGAATTCAATGGGCTTGAAGAACATACAATGGCCTAGGACAAAGTCATAATGGTTTGTGACAAAAGTCTGTCCAGATGTGTTGATAGACTTCAATCTTTTTTCCTGCAATATGAGTTCAGTTAATGAACACTCAAGGAAGGGACCAAAGGTAATTGTTTTCTTCTTTAGCAGGTCCAGACTTTGGCCAAATTCATCTGGTGCTTTGGGAGAGACCGAGGATTGAAAGACAGGAGGGGACAAGAGAAAGGAGAGACCTTGAGCCTTCTTCAGTTCAGCATGTCAAAGTCCTATCTTTTGAGGTATCAGTTTCTGAGCACCAACAGCAGTTACTCTCCATTTCCACCTCTTCCCAACACCTAACAACCCCAATCTTCCCTCTGTTTCTATGAATTTATCTAGGGAAACCTTCTCTCATCTCCCATAATTCCCAAGAAAATATGACTTTATCCTCACCTAACCTTCATTCAGTGATACATTAGAATTTGCAATAGAGTCTTTCACCTCTTCCCTGTCTCTCACTAAAACCACCTCCCACTTAGATGCTTTGTGTATTAAAGTTAAGTGAATCATAAACAGTAATTTAATTATCGGATTTTTCAACCATTGACTCTAATATCATGCATTTACCTACTTACGAGGATTTCTAGAGTTCTGATGTTGGAAAGTGTCCTTTTTAATTGACTCTTATAATATTATAATTCATAACCAGGTCTTTATATACCTGTAACTGCAGCATATCAGCAATACACAGACCTACAAGGGGTGATAATACACATCAGCATATTCCAAAATTCAAAAAAATCCCAAATCTGAAACACTTCTGGTCCCATCAAGCAAGGAAGTTCCTAGAAAACTTTATCTTCTCTCAATTTCTTGTATTTTTTTTTTAACAACATTTATATACATTGTTGTTGTTGTTGTTGTTGTTGTTGTTAGTGATGTGGTTATAAAGTTACTTAGGATTTTAGTGGTCTATCCAATCCTATTTCTCAACATAGCAAAAAGATTATTAATTATGATATTATAGAATCCATTTAATGAATGAAAATATTGAATTGTGAAAAATCAAATAAATATTCTTAAAAATAATTTACAAATGGCTCTGATTTGCACTGTTACACAGAATTTGGGAGAGAATTCAATAATGGATCCTGTTTTCATCCCCCACCTCAAAGCCTCTAGCAAATCAGAAAGGTTTTAGGAAAGTGAGGCTCTGAAATCATTGCTCACAAAGTGATGGGTTATAAAAATATTAGATGAACAAAATATGTTCAAAGACATAGATATTTTTTATCCTAGACTCCAATGAGAGTATAAAATATGCTGCTATCAAAGTCCTAGGTGAACTGTCAATAAAATTATTAATATATTATAATCAACAAATTGTTTCCTAATTCATTATGTCAGACTAGCTACTTACCTTTATCTGAAATGCCAACACCTTGAATTTCCCAAGTATTTACAACATCAGGTAGCAAAAACACCAGCTGATGCCTGGAAAATAAAATAATTTCATAGCCATTCAACACAGGTGAGCCTTGATTTACTTGGAACCAATTTAACATTGTCTCCTATTAATAAGAATGTTTGTGCTTTTCCCAATGGGCTCTTGAGGTGAATCACAAGAAAACAAACTTCAATAAGTGACTGTGAGTGGGGAAGAGGTTAAGAAAAAATCAAAACATGAGAGGATAATAGGGCTTCTTACACATTCAGAAAAACTGACTATACATTTCATTAAGTTAAATCATATGAAATTGCTGTTTGTGTAAACAGGTCAAAAATGTTTGAATACCAAGATATACATATGGCTCAACTTAATATATGTTCTGTTTTCTTTGCCCTGCTTTCATAAGAGGAACTTTAAAGAACTGTAATATCATAAACTATCAAATAAAATTAACTTATATTCAATGAAGCCTATTAAGAAAAGTGGGATATACAAAAATGGTTGAAACAAAAGGAATTTTCAGAAATAAGAAGTCCATTGGTTAATTTATGTGTTCCGTAGACATTTCCTCAGTGTCTATTATATACAAGGCATGTTCCTGGGGCTAAATATAAGGATTAGTAACAAAAGGTCTGCGTTCAAGGAATATATTCTCAAAGAGGAGAGAAATATGCAAACAAATTATCATAAAGGGTAGTAAGTACTTCACTAAAAGAGTTTACAAGCTAAAATAAGAATGTAGAGAAGTTATGTATGTAATTCTTTGGAGGCTACCTTTTGGAGAATGCAATGCCTGGGTTGGGTTGTTAAATGTAAAATGGAGTTTGTCAGGAGTTGTGGGTTAAGAAAGAGGATTTCCAGGAGAAGGTGTGACAACTGCAAGGAATGTGTGCTGCTGTAAGAGAAAGCAAGGCTGCTGGGAGATGAAGCTAGAGATATTAGCAAGAGCCAGGGATGAAAGCTTCCTAATCTAGATAGACATTACTGAGTATGTCATGGAGAAGTGGTTTTAGGTGGGGAAGTGGCATGATTAGACTTGGATTTTAATATAATCACTTGGGTGTTGTTGTTTGGAGAATGAATTGGAATAGAGAAGTAGACAAGGCTGGAGTGAGGAAGTGTAAAGTGTGCTATTGGACATCAAGCAAGTTGAGATAACTGAACATACACTGATCATTTCCCAAGCCTTATGGCTAGAGAGTATTTTACAGTGTGTGTTTATCATGTGAGGAAAATATTTCCTCCTTTTATTTATTATATAGAAAAATAGCATTGAAAATACATGCTTATATGGACAATATACAGGTTGAGCATCCCTAATCCAAAAATCCAAAATCTAAAACGCTCCAAAATCTGAAACTTTTTGAGTGCTAACATGACAACACAAGTGGAAAATTCTACACATAAGTACTTAACACAAACTTTATTTCATGAACAAAATTATAAAAATATTGTATAAAATTATCTTCAGACTCTGTGTATAAGGTATATATGAAGCATGAATGAATTTTGTGTTTAGACTTGGTTCCCAAGATATTTCATTATATATATTCAAATATTCCAAAAGCCAAAAAAATCCAAAATCTTAAACACTTCTGGTCCCAAGCATTTTGGAAAAGGAATACTTAACCTGCACATTGTTAGAGAATTTGTTACAAAGAAGTTGTCTGGAAAGACTAAAATAATTATATAAGAGTGCAAAGCCCAATATCACCCACCCCAAACTACATGCTCAGTAAAAGTTCAAGGTAAGTGAAATCATATTCTTCTGCAAAGACAATTAATTCTGCAGTTAACTTAGTTACTGAGGGAAAAACCAACCCAATAGGCAACTGAATTAAGCTTGATCAAATGACAATGTTATCCTTAATTATCAAAGAAATGCTTGGAAGAGTGACAATTTATTTATCGTATTTGAGTTATTTTCAAAATTTCCTAAGGAAAATAAAAACAAAAGGTTTAAAATCACCTTTTAGGTACATGATATACTTCCCATAACCAGTTTTCTAAAAAATTGCTGCTTTCAACTCGTTGCATGTTTGGTAAACCTAAATGAGAAAGATCAAAAGATAAAAATACAGGGCAATCATAGCATACAATAGTTATATATTAAAACATGATGGTTAACTTTAAATTTGAAATGTTAAGAAATTCATTCAAACATTTAATTTTTGTGATATCAAAATACAAAAATAAAATCTTTAATTTAAGCTATCTAAAATATGTTGATGCCAAATGTTTAGAGGCTTAAAATAAAAAAAAAAAAACAAAAAATAAAATATGTTGAGTGTAAAAAGGAAGGTAGAGAATGGTAATATCCAATAGGTATAAAACTAAACATATTTAGATATAGATACAGAAACAGATTTATATATGAATATTTGTATAAGCAGAGAAAAATTCTGGAAGCAATGGCAGATTGCTTCCATTGATTGGTTGAATAGTGGGCCCCAAAAGATATGTCCAAATCCCCTAATAGTTTTGAATGGGACCTATTTGGAAATAAGGTTTTTGTAGATGTAACTAAGTTAATGATCTCAAATGAGATCATCCTGGATTACAGTGGACCCTAAATCCTTATAAGATGTCTTAATTGGGTATAAGATGTCCTTATAAGAGACAGAATAGGAGGAGACACACAGAAACACAGGGGAGATGGCCATGTGAAGATAGAGGTAGATTGGAGTGATGTGTCTACAAACCAAAGAACACTAAGGAACACTAGGTGCTGCTAGACACTTTAAAAGGTGAGGAAGAATTCTCTAGTATAGAGACTTTAGAGGGAATGTGACCCTACTGATACCTTGATTTTGGACTTTTTGCCTCCAGAACTATAATAGAATAAATTTCCACTGTTAAGTCACTAAGTTTATGGTAATTTGTTATGGTAGCCCTAGGAAACTAATATACCCATTAACGTATAAATGGTTAAATAAATTAAGGGATGTCAATATTATTATATCAACTACCAGATAATCATTAAAAAGAATGAGGCATCTTTCTTTGTACTGATGTAAAAATAAGTTCGTGATATTTTGTAAACATTAAAAAAAGCGCATATGGGAAGTAAATGTATCCCATTTATGGAGTGTGATCCCATTTGTGTAGGAATCTGTTAACAGTAAACTTGGAGATGAGGAGGAGTAATAAAGATTTTAAAATATTTACTTTTAACTATTAATTGATTTTCCTCTAAATTTTTTGCTGGCTTTTTTAAGAAAAACCTGTAGGTTAAATTACTCCTATTTTTAAAAAATATTGTAGATATATACATTCATAAGTTATGGAAGGGTTTCCCTATAATAATACCATTATTGACAATTTAAGACATTTTTATGTTTTAAAATATTTTACAGAACTTGCTTGTTTATATGCTTTTATTTTCTTATAACCTTTTCATGGAAAGGCATAATAAAGTCATTAGATCCTTTTAAACAAGTAATTTACTTTTTAAGTATAAGTTTAAACTAAAATTGCAACATTCTTCTTAGTTATCCTCTGTCTTAAGTTAACTTGCATGATCTCCCTAAGTAATGTAGCTAAATAGAATGCAAATGAAACCAAATAAAATAAGTTGAAAGGTAGGGAAGTAAAATTAAATAAAACTTAATAATTATATTCATTACTCTTTTGTACTTTTATTCTTAAAAGTATACTATCATCTTTATGCAACATTTTAAGTATCATGCAATATGTGGCCAATAAAGTATGCACAAAAAAAATACATTAGTCCCCCCTTGTCCTTGGGGGATACATTTAAAGACCAACAGTTGATGTCTGAAACATATGTATGATAAGGTTTAATTTACAAATTAAGCACTATAGAAGATTAACAATAATAACATAGAACAGTTATAACAATATGCCAGCATCACTACTCTTGTATTTTGGGGCCATTATTAAGTAAAAGACAGGTTACTTGAATGCAAGCACCAGGATACCACCACAATCAATCTGATAACTGAGGTGGTTTACTAAGTGACTCATGGTTGGGTAGCATTGACAGTGTGCGTACACTGGAAAAAGGGAGGATTCATGTCCCCTGCGTGACAGAGTGGGACAAGATTTCATCATGCTACTCAGAATGGTGCTCCATTTAAAACTTATAAATTATGTATTTCTGGAATTTCCCATTTAATATTTTCAGATCGCAGCTGACCTTGAATAACTGAAACTGTGGAAGGCAAAACTGTGAATATGGGCAGACCACTGTATCACCAAATCATTGAGTCAAATATTTCATTTTACAAATTAGCTCTTAGAAGATAAATAAAGACCTGCAACTGCTACAAGTGAGTTAATGGTAAAGCTGGGACTAGTGGTGTCCAAACTAATATTACAGCCACTGTCTGCTATGCCTTTTCAAGCCAATTTGTAGGAGTTTACACTTCATCTTTTGTGCATTAAACCAAGTTTGGAAGTAATTCTTTCTTCCCACAGCAGCACAAATTCCACTTGATACCCTCTCTACATGGAGTAGGAGTTTTTATACATACCCATTCTGCCCATGTCTGCATCTTTGTAAGAAGTCTTGTTCCTCAGCTCACATGCCAGGATACAGCACTGAAAGAAAGCGTTGGAACACCTTGGGCCAATGGTAACCCGCGCAACTCTCTGTTGGCAGCTGTCCTCACTTTGATGGGCTCCATCATAACAGCACTTCTGGACCACAGGGTGTTTGAATAGGGAAGCTGAGGTGATAATACAGCTGCTCTTAGTCAGGTATAGATTCAAGGTCTTAGGACTGGACTTACAGGCTCTGGTCCAACTTCTTCCCTGGCGCCCCCTGTCTCACCCCATTTAGTACACCGCGGGTCCACCAGCCCCTGCTGGAACAGCTCCCAGAATGAGAAATTACTTCCTCCCCAGGCAGCCTATTCCACTTCAGAGAGCTCTAATTGCTCAAAAATTCTTCTTGACATCTTTTAAACCAAAATCTAACTCCTGTTACTGATATCCTTATTGGTACCCATGGGGTAACTCTTGTGTAGAAAGTCATATAATCACAAGTTCCTCAAATATTTGAAGATAATCATCATGACTAGTTAAGTCTTACATGTTAGGTCTCCATGTGTATGGAGTGGATGTTAATGTCTTCTCAAAATCCATATGATAAAATCTTTGGCCCTAAACTTTGGGAAGTAATTAGTGCAAGAGGGTGGAGCCCTCATGAATAGGAATAGTGCCTTAAGGGACCCCTGAGCGTTCTCTCATCCACTCTCTTTCTGGCATTTGAGGATAAAATGAGAAGTCAGCAGTCTGCAACCTGAAAGAAGACCCTCACTAGAACATGACCATGCTGACACCCTGATCTAGGATTTCCAGCCTCCAGAACTATGAGAAATAAATTTCTTCTGTTTATAAGCCACTCAGTCAAAGGTACTTTGCAATAGCAGCCCGATAAGACACTCCATTAAACAACTCTGGGGCTTCCTTATTTAGACCATATTTTCATATGATTAGTTTCAAATCTCTCATATGGTCATTCTCCACTGGATACTCCCTTAGCTAACGCAGTCAAGTTGCATCAGTATGAAGCCTGAGTGGGTGTATAGAAGAGCAAGAACATTTATTTAGATTGCCCTTTTATTTTTTCAAAAACCACTGAAGGGGACGTTAGAATTGATATTGTCCTCGTCTGTCATTTAGAGATGAGGAAATGGAGGTATAGGGTGATCAAAGCTGCTAAGGGGTAGAGCCAAGGCTGAAGCCAAAAGGTAGTATCATGAGGTGATAAGGCCGTTGGACCATAGAACAGAAGGTCTGTTCCTCTCCCAGTCATTTGGACTTGGCAAGATAACTAAGTTTTTCAGAAACTCACTTTGCCATGTTAAAATGATGATTATAATTTCTGTCCAGCCTAAGTCAGAATGTGGCTTTGCCAAGAAGAAACTTTAAAAGAATCAATTACTATAAGTTACCATTTATTTTCCTCCTGAACTAAATGCTTTACCAGCATAATCTCATTTAAGTCTCATATCTTGGAGAGGCAGAGAGAAATTATCCTCATTTTGTGGAAGAAGAAACTGAGGCTTGGGTAGATTCAGTAACTTAGCTAACATCATATAGCTATAAATAGTTAACCCAAGACCCAAGCCCAGTTTCTTCACATTGTTTTTGATGTGATACCTTCTAAAACTACTGTTTTGGCAAGTACCTGCTAAAAGAGGGTGGGGGGATGCTTTATTAACATTATCATCATTATTATTAAAGCATAGTATTTGTAACTCCTAGCACTATCTCTAACTCTGGTGTGCCTAAAATTTAAGTGGTATATAAAAATTTGTTCTTTCTGGTCCATCTTCCATATAATCTGGATAGGATACTTGGTGTCAATATCAATATACAAAACAAAAGAGGTAGTGTCCAGTATAGCATGGTGGCTAACAGTGCAGTGAGCTCTGGTATCAGTCTAACCTAGGTTTAAGTTCTGCCTATGCCGCTTACTACCCCATGGTATTAGGCATATTACTTAATTTTTCTTTCTCTTCCTTCTTCCCTTCCCTCCCCTTCTCTATCTCCTCCCCTCCCCTCCGGCGATCCCCTTGCCTCAGCCTCCCCAGTAGGTGGGACTACAGGCATGTGCCACCACATCCACCTAATTTTCTCTATTTTTAGTAGAGACAGGGCCTTGCTCTTGCTTAGGCTTGTCTTGAACTCCGGAGCTCAACCAATCCTCCCACCTTGGCCTCCCAGAGTGCTAGGATTACAGGCGTGAGTCACTGTGTTTATCCATGCTACTCAATTTTTCTGTGCTTCCATGTTCTCATCTGGAAAATGGGGATAATAAGAGTACCTACTACATGTGATTGGTGTGAATATTCAATGAGAAAATCAATGGGGCTTCAACACAGCTTGGCACATGATAAGAGATCAATTAGTGTTGGCTACTATTATTATCCTAAAGTTCATCAGACCTACCTTTTGTAAGAATTTAATGAAAGCCATACATTTAATTGCTGAATGAGCTATTCTCATAAAGAGTAAAATATATAAGACAATTAATAACTGATGACTCTTTAACTATAGACAATGGACTTTAAGGATACCTATTTCCTTTAGGTTAAAATCATGCTAAATGAATGTGGGTTAATTTGCCTGATTTGCTTTATCCCTCTTGAAAGTAAAGGCTGGCAATGCCCATACAACTTTTCACTTGGTCTTCTTCAATTAGCAAGAATGAGGTAATGTGGCAGATACTGGATTATTCCATCATAACTTCTGGGAAAAAAAACTTTAGAGCACCTAGATTGTCTATTTTCTCTTTCCATTCTCTTCTTGATCTGCGAATTTTCTTAAATGATCCATCTGTTTAAAAAGAGAGAGAGAGAACATCTGTGAGAATAAATGTTTCCATCAAATAATCTAAGTACTCAAAACATTTGCAGAATCACACTGAACACTGAGCATACTGATCAGAGATCATGTTCTATTTCCCACAACAGTTCTGATCTATATCAGTAGTATAAGGATGTACATGATTAGAACAAGCATATTTCTTGGTAGCAGTGTCATTATTTGCTCTTTGCAAACATATTACTTCAAGAAGCTCAAATATGATTTAAAAGAGCAAAAAATGCACACATTTTAAGGTAGTTTGTTCATCTCTTTAAAATATATTTAGTGAGTACTTTCTTCTTCCAGGCAAGGAACACAAAGATCAGTAAAATCCAGTCCCTATCCTTAAAGGATAGCTCAATATCTAAAAACATGAAATAGGGCTGGGTGCGGTGGCTCACGCCTGTAATCCTAGCACTCTGGGAGGCCAAGGCGGGCAGATTGCTTGAGGTCAGGAGTTGGAAACCAACCTGAGCAAGAGCGAGACCCCGACTCTACTATAAATAGAAAGAAATTAATGGCCAACTAATATATAGAGAAAAAATTAGCCGGGCATGGTAGCGCATGCCTGTAGTCCCAGCTACTCGAGAGGCTGAGCTCAAGGACTGCTTGAGCCCAGGAGTTTCAGGTTGCTGTGAGCTAGGCTGATGCCAGGGCACTCACTCTAGCCTGGGTAACAAAGTGAGACTGTCTCAAAGAAATAAAAAAATAAATAAAAACATGAAATAACAGTTCATTCTATTGCTATTATAATGCCTACTGAGTAAAAGAGGAATATTATAGGCTAAATTATGTCCCTCACCCAAATCCATATATTGAAGTCCTAACCCTAGTACCTCAGAATGTGACTATATTTGGAGATGGGTTTTAAGGAGGTATTAATAATTAAGGTTAAAGGAGGTCGTTGGGTGGGCCCTACACCAATATGACTGGTTTTCTTATAAGAAGAGGAGATTAGGACACAGACACACACAGAGGAAAGACTGGATGAAAACACAGTGAAAAGGCAGCCAGCTGTAAGCCAAGGAGAGAGGCCTCAGAAGAAACCAATCCTGTAACACCTTCATCTTGGACTTCTAGCCTCCAGTACCGTAAGAAAACAAATTTCTGTTGCTTAAACCAACCAGTCCATGGTACTTTGTTACAGCATCCCTAGTAAACTAACAAAGGAGGACAGGTCAGTTCTCCAAGGCCATCTTGGGAGTGAGGGCTGAAGGAAGGTGAAGTTTGAGCTTCTACAGCAATTTGGAGAGGAAAGAGCACTATAGGCAGAGGTGTAACAGAACAAGGGCCCCTCTCAGACACCCCAAGGAAATGAATGAGGTTTGAGCACAAGGTCTTTGAAGGAGAAAGAAGAAATAGAAGGATGAAGCCAGCTGGACATGAGAGAGAAGATCCTCTAGCAGTTTAATTCCATCTAAAATAAATTCCATCCTGTAGTGGTAATCGGAATCTGGTTAAGGGTTTTATTCAGAGTGCTGATAAGCTATCAGAACTGTGCAATGGTAGTGAAGGAATGGAAAAAGATATTTCATACAAATGGTAACCAATGTAGAGGTGTGGCTATACTTAGACAAAATAGACTTTAAGTCAGAAGCTGTCATAAAAGACAAAGAACATTATATAATGATAAGAGGGTTAGTCCACCAGAAGATACAACAATTACAGATGGATCCACCATCAGAGTACCTAAATATACAAAGCAAACATTGACAGAACTGAAGGAAGAAATAGATAGCAATACAATAATAATAGCAGGCCTCAATACCTACTTTCAATAATGCATAGAACATCCAGATAGAAGATGAATAAGAAAACAGTGGACTTAAACAACACTATAAACCTAACAAACATATACAGAACATTTCAACAACAGCAGCAGAATACACATTCATTTCTAATGTATATGGATCTTTCTCCAAGACAGATTGCATATTAGGTCATAAAGCATGTCTTAAAAAATTTAAGAAGATTAAAATCATCTCAAGTATCTTTTTCTACCACAATGGAATGAAACTAGAAATTAATAGCAGAAGGAAAACTGGAAAATTCACAAATGTGTGAAAATTAAACAACACATTCCTGAACAACCATTGGGTCAAAGAAGAAATCAAAAAGGAAATTAGAAAATATATTGAGACAAATGTAAACAAAATCAGAGCATACCAAAACATGGGATGAAGCAAAAGCACTACTAAGAGGGAAGTTCATAGAGATAAATGCCTATATTAAAAAAGAAAAAAAAGACCTTAAATAAATAATCTAACTTTATGCCTCAAGAAGCTAGAAGAAGAAAAAACTAAGCCCAAATTTAGCAGAAGGAAGGAAATAACAAAGATTAGAGTAGAAATAAACAAAATAGAAAATACAAAACAATAGAAAAATATAGAAGTTGAGTTGATTTTTTAAAAAGATAAACAATACTGACAAACCCTAAATTAGACTAATAAAAAAAGAAAGAAGATTCAAATATATCAAATCAGAAATGAAGGAAGAAACATTAAAACTGATGCCAAGATGGCCGGGCGCTGTGGCTCACGCCTGTAATCCTAGCTCTTGGGAGGCCGAGGCAGGCGGATTGCTCAAGGTCAGGAGTTCAAAACCAGCCTGAGCAAGAGCAAGACCCCGTCTCTACTATAAATAGAAAGAAATTAATTGGCCAACTGATATATATATATAAAAATTAGCCGGGCATAGTGGCGCATGCCTGTAGTCCCAGCTACTCGGGAGGCTGAGGCAGAAGGATCACTCGAGCCCAGGAGTCTGAGGTTGCTGTGAGCTAGGCTGACGCCATGGCACTCACTCTAGCCTGGGCAACAAAGCAAGACTCTGTCTCAAAAAAAAGAAAAGAAAACCTTAGCAAACCAAATTCACCATGTCAAAAGAATTTATACTATCATCAAGTGAGACATCCCTAGGATGCAAGGATGGTTCAATGTATGATAATAAATTAATGTAATATACTCGATTAACAGAATGAAAGCTAAAAATCATATGATTATCTCAATAGGTAAAGAAAAAGCACTTAACAAAATTCAACGTTCTTTCATGATAAAACTCTCAACAAACTAGGAATAGAAGAAAAGTACATCAACATAATAAAGGCTATATGTGAAAAGCTCACAGTTGACATCATACTTAATGATGAAAAACTGAAAGCTTTTCCTTTAAGATCAGGAACAAGACAAGGATGCCCACTCTTGCCACTTCTATTCACCAATGTACTATAAGTCCTATACAGAGCAATTAGGCAAGAAAAAGAAATAAAAGGCTTTCAAATCAAAAAGGAAGAAGTGAAATTGTCCCCATCTGCACATGAGATGATCTTTTAAATATATAGAGAGATAGTTAATATAATTTCTCATGTTACATGGCTGGATACTTTCCAAGCAGACCTCGTGTGTGTGTGTGTGTGTGTGTGTGTGTGTGTGTGTGTGTGTGTGTGTGTGTGGTGTGTGTATACTTAAAGACTCCATTAAAAAAAACTGTTAGAGTGAATACATGAATTCCATAAAATTGTAGTATACAAAATAACATACAAAAATCAGTTGCATTTCTAAACACTAACAATAAAGTATCTATAAAGGAAATTAAGAAAATAAGCCCATTTACAATAGCATCACAAAGAATAAAATACTTAGGTATAAACTTAAAAGATGTGAAAGACTTGTATGCTGAAAAGTACAAAACATTGATGAAAAAAATTAAAGAAGAAAAAATGGAAAGACATCCCATGTTCATGAATTAGAAGACTTAATATTGTTTAAAAAATCCATGCTACTCAAAGTGATCTACAGATTCAATATAATCCCTATCAAAATCCCAATGGAATTTTTATAGAAACAGAAAAAACAATCCTACACTTTATATAGAACCACAAGAAAAGAAAACATGAATAGCCAAATCAATCATGAGAAAGAAGGCATCATATTACCTGATTTCAAAATATTCTATAAAGAGGTTTTTTTGTTAGTAAAATTTTTGCTGTCATATTTGTCTACTCCTCTATCTGTAACCTAAACTTGTGAGCAAGGTGATCCTTTAAAGGATGATCCTTTTGGGAAAAATGATCCATTTGGTGGTGATCCTTTCAAAGGTTCAGATCCATTGCATCTGACTGTTTCTTCAAGCAGTCTTTCACTGATCCTTTTGCCACTTCAAGCACTGACCCTTTCAGAGTGCAGCCAACTATAGCAGTAATACATCAGTAGAAACAGTGAAGCACAATGATCCTTTTGCTCCTGGTGGAACAGTTGTTGTTGCAGCAAGTGATTCAGCCACAGACCTCTTTGCTTCTGTTTTTGGAAATGAATCGTTTGGAGATGGATTTGCTGACTTCAGCATATTGTCACAGGTCAACAATGAAGATCCTTTTAGTTCAGCCACATTGAGCTCTGTCAGCAATGTGGTTATTACAAAAAATGTGTTTGAGGAAACATCAGTCAAAAGTGAAGATGTACCTACCCCCAGCACTGCCACCAAAGATCGGTACTCCAACAAGACCATGCCCACCACCACCTGGGAAAAAACCCATCAACAAATTGGATTTTTCTGATTCCTTTAAACTGAATGATCTATCTCAGCCTTTCCCAAGCAGTGATAGCCCCAAAGAAAAAGATCCTGATATGTTTTGTGATCCATTCACTTCTTTTACTACTACCACTACCAATAAAGAGGCTGACCCAAGCAATTTTGCTAACTTCAGTTCTTATCCCTTTGAAGAAGACATGATTGAATGGGCCAAAAGGGGAAGTGAGAGAGGAAGAGCAGAGGCTTGCCCGACTGAATCAGCAAGAGCAAGAAGACTTAGAACTGGCTATTGCACTCAGCAAATCTGAAATACCAGAAGCATGAAGAATTCTTTTGTCCTTTGTCAACAATGCAGTACTCTTCTGCCTGAATACTGAAGCTATTTACACTATTTACAGTGTGTATCAAAACTACCTATGAGCATAGGAATACAAAATGTTTGAGATTCCTGTAAATGTGACAAAATTTTAGGTTGTTGTTGTTTTTGTTTTCTTTTTTTACTCCATTTCAGTTTTGTCACTTTTATTACTTGTAAAAGCAGCAACCCAGTCAGATAACTTCACTGAGGCCCCTGCCTATGCTATTTTTACTTGTAAAGCTAGAACACCCAAGCTTCTGCCTTCTGGATTGGATTCTTCTGATCTGGAATATAGAGAAATAGTTTTACCCTCTGCTGCCCTTGTTCTGTAGTTATTCTGATGATAGCCAGTGGGGTTCTTAAAGTTTGCAGTCTTCTCCCCTGATTTGAATGGTTGAGAGAGGGTAAGAGAAAGAGCATCTTATTTCTTTTATGATCGGTGAAAATTGGCTAGTTTAAAGTGCAGTTTTGTACTTCTCATAGGAAAAATACTGTTTGTTTTTAGAGACAAGGAAAAATATTTCAATATTGCTATTGAAAAAGGGATGCTTTAGGTTGAACCATTATAGATTTAGATTTGATCTCTTCTTAAATAAAAATGTTAAAGCTTAAAAAAAATTCTATAAAGATACAGTAATCAAAACAGTTTAATAATGGCATAAAGAAAAACATATAGACCAATGGAACAGGAGAGAGGGCCCACAAATAAATCCACATATATACTGTCGACTATCTTTGACCAGGGTGCCACGAATACATGATGGGGAAAGGATAGCTTCTTCAACAGTGTTGGGAAAACTAACTGACCACATGCAAAAGAATGAAATTGAACTCTTGTCTTACTCTATATACAAAAATCGACTCAAAATGGATTAAAGACTTAAACATTAAACCTGAAACTGTAAATCTACCAGAATATAGGACAAAAGCTTCATGACATTGGTCTTGGCAATAATTTCATGAATATAACACCAAAAGACCAGGCAACAAAAACATAAATAAATAAATGGAACTATATCAATCTAAAAAGCTTCTGCACAGCAAGGGAAACTATCAACAGAGTGAAAAGGCAAAAAATATGTTCATGTCTTTTGCCCACTTTTTAATGAGGTTATTTGGTTTTTTCTTGCTAATTTGAGTTCCTTGTAGATTCTGGATATTAGTCCTTTGTTGGATGTATAGTGTATGAATATTTTCTCTCATTCTGTAGGTTGTCTATTGACCCTGTTGATTATTTCTTTTGCTCTGCAGAAACGTTTTAATTTAACTAAGTCCCATTTATTTATTTTTGTTGTTGCAGTATTTGCTTTTGGGGTCTTAATTATAAATTCTTTTTCTATGGCAATGTCCAGAAGAGTTTTTCCTAAGTTTTATTCTAGAATTTTTATGGTTTCACGTCTTACATTTACGTCTTTAATCCATCTTGAGTTCATTTTTGTATATGGTGAAAGATAGGGATCCAGTTTCATTCTTCTGCATGCAGCTACACAATTTTCCCTAGCACTATTTTTTGAATATGGTGTCCTTTCCTGAGTGTATGTTTCTTTCTGCTTTGTCAAAGATCAGTTGGTTGTAGGTATATGGTTTTATTCCTGGGTTCACTATTCTGTTCCATTGTGTACAAATAACCAAAAAAAAAAAAAAAAAAAAAAAAATGCTCAACATCCCTAATCATCAGAGAAATGTGAATTAAAGCCACAATAAAATACCACATTTCCCCCACTAGAATGGCCATTATTAAACTAATAGATGTTGGCATGGAAGTGGTGAAAAGGGAACACTTATATAGTGTTCGTGGGAATGTAAATTAGTACAACCTGTATGAAAAACAGTATGGAGATTCCTCAAAGAACTAAAAGTAGACCTACTATTCAATCCAGCAATCCCACTACTGGGTATCTTCCCAAAGGAAAAGAAGTCATTATATCAAAAAGACACCTGCACTTGTATGTTTATTGCAGCACAATTTACAATTACAAAGATATGAAACCAATCTCTGTCCATCAACTGATGAGTGGATAACGAAAATGTGGTCTATATATATAAACATGTATATACACATATAAATATAAATAATATGGTATGTGTATAAGTATATATACACATACATACATATATATATATATATATATATATATAAATCATATATAAAAATGAATGAAATAGTGACTTTGCAGCAACTTGGATGGAACAGGAGACCATTACCCTAAGTGAAGTATCTCAGGAACAGAAAACTACTGCCTGTTCTCACTTATAAGTGGGAACTAAACAATGGCTATACATAGTCACAGAAAGTGGTATAATGGATATTGGAAACTAAGAAGGGGGATGAACGATCAAAAATTACCTATTGGGTACAATGTACACTATTTGGGTGATGGGTACACTAAAAGCCCTGACTTTATCACTATACAATTTATCCATGTAACAAAAAATACTTGTACCCACTAAATCTATAAAAAGAAATAATATGCATATATATATACACACATATATACATAGATACATTTTCTTTATATATTATATATAAAAAGAAAATTCTGCAATATGTGACAACATGGTTGAACCTTCAGGATATTATGCAACGGGAAATAAGCCAGTCACAGAAAGACAAATAATGCATGATACTTACATGAGGGATCTAAAATAGTCAAATTCATAGCATCTGAGAGTAGAATGGGAGTTGCCAGGGGGGTGAGAGATAGGGAATTGGAAGTTACTAATCAAAGCACATAAAGTTTCAGTTAAGCAAGATAAATAAGCTCTAGAGATCTGCTGTAAACATTGTACCTGTTTACAAGGTACTGTACACTTAAAAATTTGTTAAGAGGGTATATTTCATGTTGTGTTCTTATCACAATAAAGTAAAAATTTTTAAAAAATTTATAAAACACAATTATGCCATAAAAGCAGGGAGAATTTCGAAGAAGAATGAATGCAGGGCCAGAAAGAGCACTTTACTTTCATAACAAGAATATTCACGTTACTTGGTTAAAAACAGAACTAATTACCATTTTGTTGCAAGTCCTCTGCATTTGCATTGGTGATGACAGTGAGTCCTGCCAAGTAGAACACTTCAGCGTTGTTCCGGCCACCACCTGCTCCATAGCTCTGGTCACTTTTATCTAAAGCTTGAAACACCTATTCAGAAAGGAAATCATTCCCCCCAAGGCATGACAGTCAGTGGCTGTTACAGGATTATCTGACTTGTAGATAATGTTAATTACAAGTCATTCATTTATTAAATGGTAAAAATCTAATTCTCCAGTTTCCACAAACATTTCTTCCTTTCCCTAGTTTTCATCCTATAGATTTACAAAAACACTTTATTCAAAATTCACTCAAGAGCTAAGCCTTCAGGATATAACTCTGATTTGGAAGTTCTTAGAAAATGATTTATACTCTCCTTTCTTGAGGCTTTATACATGGAATTAACTAATAAAATATCCTTTGAAGGAACAAATGAATGTATAAATAAGTAAATGAAATACTCACTACCCCTTATGGTTCTTTTCCATCTCTAGTTTCTAAGAGAGGTATGAGATCCTGAATTTCATTGCTCCACCCAAGATGAAGTAGAGCACAAAAATACGTCAGAATATGCAATGAATTATTTTTGATGAATAGGGTTGACTCCTCATTAGAGTTTGTGACCATGGCCCATGTGACCCATGAAAGTGATTCTCTGTGATTGGGAGTAGAAGGGAGAGAGGTGGCTGGGGGAGGGCTGCGGAGAGGGGAAGTTAACAGCTGTGACCGAGATTACTTTTTCATGTGCATCCCTACAGTCTCCCACAGCATGTTCCTGTGTTCCGCCCTCCTCTCTGTCACCTCTCCAGTGGATTCCATACACTCAACTCACCAGAACTCCATTCCCTGGAGTGGATAAGTAATTTAATTTTTTTGTATTAGTTTAAAAGGTGCCCTCTCTCAGAGTTAAAAAGGTTATTGCTTATTCCAATTAATGATTTAGTAAACAAGATGATGCTAGCAGTCACTGAAAGGAAGATAGTTTGGAACTGGTGGCATTTGAAGGTTTGTTTCTGAACATGGGTTTAATAATGTTTGAGTTTATTCCTGCAGAAGACTGAATTTTAGCATTTCATTGAAGATATTCCCAAATAAAGTGTGTTCACATAATACAAAATGAATCAGAGAATAAATTAAGTGGATAATTATCCTTTATATATCTCAGGGGATAACTTAAAAGAGGTAAAATCACTGGATTCTTCTCTGTGCTGTTCTATTCAAGCTGCATTCACCTAATATCTCTTTGTTTTCCTTATTGATATCATGGGGACTACACTTCTAAGTTCTCATACTATCTTTATTATTATTACCCATGTCATACGATTGTGGTGAACATGCAATAAGACAATAGGTATAAAAGCCTTAGAATAATGCTCAGCATATAGTAAGTTCAATAAATATTAGCTATTAATATTATTAATATTATCCTTAAATCTAGCTGAGAAGACAAACGTTGGTATAGTTGCATCTTTCTCTTTTATTCTTCTCCCATGACCAATCCATGAAACCCTGGCCTCTTGGTCCTGAGTCATGTCATGCACCAGTAACCACAGCATTTACCCTACTTAACTCTTTCCATGGGATTTTTGCTCCTTCCTTGGATGCCATATATAACACTGTCCACTGCTGTTAATGCTACCCACGATTCTGATTGAGTTTCCATAATAAGAGATATAGCTTCACCTGGAGAATGTACATCTTTATTTGGAGACAGATGGATCTAAAATTCGTTGAAAAAAGAAAGTATCTTAGTATGCAATTAAATAGTCAATCAGGAGGAACTCAGACTGGAGGAGTATCTGTGTCTCACCTGGAGCCGGTTGCCACACTTTTCTTCAACATTTAGGCAGACTGAATCAGACACTAATTCTGTCTGTTCTCCTATGATGATGTAATAAACCAAGAGATGGGCCGAAGGAACCATGTGCTGAGTTACGGAAACATTTAAATGCTGGTAAGATGAACCTGGGAGTTTCTTCTCTGTGCCAAAGTGTACAATTTTCCCCTTAGATGAAATCTGAAAGTACATAGCAACAAATAAGCATCAGAATGAGCTTGAAATTGGCTTAGTAATTGGGCAGATGATAAAGAGAACAGAATTAGTGTTCATTGATCATCTACTATGCATCAGGAACATATACTTGAACATATTCAGTTTTCATAGTTGTGTGTTATAGTTTTACTGATTCCATTTAGTAAGTATAGAAACTGAAGCTCATAGGTGACAGAGTATGAATCTGAACCTTGATCTTCCTGACTCAAAGCCCATGCCTTTTCCAACATATCATGCTACCATTCTTCCTAGTTTTTATTTTAAACAGCAATGAATAATACCTGAAATCACAATATCCATTCTTAAGCATAATACTTGGATTCTTCCCTTTGTAAATAGGCATATTCTTAAGTAACACTGGTGAGGCCTAGTGGTCTGTTCCTTGGTACTGCTTTGACTGGCCATGAATCATTGCTGAGGTCACTGACTAGTCTGGAGACTGAATGAGTGCTCTGGTGAAACCCTTGGCATCACGTCATGTAAAGAATATCAATCTAGGGGGCAGACAATCTTGAATGAAATCCTAAACCTACCACTACTTGTGAACACTGCAGGATATTCAACTTTTCCAATCTGTTTATAACCATAGCACTTTAAAAACCATAAAGTGCTATGTGAGTTCATTCATTCACTAAATATCAGTTGTGTCAGGTAAAGAGTCATTTTAAGGATTATTTGTGTAAGTAAAGAAAATGTTGCACATAGAGGACTAGATGCAATAACATATTATTGAACTTACCAAGTAGTTGTAGTGTGTAATTTTGTCAACATACGGACTTTTAGGTGTGATAGTTATACTTAGATGTTCTCCCACAAGTAAACTCTTATAATTGTCTGTCCAGCTAAGGGAAAGGAAGCTTTGGCTGGGTGATGAGTAGGTCACTGCTTGATAGTCACTGCTGGCCTGATATTCTTCCGGAAGGTCTGGGTCATCAGTTCTAACCTAAACAAGATAGTGCCAAAAAATGTAAAACACTGATGCTTAACTTTGTATCAGCGATGATGGTGATTGTAATAGGCTAATGCTTGTCTAGCATTCACTTAGTTCTAGGCCTGCTTCTAAGTGCTTGACATATATAAACGTATCTATACACCTTATAAATCTTTGGACTTCATAACACCTAATTTAAAGGTAAATTAGCATCCCACTGCCTAACAACATGGTAAGCTATGTTACTGAGTATTTACAGAAAGGCTATTGATTTAAAAATAATCAAATTAGCTATGAAAATCTAGGCTACTACTACAGAAGAGTTCAGTGAAGTCAAAGGAGAGAAAAGATCCTAGATCTAGAGTTGACCTATTTCTCAAATGACATGCCAACTTACTGACATATTTCCTTTTGCCACAGGCTGGCAGGAACTAGGAATCTGGGGAGAGGGAAATGTGGGGAAGTATATGTTAATAACTTTTTTTTCAAAGTGGTGAGCAAGTAGCACTTTTAAAAAACTAACAAATAAAAATTGTATATATCTATGGTGTATAATATGTTTTGATACATGTATACATTGTGGGATGGCTAAATCAAGCTAATTGACAGACCACTACCTCACATACTTACCATTTTTTGTGATGAGAACACTTAAAATCTACTTTCCTAGCAATTTTTAAGTATACATTTTCATGAACTATAGTTATACAGTGATATTGTATAATAGATCTCCTGAACTGAGGGGGGAGCTTAACAACTAACCTAGGTGAAATTTTGTATCCTTTGACCAAAATCACCCCATTCCACCTTCCCCCTCAGCTCTTGGTAACTATCATTCTACTCTGCTTTATGAGCTCGACTTCTATAGATTCTACAGATAAGTGAGATCATGTGGTATTTGTCTTTCTGTGCCTGGCTGGCTTAGTTCATTTAACATACTGGTAATGTCCTCCAGACTGGACACAGTGGCTTATGCCTGTAATCCTAGCACTCTGGGAGGCAGAGGCAGGCAGATTGGGAGGCCGAGGCGGGAGGATCACTCAAGGTCAGGAGTTCGTGAACAGCCTGAGCAAGAGCAAGACCCCGTCTCTACTAAAAAATAGAAAGAAATTAGCCGGGCATGGTGATGCATGCCTGTGGTCCCAGCTACTCAGGAGGCTGGGCAAGAGGATCACTTGAGCCCAGGAGTTTGAGGTTGCTGTGAGCTAGGCTGACACCATGGCACTCTAGCCTGGGCAACAAAGTGAGACTGTGTCTCAAAAAAAAAGAAAAAAAAACATAATGTCCTCCAGATTCATCCATGTTATCACAAATGACAGGATTTTCTTCTTCTTTAAAGTTAATGGTATTCCATTGTGTATATATACCACAGAGATTGAAGTATCACATGGTAGTTTTATTTTTAACTTTCTGAAGAACCTCCATACTGTTTTCCATGATGGCTACGCTAATTTACATTCCCACCAACAATGTGCAAGTGTTCCCTTTTCTTCACATCCTCACCAACATTTGATATCTTTCATCATTTTTGATAATAGCCATTCTAACAGGTATGAGGTGATAGCTCATTGTGGCTTTAATTTGCATTTCCCTGATGATTAATGATACTGAACTTTTTTTATATAGCTTCTTGGTCATTTGTATGGTAGAGGGCAAGCTGGGGATTACTGGTCTAAAACTGAGGCTATAAGAAGAGAACAAATAGGCCGGGCGCTGTGGCTCACGCCTGTAATCCTAGCTCTTGGGAGGCCGAGGCGGGCGGATTGCTCAAGGTCAGGAGTTCAAAACCAGCCTGAGCAAGAGCGAGACCCCGTCTCTACTATAAACAGAAAGAAATTAATTGGCCAACTGATATATATATATAAAAATTAGCCGGGCATAGTGGCGCATGCCTGTAGTCCCAGCTACTCGGGAGGCTGAGGCAGAAGGATCACTCGAGCCCAGGAGTTTGAGGTTGCTGTGAGCTAGGCTGACGCCATGGCACTCACTCTAGCCTGGACAACAAAGCGAGACTCTGTCTCAAAAAAAAAACAAAAAAAAAACTGATGCCAAGAAATAAAAAGGAGCATAAAAGACTGATATGAACAATTATACATCAACAAACTGGATAATCCAGAAGAAATGAGTAAATTCCTAGAAAAATACAAACTACCCTTAAATTAAATTTGGCCTGAGGCAACCTCCATACCTTCAGTCCTTACCTAATGAACTGCAACCTATCTTAGTACATAAACAAACTGAAAACCTAACTAAGAATGTATTTTTTGTAGCAACTACCATGTTTCCCCGAAAATAAGACCTACTCATAAAATAAGCCCTAGCAGGATTTCTAAGCATTTGCGCAATATAAGCCCTACCCAGAAAATAAGACCTAGTGATGGGCATGGCTATGCAGCATATCTGCACAACCCATGCATTTCGTCGTGGTGCAGTAAAGAAGATGAGCAGCCCTTCTCATCTGCCCTATTGTGGCAGCTACTATCCCAGAGGTGACCGGAAAGGTGCAGGCAGCCCCACCACCAAAGTCGGCTCCCCCTGTCAGGTCCTGGCCATCCTGTGCGTGCTGCAAGCTGAGGCTTTGAGGGGGAAATAACACATCCCCTGAAAATAAGCCCTAGGTGTCTTCTTGAGGAAAAATAAATATAAGACCCCATCTTATTTTCGGGGAAACACGGTGATCAGACGATGTCCAAATAAGGCAAAGGCTGAGCTGTAACTAATGAAGCTGTTTCTGTCAATAAATACTCGCTATACCTCACTTCCATTTTCTGTCTAAATGTTCCATGCCAACATTGTGGAGTGGAGCTCTCTGAACTTCTCTTGGTTCTGAAGGCTGCCAAATGTAATTATTCTTTGCTCAAATAAACATTGTTAAATTTAACTTGTCAAAAGTTTTTATTTTAACACTACCAAGTCTAAATAATGAAGAATGAAGAAATAGAATAGAATAATGAAGAAATAGAAATTCTGAACTTACCTATAATTAGTATGAACATTGAATTGGAAAAAAAAAATAAAAAAAACACTCACAACAAAGAAAAGCTCAGGACCAGATGGTTTCATTTGTGAATTCTACCAAACATTTAAATTATAATTAATACCAATTCTTCGCAAACTCTTCCCAAAAATTAAAGAAGAGGGACACTTCCAAACTCATTTTATGAGGTCAGAATTACCCTGATACCAAAGCCAAAGACACTACAAGAAAAGAAAACTATAAGCCAATATCCCTGATGGATATAGATGCAAAAATTCTCAAGAAAACCTTAGCAGGCCGGGCCTGGTGGCTCACGCCTGTAATCCTAGCACTCTGGAGGCCAAGGCAGGAGGATTGCTCGAGGTCAGGAGTTCGAAACCAGCCTGAGCAAGAGCGAGACCCTGTCTCTACTATAAGTAGAAAGAAATTAATTGGTCAACTAATATATATAGGAAAAATTAGATATTTTGAAATCAGGTAATATGATGCCTTCTTTCTCATGATTGATTTGGCTATTCATGTTTTCTTTCTCTTGTGGTTCTATATAAAGTGTAGGATTGTTTTTTCTGTTTCTATAAAAATTCCCATTTGGGATTTTGATAGGGATTATATTGAATCTGTAGATCACTTTGAGTAGCATAGGAGTTTTTTAAACAATATTAAGTCTTCTTAATTCATGAACATGGGATGTCTTTCCTTTTTTCTTCTTTAATTTTTTTCATTCAATGTTTTGTACTTTTCAGCATACAAGTCTTTCACATCTTTTAAGTTTATACCTAAGTATTTTATTCTTTGTGATGCTATTGTAAATGGCTTATTTTCTTAATTTCCTTTTAGATACTTTATTGTTAGTGTTTAGAAATGCAACTGATTTTTGTATGTTATTTTGTTACTACAATTTATGGATTCATGTATTCACTCTAACAGTTTTTTTTAATGGAGTCTTTAAGTATACAACACACCACACCACACACACACCACACACACACACACACACACACACACACACACACGAGGTCTGCTTGGAAAAGTATCCCAGCATGTAACATGAGAAATTATATTAACTATCTCCTCTTATATTTAAAGATCATCTCATGTGCAGATGGGGACAATTTCACTTCTTCCTTTTGATTTGAAAGCCTTTTATTTCGTTTTTCTTGCCTAATTGCTCTGTATAGGACTTTATAGTACATTGGTGAATAGAAGTGGCAGAGAGTGGGCATCCTGTCTTGTTCCTGATCTTAAAGGAAAAGCTTTCAGTTTTTCATCATTAAGTATGATGTCAACTGTGAGCTTTTCACATATAGCCTTTATTATGTTGATGTACTTTTCTTCTATTCCTAGTTTGTTGAGAGTTTTATCATGAAAGACGTTGATTTTGTTAAGTGCTTTTTCTTTACCTATTGAGATAATCATATGATTTTTAGCTTTCATTCTGTTAATCGAGTATATTACATTAATTTATTATCATACATTGAACCATCCTTGCATCCTAGGGATGTCTCACTTGATGATAGTAATAAATTCTTTTGACATGGTGAATTTGGTTTGCTAAGGTTTTCTTTTCTTTTTTTGAGACAGAGTCTTGCTTTGTTGCCCCAGGCTAGAGTGAGTGCCATGGCGTCAGCCTAGCTCACAGCAACCTCAGACTCCTGGGCTCAAGCAATCCTGCTGCCTCAGCCTCCGAGTAGCTGGGACTAACAGGCATACGCCACCACGCCCGTCTATAATACTATTAGTCGTGACCAATTAACTCTCTTTTCACTTACTAGTGAGAGACAGGTCTCGCTCTTG